GTAAAGTGCTTTGAGTCTCACAGGGAGAAAAGCGCTATAAAAACCGCAAATTATTATTATTATTATTATTATTATAATGCTGAGACTGGAGAAGTCATTAAAAGTTGCATTTTCATTTTAATTTGAGTTAGGCCGCAGGGAGCGTGCGCAGCTTAGCGGACAAGGGCACATGTATGAGTGTGGGAATGGATGAAACAGGATGGGCTGTGTTTATGTTGGGGGGAGTGTTGTATGAGAGGAAGTGGGTGGTGACAATTGGGACTGACCTCAGTGCCACTTATGAGCCGGGCCAGTTTCCCTGCTCCTCCTGTTGCTGGGCTTGCTGGATTTTCGGCCTGTGGGTGTCCTGGATGTCTGCCCTCAGGGCTGGTGCTGCTGCAGACAGTGACCTCCTCCTTCCCTGGCAGCCTGGCGGTGTGGTCCCCCTCCTTTCCAAGCAGCCTGGCGGTGTGGTCCCCCTCGCTAGCGGTCTGACACCCCCTGTGTCTTCCCTCGCGGTACCCTCCATGGGCACCCTCCATCCTCAGGCCCGGTACAGGAGCTGCAGCCCGGGCCCGAGGCTTCAACAGGGCCGCGCGTGGGAGCCATATGGCGCGCGACCCGCTCTGTCTCCCAGTCATTTGGCCGCCCCTGCTGTCCAGGCGGTGGCATCTGCTTTGGGCCGTGCACCCCCAGACTCAGTGGGAGGGCGATGTGGGCTCCCCTTCTCCCCCCTTTCCTTGTGTCCCCTCTTTCCTTGTGTCCCCTCTTTCATTGGTGTGTAGCCCTCTTTCATTGTTGTGTCCCCCTCTTTTGTTTTCCCCCCTTTCATTGTTGTGTCCCCCCTTTCATTGTTGTGTCGCCCTCTTCTATTATTGTGGCCCCCCCTCTTTTTTTGTTGTGTCCCTCCCTCTTTCTTTTTGTTCCCCCCTCTTTCTTTATTGTCCCCCCCTCCTCCTTGCAGGCCTTCCTTCCCCTTTCCCACACCCTCCCCTCTCCTTACTTGTCTCTCCAGCCTCCTGTCCTGGAGCGTGGGCTCTCCATCTCTCCACTGCTTCCTCAGGCTTTGGGTGCAGTTGATCTGTCCAGCAGGTGGCGTCTGAAGCTCCAGTTGCCATGGGAACTGCGCTGCAGGTGATGGAATCCTCTTTTCAAGCTTCTGTCTCTGCTATGGTGCCGCCAGCAGTTCCTTCGGTGCCGTCAGGCGAGTCATGTTTTCCTGCGCTGGCTGGGGCGTCTGCGCTAGGCGGGTTCATGTTGGGTTTGCGAGATCTCCTCTCTTAGCGGGAGCGGGCTGCGCTGGCTCAGGGGTTGAACGGTCAGCTGCGCACAATATTCCCCTTTTGCCCTTCGTGGATGCCCCTCCTTTGGGGAACAAGGAAGAGTAGGACTCGGACGAAGATAATGTAAAGATCCGTTATAGGAAATTCCTAAGACGTTGGGGAATTGGGTTCAGCAATCTTGGAGAGCGTGATTGGGGAGAGGGCTCCCCAGCACTGCTCGGTGCTGTTTTTGCTACCAGTACACCAGTTGGAATGCGTGTCATACTTATGGTGGCCTGGGTTGGTGGCGCTATAACGAGCAATTTCGTCAGCGCCTCGCTGTCCGGCCATCTGTAGCGTGGGATCAGATGGACATTGGCCCCTGGCTCTCCATCATAACCCGGCCGGTGGCGCATCAAGGGGGGTTGTTCTCCTTTCTTGGGGGGGTGGCTCTGCCCCATCGGCCTCGCAGCAACGACCAGGTTGTTGCTTGAAGTTTAATGTCAGCCGATGTAAGTGGGACAGGTCGTGCTGCTTTAAGCACAAATGCTCCCATCGTGGTGGAGCTCACTCTGCCTCCAGCTGTTTCAAGAGGAGTAAGTCCAGGGAGAAAGGGGACTTGGGGGCTCAGAGCGACGACGACTGTGCTCGCAAGCGCGATGCGCCCATGGCTCGACCGCTATTGGAATCGTCAGGCCGTGGGGCTCCTGCTGGAGGGGGTCACCCAAGGCTTCTAGATCCCCTTCTCGGAGCGCCAGGCTTTGGGGGCGGTGCGGAACTTGAAGGAAAGGTTAAAGGAACTTAACATATATAGCTTGGAGGAAAGGCGAGACAGGGGGGATATGAGGGAAACATTTAAATACAAGGGAATCAATGCAGTAAAGGAGGAGACTCTATTTAAAAGAAGAAAAACTACCACAACAAGAAGACATAGTCTTAAATTAGAGGGGCGAAGGTTTAAAAATAATATCCGGATGTATTACTTTGCTGAAAGGGTAGTGGAATAGCCTTCCAGCTGAAGTGGTAGAGTTTAACACAGTGAAGGAGTTTAAGCATGCATGGGATATGCATAAGGCTATCCTACCTATAAGATAAGGCCAGGGACTAATGACAGTATTTAAAAAATTGGGCAGACTAGACAGGCCAAATGGTTTTTATCTGCCGTCACATTCTATGTTTGTTTCTAAGTCGGTGCACGACTTCCCTCAGGTGGTGCTGGATAAGCTCCTGAAGGAGGTAGCTTTGGGGCAGATTGCGGGGTCATTTGAGGCCCCGACGCTCTCCAATTTGCAGGTTCCCCTTGGGCCTGGTGCCCAAGGAGGAGGCAGGGAAGTTTCAGCTGATTCATCGTGTGTCCTACCCTCAAAGGGGTTCGGTGAAAGATGTCTCTGCGGAGCTGTGTCGGGTGTCCTAGGCATCCTTCGATGCTGTGGTGCGCATGGTCAGGGCAGTGGGCCTATGGCATTGCTGGCGAAGGCCGACGTCGAAGCTGCGTTCTGCTTGTTGCCGGTTCACCTGGACTGTCATCACCTCCTGGGTGGTGTGTTTGTGGACGGTATTATGTGGATATGTGCCTCCCGATGGGTTGTTCATATCCTGCTTTTACGTTGAGTGCTTCAGCACTTTCCTGGAGTGGGTGGTGCGGCAGGAGGCAAGGATCGACTCGTTGCTGCATTACCTTGATGGCTTTTTGTGTGTGAGCCTTCCCTGACTTGTCGACTCTTGCTCGACTCTGCGGAGTGGGTTTTCAGGTGCTTTAGGGTCCCCTTGAAACACGATAAGACGGTGGGGCCGGTGACGTGCCTTTGCTTCTTGGGTATCAAAATTGACTTGGTGGCCATGGAGTGCCGGCTGCTGCAGGATAAGGTTGAGGGGATGTGGCGATGGCCATGGGTCTGAGGAGTATGCAGGTGTGCCAGCTGCAGTCTCTGTTAGGGAGGTTGACCTTCAACTGCCGGATCATGCCCATGGGGCAATTGTTCTGCAGGCGCCTGGTGGCCGCGACTACCAGGGCCGCGGCATTTTATCCGGCTCACGAGGCAATTGCGGGTTGACCTGGAGGTCTAGGATTCCTTCCTGACCGAGTATAATGGGAGGTCATCTTGGCAGGCGCCAGAGATGTCCAATTCGGACTTGCACCTCTATACGGACGCTGCTGGCTCTGTCTGGTTTGGGGCGATTCTGGGTTCGCGCTGGTGTGCTGACACGGCTGGTGGCGTGGTCCGCCTCCGGCTTGACCAGGAATCTTGCCTTCCTGGAGCTTTCCCATTGTGGTGGCATTGGACTTGGGGGGTCGGGAGCTACAGGACCGTTGGGTCGTTATTCACTGTGCCAACCTGGGGGTTGTCCAGGTGATTAACCAGCTCTCGGCCCCTTCTCTTTCGGTAATATACCTGCTCCTGCGCCTGGTGCTCCGGTGCTCGTGTCTTAATGTGTCGTGTAGGTCCAGTTCCTCTTGGGCCAGGTACTCCAGGGTATGGGTGGAATGGCAGGCGCTTGAGTCAGAGGTGGGTGTCTTTGCGGGTTCGCCTGCTCGTAACAGGGTCTGTTGACTGCTGGAGTGTTGGGTTTCGGCGGATATGTCGCCCTCGGCGGTGTCCTCGCGCTTGTCCGGGATGAGTTTTCTGGTTAAGCCCCAGGGTTGGGTGGATGTCACCACGGAGTTTCTGGTGTGGCAGGTGGTGAAGGGCCTGCGCAGGGGTCGGTTTACTGTGGATGCAAAGAGACTGGTTTCGGGGGCCCTATTGGCACAAGTGTCCCAGCTGCTCCCAGAGGTATGCTACTCGGACTACTGCCTTTTTTTTTGCCTCGCCTTTTCTTTGCCTTCTTTGGGACCATGAGGATTGGGGTATTGGTGAGTCTGAGCAGGTCGGCTGGTGGGGGGGGGGGTGGATTCTGTTTGCGGATGTCCGGGATGGTCAGGACCTGGTGTCCTTCAAGTTTCATCCATCAATGACTGACGTCTTCGGCAAGGGTAAGTGAGTTCCGCTGTCAGCGGTCCCAGGATTGGACACCTGTCTGGTGACCGTTTTAATCTGGCCATTCGAGAGACGGTGGAACAGGCCATGGTTGGTTTGTTTGGGGTCCCCCGCTGATTTTAGGCTTAAAACAGCGTGGTTGTGGCGGGGGTGTGTCCTTGCCAAATAAGGGGTTGGTGGTTTTTGCAGGTTAGATGAAGGTGGGGGTTAATGGCCGGGTCTCATCCTCCCCTGTCTCTTTGGTGAACCTTAAGGGATACCAAGTTAGACGTGTCCCCACCGAGCTAAAGCCAGCTGGTGGGGAGCATTATAGTCGGGCCCTACCAAGCTATAAGCCTGCTGGTGGGGTGTCAAAAAGGCAAGAGGAGTTTATTATGCCGAGGGGGAGGTGAGAGCCTTTGGGAAGAAGGAATGAGATTGGCAAGGACGTGTTGGACAAGTACTGTAGGACATCATGCAGGTATTTACCTGTTATTTATTTATGAGAATATTATGTAAAGTTATACATTGAAGGAGACATGCAGTATTTGTGTTTTAATAAATGATGTGGCCTGTTACTTCCAAGATTCGATGTCTGTCTTTATTTGGGGGAAGCTATGGTTTGGTAAAAGGTCATCCCATCCAATGCCCACTACGTACATTCATGATTTAATCATTGCGAACAACTGAAAGTCTGTAAATTTTGACAATTAACCTGGTGGTTGAATAATTTTGATTGCAACTATAAGTTGTTATGGAGCCGGAATGTTTGTCTCTATCACTGGCTACCCATTGAGAGAAAAGGTATTGAGCGTGCATCAAGGTCTTGCGACTGATGCGTCTGGAGGGAGCTACGTGGAACGTTGTGTATTGTTTAGTATAATTTGCCCTGAAGGAGAGGACAATGATAAAGGCCAGATCCCACCAAAGCTGGGGCCTTGAGGGTGTCCAGGTATCTCCCAGGTACTGCTTGTTGAGATCGAGAATTAGATTCTACACAAGCTAAATCTCAACTCTGGTCCAGGAGGTACCACTAGATGACGCAAAGCCCCTTCACCACTGAGTACTACCCCCAAGACATCAGGACAGCCTTCTACATCCTGAGCAGGGCCAGATTAAGAGCCCAGTGGGCCTGGTGCTGACAATTATGACGGGCCTAATTACAGAATTATATCGACCAAAAACAGTAAAACACTCCCAAGCGTCATGTATCTGATGGAGATGGTGCTGGAGAGAAAGAAAACAGCAGCTATAAGAAAACACATACCCTAGGCTAATCTCTCTCTAATTTATGTTTTCATCTTTCAAGTAAATCCATAACCCCTAACAGCAGTGTCCAGTCAAGCAGGAAGTCAATGGGCACGGTAAAAGGGTGTGCCACTGACACAAATCACGTAACCTGCCAAAAGGGGCGAACATGCCCAAAAAGAGGATATGTCTGCCCAAAGAATAAGAAGGCCAGCCTGGTATGAATGCATGTCAGGCTGCCTGCCAATCCCCTAGCACTTGCTGGTCCACTTGTCTCCTTACCTTTTTACTAGCAGGCAGAATCTCCTGGTATATAGTCTGGGACAGAGAAAAGCTGTATGTAGTGAGTGTAGAAGAAAGGGAACATGCCACAGCGTTAGAGAGACCAAAGTCAGCATTACCTTAAAGGATCACTATAGGGTCAGGAACACAAACATGAATTCATGACCCTATAGTGTTAACACCACCATCTAGCCCCCCTGGGACCCTCATGCCTCCATAAATATAGCAAAATCTTACTGTATTCAATCCTGAATCTGTAACTCTGCATGCTGTTAAACTCAGAAAAACAAGCAGTCTGCTGACATCATTAGAAGTGGTGGCCTAATCCAATCACAGTGCGTCCCCATAGGATTGGCTGAGACTGACAAAGAGGCAGATCAGGGGCAGAGCCAGCATGATTCAAACACAGCCCTGGCCAATCAGCATCTCCTCATAGAGATGAATTGAATCAATGAATCTCTATGAGGAAAGTTCAGTGTCTGCATGCAGAAGGAGGAGACACTGAATGTTTGGATGCATTTTAGGCAGCCATGACCCAGGAAGGATCTCTAACAGCCATCTAAGGAGTGGCCAGTGAAGTTATCACTAGACTGTAATGTAAAGACTGCATTTTCTCTGAAAAGACAGTGTTTACAGCAAAAAGCCTGACGGTAATGGTTCTACTCAACAGAACAAATTCAATAAGCTGTAGTTGTTCTGGTGACTCTAGTGACTCTATATTCATTGTCAGCCAGTCCACACAAGTTGTGTTCCCATACATCCCTCTTAAGTTTCCATACTTAAGTAAGAGTATGTGAAAAGTAGTTAGGGTTGCCACCTTTTTTGGAAAAACATACCGCCTTGCTAATTTGCATAATTAAATATGTATGGGTGACATCACATGATGTAAATCACAAGGAGTGACATAAGAGAAAATGCTGTAAAATCACCAAAAAACTACTTAGTTTGATTCTGCTGTATAGATGGATTCCTCCCAGTGGCCCCATGTCTCCCAGTGCCCTCATGTGTCGATTACTCCAGGTCTCAGTGTTCCTATGTATCAGTGCCCCATGTCTCCCAGTGTCCCCTAGTGTCATGTCCCCAGGTCTCCCAGTGATCCTATGTATCACAGTGTCTCAATGCCCCATGTCTCCCTGTGTCCCCATGTATCCCAGGGTCCCCATGTCACTAGGAAGACGGGAAGACCTGGGGACACGGAGACACCAGTGACACTGGGAGACTAGGGGACTCTAGCCGAGACGCATGGGGACACTGGGAAAATAGGGGACACTTGAAGAAATGGGGACACAGACACCAGGGACACAGACTCTAGAGACACTGGCTGGGAGACATGGGGACATTGAGACATGGGGGCACTGGGAGACATGGAGGCACTAGGAGACATGGAGACAGTGAGACACTGGCAGACTGGGGGCACTGGGAGACTAGGGGGCACTGAGACACCAGGGACACTGGCTGGGAGACATGGGGACACTGTGTCCCCATGTGTCTGTGTCATAATGTTTCCCAATGTCCCTTAGTGTCTCAGTGTCCCCATGTCTCCTTGCAGCCTTTCCCCCCATCCCTTACTTCCCTGAGCTGTAGGCTGTCTCTGCAGGGTGGGAGTTGCTGTCTGGACTCTCTGTAGCTGCACCCCTGCAGATTAGTGAGGATAGATAGGCAGGGAGGGATATGCTGAAACTTCCTATCCCTGCCTCTCTCCACACACAGCGACCCCTACTGACCAGTGCTGGTATTGCATGAATCTCTTTATACTGAGAAAAATACCAGCATTTGTATTGCCAGCATCACTGCAATATTGGCACCAGCCAGGCAAGCCAGGTGGAATCCCTAAGAGTAGTGTGTGGAAAAAAAAAAAAAATGTTAAAAAATTATTATTATTTTTTTTTTTTTTAAATAAATCAATGGGCCTATTCCATGGGCCTGGGCCTGGAGCTGCAGCTCCATCAGCCCCTATGTTAATCTGGCCCTGATCCTGAGGAATTAGTTTTGCAGTGATTGGTGCTTTTGTTGCTCGATTTACCCTTTTCGCCACTCCCCTCATCATTTACTAAAATGGGCCTGATTTCTAAGGGTGCTGTGTGGGTTTGAAAAAATTATAAGTAAATAAGTAATTAGAAACACTGGAAATCCAGAGTGATTGTCTTAGATGATCTTTTCTCCGTTGTGCCCATTTAGCAATTCTGGCAGTGAAATTTCCATAAATATCAGGGCTAGTGTGGGATCCCACAAAAATAGGTCCCGTCATAAACTAAGAGAGGCATATGGGTCTTTAATTAAACTAAGCTCCATGTGGGTTTTCAAAAGACGCAACAAACAAGGTTGTGGATACCTCTAGCAATTTCCACCTAGAGTTATGAGTAGCAGTGCTGGCATTTTTGCAGTGGACTTTTGAACAAAATATTTCCTAAAGTTTTTGTGCATGATTTAGCTTCATCTTTTTAGTGTGTTACATTTCTCTTTGTGAGCCATTTGTAGCTTGATTTTACCTTTACCACTGGATCCCTGCTTGAACCGGTCACCATTCTGGGGTCACTGGATACCCACTTGGTGAAAACTTTCATATTGTTGTTATCATGTCAACTCGATCTCTCTAAAACTGAGCTCCTTGTCTTTCCTCCTCCTAATACTGATCCTCCTCTTTCACTCTCCCTTCAAGTGAGTGGTATCCACATCAATCCATCCTTGCAAGCGCGCTGTCTTGGGGTCATACTTTATTCTGGCCTCACCTTTGAGCCTCACATCCATTATGTTGCCAAATCCTGTATAGCCCGCATCCGCCCCTTTCTTACGCAAGATGCTAGCCAGGAGCTTGTCCATGCTCTAGTAATTTCCTGCATGGATTACTGTAACCCTCTCCTAATTGGTCTTCCCAAAAGCCATATTGCCCCGCTACAGCCTGTAATGAAATCTACTGCCAGACTGATTTTCCTCTCTAGTAGGTCCTCTCACACGTCACCCCTCTGTCAGTCCTTACATTGGCTTCCTGTATCCTATAGGAGTCAATTCAAAGTGCTAATCCACACCTATAAAGCACTGAACAATTCTAGCCCCTCTTATATCTCTTCACAGAGCCATAGGTATGCCCCTTCTCGGTCTCTCTGCTCTGCCCGTGACCTTCTCCTGTCCGCTGCTTGCACCCGTACGGCCAACTCACGCTTGCGGGACTTCTCGCAGGCGGCTCCCTTCCCTAATCTTCACTAGTCTTCAATCGTTTAAGAAGTGCCTTAGAACCCATCTCTTTAGGCAAGCTTATGGTTTCCCAGAGTACCTGTCTCTTGGTCTCTCCTAAAAGGAAGCACCTTAATCTCTCCTCCAGCTCTGCTCCACTCCAACCTTATTTGATTGCTATTTCTTGTCCTGATGTGTTTTATTCCCCACCTGTAAGCTCATTTGAGCAAGGTCCTCTTCAATCTATCGTTCCTCTACGTTTTCTTGTAATTGTCCTATTTATAGTTAAATCCCCCTCTCATAACCAATCATAAGACAGAATTTTCAGACTCTTTTGGGTAAGCACGCCCTGTGTAAATGCTTTATATTGAGACTGTGATGGACTAGTGGGCAGATCTGATGAAGCCGAGCACGTCGGCGAAACGCGTCATCACGCTCTGACGTCATTACGTCCAACGGCAGTAAGCATGAGTGGAAGCCCTTAGAGCTTCTGGAGCCTGAAAAGGTCAGATGAAATTGTTTGGGACTATACCACATTTGCGAGGAAGAGGTACAGAAAGAGGACTTATAGCCAGACAACTGCTTTTTAATGTTTGGAGTGTCAAATAAAGGATTTTTACTGCCATCACAGCCTCAAGCCTCTATACACTGAGATGCCAACATAGTTCAGAGCAGACTTACTTGCTCTACTCTTGTGAGTGTTTTTGATCTATATTTTTAATATTTATGTTTTATGCATATTGCCCTATGAGTTTTTGTTCTGTTTTTTCTTTTTGAGTATTTCACTGAAGTTCTAATAGAAGCAATTTCAAAACTTTTAAAAGTGAGGTAACCTTCTAAATAATGTCATCCTTATTTTGCACATATGTGTTTTGTCACCAGTGCACTTTAACACTTTTGTATTGGCACAAATTATTTATGCTATTGCACATGTATGTGGTATTTATATCACTCGTCAATTGATTTGTAGTGTGTTTAAGCACAGTGCACTCTATACAATTTTGGAAATTAATATTTATGTGAAAGTTATTCACTTGTATTGTTTAATGGTCTTAAAGGCACAGCGCAAATTATTTTTGTTTTTTGTACTTATGTGAGAGGAGCTTTTTCACGATATATAGTGCTGCTTTAGATTTGTATTGTAACTGTGTATACTAGTTTTAGCGCCATTTTTACTTGTTTTTTGGTATCTTTTGCTCTGATCTAGGGCTATCTACCCAGGGCTGCCATCAGAAATGTTGGGGCCCCTGACAAAGTTCAAGGTCTGGGCCCCCAGTGCCCACTCACGAGTCCGCCCACAGGGCCATCCTTGAATCTGCCAACAAAGATGCATTATGTGTGTAGAGTGAATGCAGAGACTGTGTGTGTAGTCAATACAGTGTGTGCTTAGTGGATGCAGTGTTTGTAAAGTGGCCAAATGTAGATCCAAATCTGTTGTAAGTCCCAGAATGCTTTGCTAGCTATGGATCTATAATTTGCAGGGCTGTATTTAGCACACATCAGTGTATGTGTGTTTGAATATAAACATGGTTTTGAATGGAGTATGTGTGTATTTGAATGTTGGTGTTTGAATGCAAGCGTGCATTTGTCTGTAGTATATAAACACACACACACAAACACCCCCTGACATACATGCAAATACACAGACACAGTTACACATATTGGCACATAGTTACACACACATACACTCAGGTTCACACTGACACAGATACATAGACATACACACATATACACAGACACACTCAGGTGCAAACTGACACACAGATACAGACACATAAACACACTGATACACACATGCACACACATAGGAGATACAGGCACATGCATTGACATACATGAAAATATACAGACACAGTTACACACACATACATTCACGTGCACACTAACACCCAGATACAGACACACAGATACACACACAGACACAGATACACACTCAGGTGCAATCTGGCACCCAGATATACACAGACACACACATAGATACACACACATGCACTCTGATACATACACACACATAGGACACATACAGACACACACTGACATACATGTAAATACACAGACACACAGATATACACACTGAAAGATACAGACACACACACACACTCAGGTGCACATTGACAGATACATACAGACACACAAACAGATACACATAAAAACAAAATATAAATAAAATATATGTGTAAAAATGTAGAGAAACAATAATAAAGTAATCAATTCTATGGGCAGATTCACACCAAATAAACACAGCTTTAGTTGAGAATCTCAGAAAAAAAAGAAAGCGTGAGCGCTCCAGATAGATATATATAATAAAAAAATTTTTAAAAAAATTTATTGCACTAATTAAACAACACACTTTAAAAAAATAAATGCAAACGACAGAAAATTGGCCATGCACATAAAATATAAGACAGGCTATGCAAGATAAAAACGTACACAACATGGGCAGTCTGTATGTAAAGAGCAAAAAGCCAGGACAGGCAGCGTCAAATAGAAAAGATATACATTACAACAAAGTTATCAAAACAAACTAACAATCTGATTAAACATTTAAATAGAACCCCAACTAAAACTAAAATAATTGGGGCATATCAACTAAGCAGTGAAAAATATTGTGGACAAAAAGTGTACATAAAAATCAAATACAGTCACTAGAAAACCATGATCATAAAAGCTGCAGCACTGCTATAAAAAAATAAAAAAAAATAAAACAATAACAAAAACATACACTCAGGTGCACACTGCCAACCAGATACAAACAAACACATAGATACACACAATGATACATCCACAGATACAGACAGACACACACACTCAGGTACACATACATACTGACACACTTTTTTAACCACCCTCCTGGTTCTTACCTGCAGGAGGGTGGACTCTGCTGGCTGGGGATGATGTTGGTGTGAGTCTGACTCTGTCCTCCTCTTCACACTCGCCAGTGCTTCCTCCCACCCTCATGGTTCTTACCTTTAGGATGCAGGAGGGTGGACTCTGCTGGCTGGGGTGGATGTGGGTCTGACTCTGTCCTCCTCTCCTCTTCACACTCCCCGGTGCTTCCTCCCGTGCGGGTGTTAGCTGGGAGGAAATGAGCTCACTTCATCCCAGCCCTGCCAGGATCCTTAAAGGGGCCCAGACTAGCTATTAAAAATCCGCAGCACTGATCGGGCCCCTTTAGAGATATGCCCATCGGGTGGTCTTAAGTGCATGGGCCACCTGATGGGCCCCCTCAGATAGTTATGCCACTGCCAAAACACATACATATAGCGATAAACGCTATATATATGTATGCACATTGGGAATGGGGGGGCCTGGGTGCCTGGGCCCCCCAGGACCGCCGGGCCCATGACAACAGTCATGGTTGTCACCCCCTGATGGCGGCCCTGTATCTACCTAGTGGTGCTCTTGGGTTGCCCAGTCACATTAGCCCAGTAATGGTTTGTTTGATACACCTCTTCAGCAGAGACATTGCCCTCTCTGTATGTCATTAGATAGGCCTGGTTAGTGACTTACTTCCTCTGACAGGTCACTGAGATGACCATTTTCCTGAACTTTGTACAGTGTTTTACTGAATATGATATCACGCATTATTTATGTTCTGTTTCATTCATATGATATTCATTTTATATTTACTTTTTACGGGAAGCCATCTCCCCTATACTTATATAAAAGAGGCAATGTTTCTATGTGGCATTTCATATTCATATATGTCTAGATTCTACTGTGCATGATGTTACACCTGTACCATGTTATTTCCCAATAACAAAAAGAATGTCCCAAAAAATGTCCACTTCTGTGAATTGATGGGCCTCATGGTGTTCAGTTGCATTCCTCCATGAGACCCATTTTTGGATAGCGGGCAGATTTTGTGGGACAGCAATCGCAAAGATGGTTATTTTAGTGACAAATGAGTTGTGGTTTTAGCTCAGTAGCAGATTACATGAAGATGTGGCTACATCAACATCTAGCAGTGGCTGCATCAATTTGAATGCATGAATATTTGCACCAGGTCGCACTCATTATGAAAACAAACTTAAAACACCTGAGCTGGGACTTTGGAGTCTTTTTTATCTTAAAGGTACACTATAAGCACCCAGACCATGTCATGCCATTAAAGTGGTCTGGGTGAAGTATCCCTGTCCCCTTAAACCTGCAATACATAATACACTATATATAGTTTGTGTGAAATAAAGTGTTCTCTGTTCACCCTTCATCAAGACTTGGCTAATGTTTGGGAGAGCTGCTATAACTGCTCTATGGATCTAGCGGAAAAAAGGAGTGTCACGAAAGCTTGAGTGCCACAGCCTGCTGGAGAGGCATAACAGCTAGCCTCCTGCCCACAGACTATGGGCCAGGTCACAGACTTAAAATGATATATAGGATATGGGGGTACATTGTGTTAATGTTGTTATTATGTAAAATGTTGAGCTGGATGAGAGCTATTGTCTTAATTGTATTATGTAAAAGCTATTGTGCAACTCTGGAGTGAGGTCCTCGAGGAGGTACAGGTTCTACGGAAAGAATCCCTCCCAATCCCATAACTGCGATATCAAGGTCAACTGGATATGCAGATGCCTTTTCTTGGAGAGCAGCCCGTGGAGGAATGGGTGACTGAACTGGAGAGACTGGTCTGGAGAGAACGGTGTCTGGAGAGATGGTTACCGGGCCTCGAGGTGCGGTCCAGGAGTACCCGTGGCTCACAGACAGCAACCCTCTGGAGGGTGAGGACAATGTTGGCCATGGCTTATTGTGGGAAGCCTTTGAGGAGTGGACTGATTTTGGAGCTCAGCGGTTTTCTGATTCTGCGACATCTGGGAACTTAAAGGAGCAGCAGCATCAGACTGTCAGGGTGGCGGTCCGGTACCTGGGACCCAGACAATGTCTGGGCGGCGGTGCGAGGACCGGAACCCAGTAGTAGGAGTCACAGTGTGGAGGTGGATTAGCAGGGTAACCGCATGCCCCCTGGTGTTGAGCACCAGCATGTGTGCAGCCACAAACCAGAACCCTGATGCAGCTTATGCGGATCCCAGGAACTAGGAGCTTGGAATTAAGCAGACCTCCCAGGAGCTGAATAGGGAGGCTCTGCAGCAGGAGTGTATCCAGTACAGAAACAAGGCAAGACTAGAGCAGGCACCAAACAAGAAAACAAGACAAAACTAGTAGAACCCAGAACCAGAGAAGGATAGAAAGCTAAACCCAGAACATGTACACAATACATAAAGGGAACATTAACTAAACAGGGGCAGGACAGGACTGTACATGGACTGGGATTACAAAATAAAACAAGACAAGATAGGCAAAACAAGAGGAGAAATAACTAAGTACTATATATGAAAATCATGGTGATTTAGTCACATTATATGATCATACATTGCATAAGCCTGCCACAACGCCAATGTACCCCATATTCGGCAGGTCCTACACTGCCTAATGTATGCTAAAACAACCAAAGAAGACATATATAGCACTTACCTGCAAGAAAGGGCAGAAGCCTTGAGCAGCTGCCTGCAGGACACTGAAACAAAAAAGAATGATGGAAAACAAACGGGTGTGGCAAATAAAACAAACATTTAAATGAATCCAAGAGACTGGGATGGAATATGAGTGAACCCAGAAAACCCAGCAGAAAGAAAACCAGACAAAGAATAGAAAACCAAAAAAACAAGAAAAACTAAACAAGAATTGTAAAAAGAGTACTGGATACCAGAAGCCAAGGCCAGACATCTCCACAGAACAGAGCAGGATGTGACACAGACCTGGGATCTGATCTGAATTACATATCCAACCAGGAATGGGAGCTCGAGCAGGAATACCGGCGAATAATCGACTCTGTACAGCAGCGGCAGAGTGAGTTCCAGAGAGGGGAGGACAGTACCCTCACCACACAGCGGCAGGATGTGTTGCAGGGAGTGGAGACAACTGGTCTTACTCCCCAGCGGCAGTGTTTGTTACAGGGAGAGGAGACAACCGGTCTCTCTCCCCAGCGGCAGTGTACAGTGCAGGGATTGGAGACAGCCGGTCCCTCTTCCCAACAGCAGCAAAAGTTAATGGGAGTGGAGATGGTCGGTTCCCCTCACCAGCGGCAGCTGGAGCAACCGGAATGGGAGACAGTTGGTCCCCCTCCCCAACAGCAGCCGGAGTTACTGGAAGTGGAGACAGTCGGTCCCCCTCCTCAGCGGCAGTGCTTGTTAAAAGAGAGAGGAGACAGCCGTTCTCTCTTCCCAGCTGTAGTGTACAATACAGGGAGTGGAGACAGTCAGTCACCCTCCCCAACGGCAGTGCTTGTTACAGGGAGAAGAGACAACCAGTGTCTCTCCCCAGTGGCAGTCAGAGCTACCAGGAGAAACAGGGGTTGGTGGATGTTCCCCACAGCGCAACAGGGAACTACCAAGAAGGAGCGTTGTTCAGGAGGCTACCCATGTGGATTTACTTTTTGGGGCTGGTTATCAAAATAACTCAGGCACAGACCATTTGGAGGTCTGGTACCTTGTTAGTATACTCTTTGGGGGGAAGATATGTCACGGAAGCTCCCATGCCTCAGCCTGCTGGAGAGGCATAACAGCTAGCCTCCTGCCCACAAACTATGGGCCTTGACACAGACTTTAAAATGATATATAGGATATGGGGGTACATTGTGTTAATGGTGAGTTATTATGTAAAATGTTGAGCTGGATGAAAGCTATTGTCTTAATTGTATTTTATAAAAGCTACTGTGCTATGTGTCTTGGTGTCTAGCAGGAAATTAAGTTATCATGTCTTGACCCAAATATGTCCCAGACTTCCAGGCCACTTATGTGTGACTTCTCACACCTTACAGAGTAGCTCTGCTGGGGTCCCAGCTTCAAAGAGGAATTTAGGTTGTAAGCTCTGACCTCCCATACAATCAGGGTGACCACTTTTGAAATTGACTACACCACCTCTACCAGACAGCCTGTTCATGTATGCACGAACCTAGCTTTCATTTTACCAAACCGATGTGAGCGCTTTTTGGATATGTTGTGCGCTCAGATCGCACAATGTAATATAATTTTTGTGGGGTTCCGATGCTGTTGTCATGTATTTTTGTGATATGTAAAAATTGTATGTAAGTTTTCCTATTTGAGAGATAATTGGATTAGCTTAATTGGAGCTCAGTTATCTCTCAAACACAATGTTTTGTGGGAAGGAAAGCCCTGTGATTTTGTATTAGAAATCCCATGCTAGGGGCACTGCATTAGAAACAGAGTGTGTCCTAATAAAGTTCAGATTGCTGCTTTTACCCAATACGACTGGTTGTGCCCATTATATTGGGGAAACTCTACACAAAGGGAATACTTTCACTATATTCAGCACATCTGGAATTAGGACTAGTGGAGGAATAACAGCAATAGACTCACGAACCCGTGACAAGGAGGTTGGCGGAGATACTCAGACTGAGTACTAAGGCTCTGTTACAGCCCCTCTATCCCCCATCACCTCCATACCACAAATACATAATGTAGTATCCAAGGATGTAACTGTCCACTCCGGTCAAGATGACAATTGGCACAGGACTCCCAGCCAGCACCTCCCTAAAAGAACTATGACCAATATCAGCAGGAAACTATTGCTTTGGGAGGAGAGCTGTGCCATTGTGGAGAAAGAGTGTCTGGCCTTTGTCTGGATGCTAAAGAAGTTGACCCTATATTTTTACGGTCGTCTATTCACTCTAGTAACTGACCATAACCCTTTGGTGTGGCCGAACTAGGTAGTTGGAGGACAATGCAAAGATTTGAGAGTGTCTTCCTTCATTGCAGCTCTTTACCATTTCTAAGTATTAAATAAATAAATATTGAATGTAGCCAAATCTCTGATTCCTTTGTTTTGCAAATCCACATAATTCAATTCGATTTGTCCAGAGTAGAAAAATGTGATCCTCTGAGGCTGTGTTGGCCACACTTCATATGCATACGCATCCCTGGTTGAATTACTTGTCCAAAAACCTCGGATATTGGAGTGAATATTAAGACGGGCCCGCTCTATAAAGAGGATAGCTTATAGAATAGCCATATTTCCTACTGGTACGCTTAGAATTTTGTAATTTTGTCTGTGTTGATTAAAAGCCTAGTATGGTTAATCACCTCTGACTGGGACTGGTTGAGCTGGGCCATGGGTTTTCCCCCTCTTAATTGTCCCTCCCCTCCTATCATTCCCCCATCTTGCTCTTCTTTTTCCTATGCTCTCTTTCTTAATTTTTTGCTTCTATACCTCTTGTACTTTTACTATTACCCTTATTGATCCATTCTACTGTTGTTGCATGTCATCATTTCTTTGTCATGGAAAATCCATGGCTTTGATGCTTTTCTTTATTAGTCCTGGTATAATTTTTTGCACTCGTACAATCTGGATAACAATGAAAACCATTACTCGTGTTCTGTCCTCACTGTGCCTTTTGTTACAATTTTACAAAATGGAAAATAAAGATTGTCAGTACAAAGAGGAAGGAAACTAAGAGGCAGAGGTGCCAGTTGCCTAAGCCTCAACTTTGGATTTAACCTCTGAAGGTAAGATGGCACCCAGACACTCCTGCTCGATAACAACTTGAAAGAGCTTGTTATGGGAGTAGCAGTATTGCTTTAAAGGGATACTCCTAGCTGGAGTTGAATAAATTAAAAATAAATAAATAAAGAATGTACATTTGAAAAATGCTGTATTTGCTGCAAATTCCCTGGCACAGGATCTGAACTGAGCAAACCAAACCAGGAAGTGATGTCAACTTAGGTACACAGTAACTAAAACTCACATATTCAATGAATATATTGTTTATTATTGAGTTAAATGGACACTCCAGGCACCCAGACCACTTCTAAAATCTTTAAGGCGGTATAAGTGCAAAACCTACACCTATAAGCGGAGCACTGAAAAGATAGCACTTATAGGTGTAGGTTTTGCACTTATACCGACTTAGAGATTTTGGATTGTTTTAGGTGTGGATAGGAGGGTATTTCCACGTAAAGGACACACATTCTTCCCTAAAGGAGGTACACCTCACTCAGACCACTTCTGCCCACTGGAGTGGTGTGGGTGGCAACTCCCACCACCCTTAACCCTGCAATAATTACCTTGCAGGGTTAAGTCCTCCTCTAGTGGCTGTCTATCAGACAGCCACTAGAGGGACTTCCGGCTTCTTAAAACACGTAAAGTTTTAAACAACGCTGTACCTCATGAGGACCTCCAGCGTCGCCAGAATCCTGATAGGAGAGCATTAAATAATGCTTTTGTGACTAAGTGCCCTTTGCCACTTGTGCTTGGAGAGGACTAATGGCTAGCCTTTTGCTTTGTGACTATGGCCCTGGGGTGTATTGCCTGTTAAAAACTCTATTTGTGCAGATTGGATTCTAAAACACTGTGTCTGGCTCTTTAAATCCTATGGGAAAGGATCTGCACTTTTGAACTGGCACTTCGGATACAGCCCAAGTAGTCGAAGTGGCCGCCATTCGACAAATGAACACGTGGCGTCGGCCATTTTAATTCAGTTGAACGCGTTCACCGCTGAACTTCTACCTTCTCTGGAACTTCAACACTTCGAATGGAGTCGAACAGTGTTCGACAATACGAACGCCACATTAACATTGCTGTTTGCATTTTTAACAGTATTTGAACTAAGTTAAATGGACCGGCCGCACAGCCCATATCTCTGGAACTGTTTTGGGCATGAAAATATGCGTGCGGCCGGTCAAAATGAGACTTCCAGCTATCTCACGAACCACTGGACCAATTCGCATGATTTTTGGATATGTTTGTCTATAAGTATGCTGGTTCTGAAAATGTAACTTTTATTGGAATTGCATGTATAGTTTTGGAGTTATAAAAATTGTGTAAAGAGTATATTTTTCGCTTGGAGATAATTGAGTTGGTACAGCAATGAACTCAATTATCTCCCAAGCAGAGGGGAGGAATTTTACAGTAATGAATGTGAGTGTTTAACTGTGTGTCTGTAAATGATTGGTTGTTAAGTTTTTGTTGCCCAACAAGTTCCACGTGGGTGGTAACCTTGTGGGGAAAACTGTATAAAAGAAATACCCCTTGCACTCAATAAACCAGATCTTCTTACCCTCAACTTGTAGCCTTGTCTCTTGTTGTAGGGAACAGCTATACCAGCTATATCATTGCTAGCTCTTGTAAGAGCTCCCTTCAGCTATACTCTCTTGGAGGAGAGCCCCTAGCTATACTCTCTTGAAGGAGAGATCCAGCTATACCCTCTTGGAGGAGAGGTCCTTCCCATACGCTCATGGATCCAGAGGTTGGAGTCCCAGGGTGGGGAGGAGACGGCGAGATCCCAACCAAGCTACGGCGATTCATGGAGTCTGCGGTGCCTATGGTGTCAAGTGCGGTGCTGATAGTCCTTGAGAAGCGCTAGGAGCATCCGTCGGCGGAGGTATCCGTCACAGCTTTCCTATGAGGAGGTCTGCCGTCGGCGGGGGAGGAGCACGGGCGGAGCCTGACCCAGCGCTGAGGGAAATCGGCACTGGATTCAGGTAAGTCACTGAAGGGGTTTTAACCTTCAGCAACATGGGATGGGAGGGAGAGGGGCACTGCAGGGTCCTCCAGTGCCAGGAAAACGGATATGTTTTCCTCAAACTGGAGAGTCCCTTTAATGCTATATTTCAGTGAAAAGTGTATTCATACATCTCAACATTTCAAACAGACAAAGAGGGACACTCTAATTTTAGAGGTGTGGCAAAGGACAGGGCTGGAAATTTTAAGTGACTTACTAATAACTAAAGTTTATGCAACAAAATGTAGTACTTTAGAACAATCAATCTTATGTACACACAATGATTTCTAAACTTATTTATTGTAGTTTAAAGACACATTATTGGAAGTATTATTACTGTAGAGCTTTGTTATATACTCAGACACAACAACATGGAGCTCCTAGAAAAGAGGATCAGGGGATTTGGGCCTGAAATAGGGACTGTTCGTCCTAAATAGGGAAACATGAGGTATGTTGTATTAGACATAAACGCAGTACTTACAGTGTCATCATTGCAGCTTCATTTACTTCTGGTTCCACCCTGCTCTCTGACACACTGGTGGAACTACCGCAGACGCAGGGTTCACAGCTGCGACCGGGCAGTCTGCCGTAGTTCCGCCAGTGACCGGGTTGCCCACCAGTATTTTGGCGTGGAAAAAAACACATTGAAGGAGCCCATCGGGCAATGGGCCCCAGTGATGATATCGGATCTGGGAGCAAGCCGTCACTTCCTCCCAGCCAACAGAGCACCACGCACGTGGAAAAGAGGGAGTCAGAGTGGGAGCTCTGACTCCCATCAGCATGAGGCAGTCACTGGACCCCAGGTAAGTCACTAAATTTTTTTTTAACAGTTTGTGTGATAGAGAATGTCTGTATCAGTGTGTGTTTGTAGGTATGTGTGTCTGTATGTATGGGTATCTGTCTGTATAGGATGGGGGTAGATGTATGGGATGAGGGGACGTATGGGGTGGAGGTAGATGGATGGGATGGGGGCGGCGTGGTTTCTAGTTACGCTTCTGCTCTGATAGAACTGGCCATGCTTAGAGACTCTTTCCCAAGTAAAGAAATACTCTCTAATGTCAAGTATATGACAAAGAATTGATGGTCAGGTAGTTTACTAAATAAGTGTGTAAGTACCATGACCAGTACATTGCAGAGTTATTCACTACAATACATATGCCCGTATCATACAGCAGTATCTGGGAAGAAAAATCCAGACAAAGTTCTCATGATTTATCAAGATCCAGATTTTTCGAAGTAGCTCTTAAATGACCTTGATTGTAGTCTGGATATCAGCCTGCCTTGATGCAAGAGACTGGCTGAAATCCAGAACTAAATTATGGAAATACCTAACTGAGCATGCTCAGTTTCAACAGAACTGGGCCCCTGTGTGTCTGCAAATTCAGGTGGTCCATATTTGCAGACAGATAGTGGGCAAACCCAGTACTAGCTATGTCAACTCCATTTGAGAATGGGTTTAACTCATGAAATCATAGTTTGGACCAAAAAGAAAAATAAACAGTGTAGTTTGGGTGGGAGAAACATAAAGGGTTGGATATTGGGTAAACACTAATTAAAATCCAGCATAACAAACTGTACCACAATTACACTTTTCATACATTTCTTGTAAGATGTGAAACTGAGAAACTGCAGTGAAAAAAAAATGTTTTTGTCAAGGAAAAAAACCCAATGAAAAATAAAAACATTTCAACAGTCAACTTCATAGTGATTCCTTTATTAATAATAATAAAAGTCATATACTCATAATCTACAATAATAATGAATAATTACTATTGCATTTTTACTCTTCTTAAAATGCATCTGATTTGCTCTATATTACACCTCAGACCAACCCAGCCCCCTTCTGACTGTAAATTAATAATGACACACACTATATTCATTTACAGCAAAAAGCCTACCAACTACTTAGAATGATTAATGCACAGCCTTGTCCGGCACTCTGTTAAATGTGTTAAAGTGTGCTAAACCTCTCCCTTGTGTGATTTCACCATGAAATCCTGCTGAATTAAAATGGCAGTTGTGGCCAGGAAATGATAGATCATTTAGAACGTTAGGGGGACGATGGGGTTAACGTTCTGAGCGCACTAGCTACATTGTATCACCCTTCCCCCCATCACGCAGCACGGCCGCTTCCAGGTTGGAGGCCATCAGCGTTCTATTGCTCGTGCCTGCAGTGGAATCTGGGCTGGAAATGAGGGTTGGATTACAGTGGAGGAGGCATGACCAGGAACCCTGGGAGAACCAGAGAAGCTCCTGAATATTAACGATCGGCATTGTGCAATTGGAGACCGGGCAGCAAGGCTGGATAAGGGAGAGAGGGGAGAGATAGGAAGGCTGCAGCATGGATCAGATAAGCTGAGAGTTAATGAGGAAGGCAGGCATGCCTTAGCTCTTAGTCTTACTCAGTTGCTCAATAATTACCCTTTTCCCTTCCTCCACTGCACCTCCTCTCTCTGCACACTGCACGCACTGTACCCTCTGTGTTCCTGCACTGCATACACTGTACCTTCTCCTGGTGAGGGGCAGAGGGCTGGCACTAGCTCTGTCCCTGCCTGGTTTATTTTGGGGCGGCGGGTCCAGGCTCAGAATACACTGTAGCATGGGGAGGTGAGAGTGTGTGGAGAGAGACAGCCCGAGACAGACTGCAGCTCGGCAAGGTAAGAACACAGTGTTGCTTTTTCTATATAATGTATATACTGGCTAATGCTTCCGGAATACCGACTGCTTGTCGGCATGGCTGTAATAGATATACTGGGCTTTATGATCGTGGATTGTTTTCATGTATAATTTGGCTGTTGGTTTATTTTTTTATTAAACAGCAAATTGGGCACCGGAGTTTAGGGGGGAAAATGCAGATTTAAAAGGAAATATTAAAGGTTTTTTTGGTAACATTATTTCGGCCTACATTGTGCAAATTAAGATTTACATTGTATATTGAATATACCTAGCGAATGTGCACACCAAGAGGATCACTTTGTGTATTGGCCTTTAACCCATATGTCATTGCTATTGGGGTTGGTTGTTGCTTCCATTCTGCTGATTTGTTACCGGTTTGCTTATTGATTTCTGATAGACTCACTGGGCCTGTGGGGCTGGCTGCATTTGTGGGCTCCAGGTTGGACAATGGGTAAAATGATTAGGCAGTCAGAGTTGAGTATATCATCAGCTGTTTGTGTATTGTGAAATGTGCATTACAGTATATACTTTGTGCTGGCTTATTAAGGGATCGTTGGGTTTTATTTGCACTTCTGGTTTGGCTCTGTTATGGGCTGATAGCATTAGTTTATCTGCCTTTAATTTGTGCTGAAGACTTGGATATATATGAAGAACAGATCTCGCCATGCATACATGGCTGCTGTAGTGAATTTGGTTCCTTGTACGTTTTACTCTATAATTGTATATAGGTTCTATATTTACTCATACTATTTGTTACATTGGGTTTGATGCTGACTAGAGTATATTTGTTTGCTGCAGTTATGTATAGGCAACATACTTGATGGGGCCATTGTGGATCAGTTTTGGTGAAGTTTACAAGTTTGATTCTGTTGAGTATATCTAATGTGTAGAAAACAACCTTCAGGTTCTGTTGGCTCTGTTGCTATAGATATGGTGACCACAACAATTTTGTTAATTAGGCACACTTGTGGAAGGTGCCTTCTATGAGGAAATAATGATTTTAATGCAACATTTACATAACATTATACATATCATGTGAATGTTTACTCTAGACCTAGAATATAATACAGAATCAACTGATATGTGGCCGTAGGCTCAGCATAAATAGTTAAAGTCAGGTGTAATTTGCCCTATGTATTTATTGGGAGTAAGTTTGAGTTTAGTTAATGGATCTGCCAATGTACTTAACATGTAATGCTCAATGTTGTCTCTTTGCTTTGGCACTACATGGTTAACAACCTTTATTTTCTTTTTGTTTGATTTCCTTATTTTTATGTATTTTATTTTTTGTGAATCTGGCGGTGTTAAAAGGCCATTTCAGATTAAATTTAACCTGCTGTTTTATGCATTAAAATATACAAAACTGTGTGTGTGTGTGTGTGTATATATATATATATAACTTTTAAAGTTACCTAACTGTGTGCAAATCCTCTCACATTACATCATCAGACGTGAGCTTTGCCCTTTCCAGGAATTTTGCTTGGCCAATCGAGAGTCTCTCATTTTGGTTGATGGGGTGTGAACTTGTTGGCATGCTTATATTGTTGATGAGAGGTACTGTTTAGCAAAAAGCTCTCTGAGCACAGCCTGGTCATAGCCGTACTTTCTGTCTGTAATCTCCTGCTAATGAAAGTTGTTAGCTGAAGTATAACTCTCTGATAGCTTTTCTGTGCATCCTGATGACATGTACAAATCTGTTATTGGATACTAAAGGTTTAGGAGGAGTCACATAAATTAATCTGTACGCACTTTACAGGAATCAGTCATAAGGAAATGTTTTCGAACTGGAGAGGTGGGACTTGAGAGGCAGGGTTAAGATGCAGAATGCTGCAAAATGACTTTTACTTTTTATTTGGGGGGGGGGAGGGGCGGGGAGTATAGAAAAAAAATAAAAAATGCAAATGTACAACTCATATATTTAGGCCTGTTGTGTTGTCTGGAATATACCTTTTAAGGTAACGGAATTGGCCCAATGGCTATACCTTTTTTGTATAGATGAGAGAATCCACTATGTTCTAGAGAATTTGGATATGTTCAGGTAGTAAATTTGCTCTCACCTGTGGTCTCTGAATACGTATTGACAACAGGCTTTTTTTCACCTATGTATAGCTTACTGTTTCGGTCATAGGCTTTCTTTTGGTGCAGTGTGTATTTGCAGTGAAAAGAATACTCCATACACTTCCGCTTTCTGAAGTGCTTTATGTGTCTGGAGTCTGTCAGTTTCATAATGGTTTATGAATACTGTGTGCCAATTTTCAGCAGGCCCAGAAACACCTTGCTGACTGTCATAGAGCCAGGAGTGTTTCTTTCGCTTCCATTAGCTCCACAGAGCTAAGGGAAGTGGAAGGCACACTGTTGGAGTGTACTTGTCTTTCCTGCTTCTCAGTGTAATGTACTGCAGTTCATTGAGAAACATTGCAAAGTTGCGATTAAGTGCATGCTTAAAGTTCCAGCACAGAGGCTTCTCAGTGTAATTCATGGCACTGACTGCAAGACATTCCCTTTGTCCTTAGCACAATCTTTCAGAGGCTTTTGCAAGATATTTTTCTTTCATTTACCCTAAAGATAGCATGCAGATAGATATGCATGTATGTATTCTGTAGGGTTTTATCTACAACAATGTTAAATGAACACTATAGTACCAGGAATACAAACATGACTTAATAGGTCCCTGGCCCCCCATCAAAGCACTGAGATGATTTTTCTCACCTTTTTCCCCACACCGCCAGCGCTGCCTTTAGCGCGAGGTTGACAAGGCATTGGGTGGCACTTTCGGCGGGAGGGGGGCAAAAAAAGCTGCCCCGAAATGTCCTGGGAAGTGCTGATGTTAGAGGCGGGCGGCGAGGGAGCGCTCCCCCCTGCTTAGCTTCATCACGCGCACTGCACTGATGCCAGAGCCGGAATATGATGTCACTATGGCCCCAGCATCACTAAGAAACGCGCGAGGGAGCTGAGCAGGGAGATCATAAGAGCATCCTCTCCTCCTCCAATGTGAGCCTATCTCCCAGACTGCTCGTAACTGTGTCTACATACCTTGTCAGCCCCACTAGACCCAAGGGAAGAATCCACTCAAGCAGGTAGGCAGGCTGGGTGGATTGAAATGTGCAAAGAAATTGTCAGTGTGTGTATGTATTTGTCACTGAGAGTGTTTATCAGTGTGTGTATGCATGTCTGTCAGTGAATGTGTATATCTGGTGTGTGTGTGTGTCTCAGTGAATGTGTATTTCTTTCAGTTTGTTTGCGTCTCAGTGAGTATGCGTGTGTGTATGTTTCAGTGAAATTGTGTGTTGGTTAAACTGTGTGTGTGTGTGTGTGTGTGTGTGTGTGTGTGTGACAGTGACTATGTATCTGTCAGTGAGGGTGTGTGTCTGTCAGGAAGAAAATTTGGAAGGGGGGTGGGTGCTGAGTTTTGTCATGCCTAGGGCAGCAGAAAACAAGAATACACCACTGCACACAGCGCCTGTCGCACTACAGATGTTGTTAGGCACTAGTGATGTCGCGAACGGTTCGCCGCGGACTCCAGTCAGCAGACACATTCCAGCCAATCAGCAGCAGACCCTCCCACCTCCTGGACAGCATCCATTTTGAAGCAGCATTCTTAGTGAGCTGTCTGGGAGGGAGGGTCTGCTGCTGATTGGCTGGAATGTGTTTGCTGACTGGAGTCCGCGGCGAACCGTTCGGGACATCACTATTAGGCACCAATGAAAACATTGCTTTTTCTCTGAAAAAGTTGCATTCCCATGGCTCCTCCATTTAAATTTTTTTTCATCTCATTGAACGTAAATACTTCTTTACTGATGTTTACAGAGACCAGGAAGTGGCTGTATTTTTCTTTTTTCTTTTCAGCAAATCACGGCCTTCCAAATGGTTCCAATATCAGTGCTTTGTATATTTCATAGAGTTGAGTCGGTAGTGTTTATGGGATATGTAGTGCAGTTCTCAGCATTTTGTTTGACAGCTGACTGCAAGTATTTGATTAGTACACACACACTTTAAGCACCATAATTACTACATAATATGGTAGTGGTTATGGTGCCAGGACTCCAAGGTGCCATCCCAGAGTATGCTTTCAGACTGTTAACAAATTATTTGACACTTAACCTGGCCGTGCTGGGCATGCATGGTCCTTCAGGTTTGCATTGCTATGCTGAAGTGGAAGTTAATACTTTGGCAGTAGCCTAAAACTTTGGACATTATTCATTGGCTGAGAGCTGTTCGCTTACATTCTCAGCTGGTGAATAATTTTTAAAGTTGAAATGTGTTGGTATGAAAATGTTGCAGTATCAGCTTGTGCATTACCATTTTTAATGAATGTTCTTGTTCAGAAACTGTGTTGCCTATCCCTTGCAGGTGACGAGTGTTTGTTGACCAATTAACTTTGCTAAGATTTATGTTTTTCCTTGACTGTGTATAGTGGAAAGAAAACTACAAATAGCTAGGCAAACTGAAAGGACTGTATGCGACCCCCGGAGACTGGTATCAAGCCATTTGTAAACATGCTGTAGTGGTTATAATGATTAGCATCCTATACAAGAACACTAGTGTTGGTAATATAAATCTGTATTCCTAACTCTATAGAGTCCATGTCCCTATTCATTTTCAGGTCTCTCTACATCAGCTGCTTTCCTCTCTATATCATCGGAGGAGGCCATCCCTCCACCAACATGCTGTGGGAGACAGTATGTTGGTGGAGAGATGGCCTGCTCCGCTGATGTAGAATCCAACACTCCTTATAGATGAGCATTGGGAACCTAATATGTGGAGTGTGCCATGCACACAGACATGTCCAATCCAATGCTCCTCATTCAAGCGTCGCTTTAGGAAAGCATGTTTTTCTATGGGGCTTCCACGTCACGTGATGACAACCACTTGAGGTGGAATTAACCCTGAAATGTAAACACTGTAGCTTCTTAAAAACCAAGTTTTGCATTGCAGGGTTAAGAGGACAGGAACTAGTGTTTTTTTAATAGAAGCCTAATGGTAGCATCTTTTCCCCTTAAAGATTAGTTTCATATATATTTTTCACACATGCAAATTATTGCTCTTGGATCTACTTTATGCCTCTGCATGATGTCTATGCAAGCTCACTCATACTTAATGAAATAGAAATTAAGTGAGCCGTACAAGTTATACTTGTTAAACAATATGTGTAGGTTGAAGGGAAATGTATATCCTTTATGATATCATAGAGTGGGCAGGTGGGATATAGTTCCAATTGCAGTAAATATTCATGCAAGCTAAAGTGCTTTAGGGGGTTTGAAATTTTCCTATAACAAATCTCAATTAAAAATTAATGACTAGAATGAAGCGAACAAGTTGAGATATCATGCACTTGATGAAATGGGCATTCCATTGACATGTGGGGCAATATATAGCTGTTTCACAAGTTTTCTTTATATTGTTGGTAAGCCTTGTGACATCTTCTACTGAATAGAGGGATTCATTTTAGGTAACTTGTTAGATACCAGTTATACTTTATGCAAGCAGAGCAAAGGAACTCATTAAAGGGACACTATAGTCACCTGAACAACTTTAGCTTAATGAAGCAGTTTTGGTGTATAGAACATGCCCCTGCAGCCTCACTGCTCAATCCAGTGCCATATGGGAGTTAAATCCCTTTGTTTATGAACCCTAGTCACACCTCCCTGTATGTGACTTGGACAGCCTTCCATAAACACTTCCTGTAAAGAGAGCCCTATTTAGGATTTCTTTATTGCAAGTTCTGTTTAATTTGGATTTTCTTATCCCCTGCTATGTTAATAGTTTGCTAGATCCTGCAAGAGCCTTCTGTATGTGATTTAAAGTTCAATTTAGAGATTGAGATACAAATATTTAAGGTAAATCACATCTGTTTGAAAGTGAAACCTGTTTTTTTTTTTTTTTTCATGCAGGCTCTGTCAGTCATAGCCGGGGAGGTGTGGCTAGGGCTGCATAAACAGAAACAAAGTGATTTAACTCCTAAATGACAGTGAATTGAGCAGTGGAATTGCGGGGGATGATCTATACACTAAAATTGCTTTATTTAGCTAAAGTAATTTAGGTGACTATAGTGTTCCTTTAAGTAGTAAAACCACTACAGCCAGGTGTGTGTGTATATATATATATGTATATCTATCACACTGTGAGCCTTTAGCTGCATCCTCTGTGTCTGTTCTTGTAGTCAACAAAGAATTTGGATTGCACTATAGAGCAAAGCAGGGCCATGCTGATTGCCTGGGATGGTCAAATTAGTGCTCTCAGCCAATTAACGCAATCCTGCATTGGAGGGATACTTTATTCCACAGAAACATCTTTTTTTTTTTTTTTTTTGACAATCTTTATTTTGACTTTTAGCATCGGTACAGTGTGTCGATTCTTGAACAGAGTAAGGTACAAAATATCAACTTATAAGAGGTATAACACCCAACAGGATAGAAACAGTACATGCACCTAACAAACCGCGGGGGATCTTAAAACAGCTGACCTATACTAATGGGTGAGACTCAGATAATGGCATGGTGATGGAAGGCCGGGTCTGTCACGCGCTATGATCAGGTGTGAGAGCGTATCATTAAGTCGACGTAGTCGCGGTCAGTTGTCCGGGGAGTTAAACCGGGATCATTGTCCAGTTTGTCAGAGGCTCGCTCATGGTTACACTAACAAATGTCTGCGGCCAAGGGGGTCATCAGAGAGGTCGGGTCTCAGTCAGCCGTCCGGCTATCGTTCAGGAGCTGTTGGTTGAGAGGGAGGGGGAAGAGGCTCCCGGCTCCCAGCCCCGCCCGCCGAGAGGTACCATAGCCAGGGCGTCCAAGTGAGAGCACATTTCTCTTGCCTATCATACAACGCTGCTGTAAGCTATTCCATACTATATAGTTCCCCCACCTTGTCGATCCACTGCTGGAGCGTGGGCGCATCCTTGTGTCTCCACCTTGTAGGGACCAGTGCAATGGCTGCCGTTAGTAGGTGTTTTATCAGAGATTTCTTGTATACTGAAAGGGTCATGTCAGTGTGATTAAGGATCATGGTGAGGGGTTGTAGTGGAAGGGCAATATCTGTGATTTGCTTAATCTCTTGGATCGTGGTCCAGAAGGGGGCGATACCCGGACAGCTCCACCAGATGTGGAGGGCGGAGCCATCGGCATCGTCACATCTCCAACAATCCCCGGGTATCTCAGGGTTTATACGGTGCAGAATGTCTGGGGTTCTATACCAGTGCGTGAGGACCTTAAAGCTGGTCTCCTGAAGTTTGGAGCTGATGGAACATTTATGTGTTAGAATAAAAATCTTGTCCCAGTCCTGGTCTGTGAGCGTGGTTCCTGTCTCTCTCTCCCATCTAGTAATGTATCTTGGGTGTGACGGGTTTTCTCCAGTAGCGAGAAGTGCGTAAAGTGTGGAAACGCCCCTCATAGGGTGAGCCCTTGTGGTGCAGAGTGTTTCGAACTGCGTGGGGATTCTGTGGAGGCCCTGTTTGTTTGGGAAGGTCGCGTAGTATGCCCGTATTTGGAGATAGTGGAAGTGGTCTAGGCCTGTGGGTACTGTATCCCCCAGGATGTCTGTCAGAGGCTTGAGTCGGTCCCCCTGTATTATATGATGGAAACTAATCCAGTCGGAGTCAGGGTATGCGTGTAGGTCCGCAGGCGTTAGTCCCCCTCCACCACAGAAACATCTTGTTTCTCCTGCAAGAGAATACTTCAAAATCCAAAACAGCACACACATTCTACAAGGGCCAACACTATTGTGCCACACGAACCAGGGGAACTACCAATCCCTTGAAGAGTATCCAATGTAGAGAGAATATGTCCAAGCACATAGGGAATATTGCGGACTTGCAGAATTTTATTGGAATGGAATGGCAACGTTTGAGCCACACACAAGCTTGAAAAAAATCCAAAGCGTTGCCATTCCACTTTAATAAAATTCTGCATGTTGGACATATCCTGTGTGTGCCCAGACAGCTTTTCTCTATAGAGACGAAAGCAGACACCCAGAAGGACCCACGTAAGTTGTCAAACCATACTAAAACGGCTTGAGCGTTTTGCTGTGTGATGGCACCAGGGTACTTTTTGCACCGTAACCACTACAGCAATCTGTAGTGACTGAACCATGAATACTCTACTAACAAAAAAGGCACAATTGATTGTGTGAAATATCCAATGCTGATAGTTGCATTTCTCAAATCTGCTCTTTAGCGAACATACCATGCACCATTATTTTTGCTCAAGGTTTTAGATGTGGGTGTTTTATGGAATGCCATGCTCAGTATGCAGCTTTGAGTGTTTGCAACACAACTGCCATTTTTGTAGTTTATATCTCTCTTGAGGACATAAATATATAAACTTAAAGGAACACTATAGTGTTAGGACTACAAAGCTTTATTCCTAAGTCCCATTTCCCCACTCCTGCAGGACTCTAGAGAAATGGCTGGCGAACCATCTATGTTTTTACCCCTGAACTGAATTTGCACTTGTTTGTAGAAGTGATTATTATAGAACACACGTGTAGCCCTAGGCTGTAATGTAAACACATTTTCTCTGAAAAGACCGTGTTTACAGCAAAAAGCCTGAAGGTAATGATTAGATTTACCAAAACAAATACAATGAGCTGTAGTTGTTCTGGTGAATATAGTGTCCGTTTAAGCTTCCTACAAGTCTCAAGGATTTGTAGCTTTGTGTGGTGGACTGTGTCCAAACTTGAAATATCCCATATCTTTGAGCCAATCCTAACAGCTCCTATTGAAACCAATAGATTGAGTGTATATAATATATGTCCAGCAGTGGTTTATGGGATATCCAGTTCTGAACGTGATCGGAATTGCATTTATAAGGTAAAATGAATGGAGTTGCAGCCTATGTTGATGACTGGTGCACCTCTGGTGCTATTGATTTACCTAAAGAATTAAGTTTTTGTTAATGGACATGTGATTGCTTGGTGTGCAAATTTGTATCTGGATTACCAGCTACTTTACAGTAAGCTGTGAATTACAGGAGGTCTGGGTTTGTAAAGATTGCTTCTTCCCAGTGGGTATCACCATACAACAACTTGGATGGGCTGGGGGAAACATTAGTTAGTGCCAGTTCATGTATGTGAGCGAACAGGCATTCCTATAACCGCAGTGATTTTTCAAATTGATGTGTGCAGGTACACAGTGACAAGGAACCTGTTTGCATACAGCCTATACAAGTGTGATCTATCTATCAAATTCAATGGACAAAGTGGAATCAAGCACTTGAAGCTGTTGTTCTTGATGATTGGTGCAGATTCATCGTCAGCACCTGATTCTTTTTTCAATTCTAAGCTTGAGCATTTTCAGTGGCCTGCACAGTGCCAAAGGGATACAAAGAATCCGATGTGGAATATAACATGCACATGAGGATATCTAGTGATCCTGGAGGTTTGAAGGCTCTGTCTTTGCAAGCTTACCATCCAACGGCCTGTGTTATTGTGTATTCTGTCATACAATATAGTTGTATACTGATGTAATGGAATTTTCTGTTTGTGTATTAAAGATGGTCTATGTTCAGCTTCATGTCTGGCATTGATTATATATATTTTTTCTTTACTATGTTGGAAGACTGAGTGTGGTTTGATTTCCATACTTTGTCCCAGTCTAGCATTTAACCATACGGTTTGACTACTTTACCTTGAGAAGGCACTCCTCATTATTTTCCTTGTCCAGCTTATATACATATGAAATATTTATGATATTCAAACTGCAGCTACACCATTCTCTTTTATTATTTACCTTATATTCTGGCATTTGGAGTACTGTTCTCGGTTTTTGGTCGCAGAAATGTTTTTTGATATTCAGCTTACGTTTTTGTGCATAAGATTTGTGTATTATATATCTATATCCGAAGAGATGGGTTATACAGTGGTGCCTCGGTTAACATAATTTTCGGGTTTACAAAGGAAAATCCATTGAAAATAACGCTTTGGTTTACAAATTTTTTTATTTTTTTTTACAATATGTTGCAAGATTCCCCGGGATACATTGCGCCTGGGAGGTTTATAGCACCGCCCCCATGCATGCTGTGGGTAGCACGAGGTGTTGGAGCGGTGTTTGCATAGAGTTTTGGAGCCATTCTGGACTTTTTTTTTTATTTTATTTTTTTTTTTCAGTGGTTTTGGGACTTTCTGGAAAGTTTTTGGTGCATTTCTCAAGAGGTGGAAAAAGGTAGGGAGCTGAGCTTTGTCGTTTGCATACCTTTTACTGTGTGTTCTGCATTGTGGGTCGGTTTCCATGCCAGCTCATTTTTACTTTTTTTTTTTTTTTCTGACATCCGGAACAGATTCATTGGTTTTCAATACATTCCTTTGAGAAACCAATTTTCGGTTTACAAATTTTTGTAAAAAGTCCCGGAGAATGCATTAAATCGTAAACCGAGGTACCATTATATATTGCTGGGAATGAAAACTTAGTCCTGGCAAGTAGAAATTCACCCCTGCAGTAACCTTTAAGGCCTTGTCAGTAGCATAGTCCTACACATTTTAAGCTGTGGGTGGGAGGTTTATCAATTAAAAAAAAAAAAAATTTTTGGAGCTAAGATGCAATTGTCATGAAAACCAATAGAACATCACCCAGCATTTGGCACTTGGGTTGAGAATAGCAACAGTTTGCCTTGATAAACCTGTCTCCTTGTTGGTGACAATTTTAAGGGCCTATTCACTAAACACGGTATTGTGTTTTTGCACATTTTGGCTGATTGATTCACTTCATTAATTTTAATTCAGTGTATAAAATGCATCTTTGGTACATTGTACTCCCAAACAGCCCAATAGGCTACTTTTTTAAAATGTATCTCTTGATAGTGGATTTGCAGCTAGGAGGGATGGGGGAAAAAATCATAGAAACTATTCCCAGGCTTATATATAAAACGTGAAACAACCAAATATAGGGTATTTGGCCATCATACTGCATTTAGGGATGGTTGATGTCTTTTTATTTTATGAACATATCTCTTCCATGCTATCTGAATAAAGTCTATTTATGCCCGGCTCATTCATTTTTAAATGCATTAACTTGTGGAGCACAATTTGTAAGTCAAGAGTTCTGGATCCTTAAATTGTTCTGATGTCATTAAATTTACATTTAAAAAAAAAAAAAAAAATGTATTGAGAATGAACAGGGCTTTTTATTTTTGGGACTGCTTTTATTGGGGGGGACTCCCCCTCTCTCTCTCCACCCCCCCCCCCTCTCTCCCCAGAGGAGTGAATGGACTATACCATTTCACTTTCTGCATTACTTTTACAGTTCAGAGATTAATAAATATTGCTATAACAGCTTTAAATACATTTTATTTTAGCCGTATCTCCTGTATGTGGACTTATTTAGATGGAGACATTCTTTTTACATTTTGTTGCAAGTTTTAGTAAGCTGGGCGACAAGTAATGCCTTCAGATTCCTTATAAATACCTATTCGCATGGTATTGACTATTTTTGTTTTGTCACTTCTACTGTGTGTTTTTGCTTTTATACTAACTTTTCAGACATATTTAAAGATAAAGGACACTGTATTCTATCTAAAGCTGTTCATTTCCCAAACATTTATGAAGGATTAACGAAAAGGTGACAAATAAAAATTGTGTAAATTTATATCATCTAAATTTTTAAGTTTGTCTGCTGATCAATCTATAAACAAGACTGCTGTTGTATTGTATGTTTATATGCTTGCTATGCATCCCTTGTACCAAATAAATATTATGCTAATATTTTTTCGATCAAAACTTGTTTGGTGGTAAAGGGGTTAAAAGTGTATGTGGGTGTTATTCCCCCCTACCACTATTTTGGTAGCCTGACCCTAAACTGTATGTGTGTGCAAATTGAAGAAACTATTTATTGGATATGTACAGATCCCCCTTGTTTTAATATGTTGCATTAGTAGTTGAAATATTATTTTTTTTTTTTTTTGTCTGTCTAGTTCTTGGAGCTAGCCAAACTGTGGCTCTTACACTCCAAACCCTATCATCTTACCTGCATCACCTACTGCACCCACATGACGCCCATAAAGCATACAGCACTCGCATGATCAGAGAAAAGGCAATGTTTTTATTGTTGCCTAGTGACCTCTCTAGTGGCTGTCACTCAGATGGCCACTAGAAGTGCTTCTTAGTCCAGTAGATAAACCTACATTTAGCGTTTCCATGCTCTGCATGGAGGCACTAAATATTCCCCATAGAGATGAATTGATTTAATGAAGGGCTCGACAAATCCTGGTCGCCATGGCACCTTGGAATTTTGTCTTGGTGACTGGGATACGCGAGTCTCTTAACTCCAAGGTGGCTGGCCAGCCAGCGGCAAGCTGGGGGATTTTGCTGGCTGGTCATGGAGGAGGGCGGGTAGCTGTGCAAATAATAGGCGGGCGGCGAGGGAGCTATGATGTCCTTGCACTGCTTCCCTGCGCGCGCCGCTTAATGAGACCGGGGGCCAGGATCTGACATCATATTCCGGCCCCGGTCTCACTAATCGGCACGCGAGGGAGCAGAGCGGAGACCTAACAGCTCCCTCGCCACCAGCAACAAAACGTGCAGCAAGCCGCCTTCCTACAAAATCTCCGATCTCCCAATTTGCCGCTCGCCGGCACAATCCTCTAGCATGCCGCCCGCCTGCACCATCCCCCAGCCTGTCGCCCACTAGAACCCACAGGTATTAGACAAATATTTACACATGATTGCTTGTTTTGTGTGTGTGTGTTTCTTTTTTTTTTTTTTTAAGGTGTCCAGACCCCTTCTATTCGCAAGGGAATGGGGTTTGTATTTTTTTTTTTTTTAACGCCGTGCTGGTCTCCCCTCGACTGGCCCTACCTCTATGGCAGAAATTGATAAATCTTGATGATCTCAGCCAATCCAATGTTTTCCCATTGCATTGACTGCAAAACGCTGCACCAATCAGCATCTCTTCATGCAGAGCGTGGATACGCTGAATGTAGGTGCTGCACACTGTGCAGCACTGACACAGGAAGCACCTCTAGTGACTGTCACTAGAGGTGTCACTAGAAAGCAATGTAAACACTGCCTTTTCTATGAAAAGGCAGTGTTTACATTGAAAAGTCTGCAGGGACAGGCTATAGACACCAGAACCACTACGTTAAGTTGTAGTGGTCCTGGTGACTATAGTGTCACTTTAAGAATTGTATTTTTTGTCATTGAATAAAAAGCATTGTATGGTTTTTTAAAATAAATAAATAAAAATCGGGCTAACTATTTTAGCTGGCTCCTAGATTCAAAGCATATTTGTAAAGCCCTGATTTAATGTATCTATAAGGAGATGCTGATTGTCGCAGTGCATTTTGCTGCTCACAATGCTTTGTGCTATGCATTGGATTGGCTGAAATAATCAATCTTGATTATCAAGGCAGGACTAGCCACGGAGAGACCTGCATGGTGTAGGATAAAAGGGGAGTAAATCACCTTTCCCATACGATCGGAGGGGGGCCGGTCACCTAAACATACACTCACACACAAATTATTTTTTTTTTAATTTAAGTCCACCCAGCCTCCCTACTTTTGTGACAGCTGGAGTGAATCGTTTCCCGGAGCTCCAGTGTGGCTGCTGAAATTTTTAAGCTGTTCTTGCTCTGCTCCCTCGTGCCTCTTTAGTGATGCAGGGGGATGGATTGATGTCATATCCCGGTGTTCTATCAGTCTGGTATACTCCGTCAGATTGCTATACCCACGTCACTTCCGGGGAGGGGAATCAGCTGTCTCTTGTGCTGCACATGCGTGCTAGCACTCCTGCTACTCCTCCACAGCAAGGTCCTGGAAGGTAAGTAAAACTAGTTTTACACTTTCATTATAGTTAGTGCATTCACTAAGCTTAGGCACACGGGACATTTAGGGTTAAGTGAGGGTACAAATTAGGGTTAGGTAAGTGCTTCTAACCTCTCTCACACTCTATTCTTACCCTAACCCTTGGGGTAAGGGTTAAAATAAAGTGTGAGAAATCACTATTTAGTGATATTCCCCTAATGTGAAATATCACTAAATATGAACAAGTCCCTAATCCTAACCCTAATTTGAACCCTAACATTAACCCTAAATGTCCCATGTCCTAAGCTTAGTGAATGCACCAACTATAATGAAAGTGTAAAACTAGTTTTACTTACCTTCCAGGACCTTGCTGTGGAGGAGTAGCAGGAGTGCTAGCACGCATGTGCAGCACAGGATCCAGCTGATTCCCCTCCCCGGAAGTGACGTGGGTATAGCAATCTGACGGGGTATACCAAACTGATAGAACACCGGCATCACAGCAGTGCAGACAAGGAAGATTACAGCTCCTTCCTTGCCCGCCTCCATTCTGCCTCAGCCTGCTACCGTGGGGGTGTTGATTCTGAACGGGCTAACAAAATTCCTAGTCATCATGGCGACCTGGGGTCTGGAATTTGTTGAGCTCTGGTGTAACGGAATGTGTTTGTGTATGACTCTGTCTGTGTGCACCTGTTTCTGTGTGTGCTCATGTGCATGCCTGTGTGACCGTGTGTATCTTTGTGCATTCTGTGTGTGTGTGTCTGCATCTGTGTGTAGGAGAGCGTGTGTGTCTAGGTGGGGGGTCCAGCCATTTAATTAAAAAAAATGTACCGGTATTTTTAATTTTTTTAAAGGGTAAATTCAGTTACTGATTAAAATAAATAACTAAAATGTAACTCTTTAATTTTATCTGCAGCACAATACACTTTAAATATTCCCTTTCCCTGCCCTCTCTCCTCAGCTATACAGAAATATAACCTTTTTACTGTATATGGGCAGCACAGTCCTCTGTTTTGATATATGGTGCCTCAAGTGACTGAGGAAATCACTGAACTGACATTATGAGCAACACAATTGCATTAGATAAGATACAGGAAAATAAGGGGTTAAAAGGATATTATGCCAAAACCAGCTCATCCTCACGAAGCCCTTTTGTTGCCTTGATCCTGTTTCTTTCTCAAAAGTAAACATTGCAGGTTTATATTTGCTCCTAAACATCAGTCTGTCAGTAACTAAGGGACACATCAAATTGAAGACATTCAGTTATTGAATGTCTTCATGTTTGGCACCTATGAACGCTGCTGTGACAGTATTTGCAGTAGGCCCCCAATGCTCCTCTATTTATACTGCACCAGCCAGCTGAAACACAGTGTATAAAGGCCTTTTCTTCATCTTCTCCATTAGTCCTCTCTCTTCCCTGTCCTCTTGACTACTGGTTTCACCATGATTCACCATATGTGTCACATAATTCCAGTAAGGGCGGACTAGTCTTTGTGTGGCTCTATGCACTTGGACAGCTGCTCATTTATCTCTTTTCCCCTGTAAACTTAGAGCAAACGGTGTTTCTGTGGTCCAGCCATAATGATGTTTTCAACCCTCTCTATTTCTTTTTTTCTTAGTTGGTGTCTTTCTATCTCCTTGTAATTCGGGATATACATATGAGTAAATGGCAACAACAGTTCTGTCTCCCGAGCACCATGAGTGAGTTCTAGCTTCCGCAGTGACTTGGTGCGGACACTTCATTAATTTATTCGAGTGTGCTACCTCTATTCTTATGAAAAGTTTACGGCCTTTAAGTTGTAAAACACATTAAAAAAATATTATTAAAATTATCTGTTGACTTTAAATATTTTTACCGGGGCAATGGGATGATCATTAGCCAGTTTTAATCTATTTAGTACTTTTTCAAATCCAATTGGGGGAAGGAAATAAAATCGTGCTGCCCTTAACTTATTTAGTGGTTGTAGGTTTCCTTACATTAGGAGTCCAGTAATATGTTTGTTAATCTCTCCTCAAAGTCACTTGTGTAGTGGAGTATTTGCTAGATCATCAGAGTGTTTTGGAGGCTGTTCACCAGTATATTATGATGTCATTTCTGTCAGTTTTGTTGGTCTCTGCTCCAGTCATGTGTTTGAGTACTTGTGACATACTGATTATATGGCAAAACGATTGCCTGTGTGTTAGTCACATAGTGGAGAGAAAAAAATAGCTAAGAAAAACATGTTTGAGCATGCCTTCAAGGTGTCTGCCTCAGTGGGAAATCTTGACCAAAGCAAAGAGTGTGGAATTTTCACCTCCAGGAAGTGCAGACAACAGTGATCATTCACTCACTGTCTGGTGCTTATTAGAACGCAGCCCAGGTATCCGCTAGCTGTGCTTTGACTTGATAAGTGCCAGCCTATTAGGGAGTGCTTACTGTGGTCTACACCTGCTGGAGGTGCAGATTGAAGGCTCCCCCACATGACCTTATGGGAATAGCTAATAATTTGTGTGGAGGCCCCAATCTGAATTGATTTTGGGTGTCAGGGTAAGTAGATTGTCAAGACAAACAACTAAATTGGACTACCACCCTTGGACAAGCAGAGTTTTATTTTTAATTCCACACCCCTGCATATCCAGTTTAGATTCTTTCATTCCTTGGTATTTGCAAAATTCAGCCACCACACACACTGATACTCCGTTCATACAGCCTCTTCCACACACAACACTCAGTCTTTATACATAGTCACATACAGCACTCGGTGAACCCGGACACACACCACTCATAGAAACAGAGCCCAGAGCTCGAGCAGGAACACCAATCTGGCACACTGCCTAGGGCCCTGGCCCCAGGCAACCTTAATCTGGCTCTGCTTGTAGCTGTTTCCTATATGGCCTACTAGTATTTCTATAGTCCTGGTTATCTCTCCTCTTTTTGCTAACATCTGCTCACATTTATCTAGTCCTAACAATATACACAAGTCACTGTCCTGCTCAGTGTTGGCATACAGCTTGATATCCTCCATGTAGAGGGGGTTGATGGTATATCCACTTTTGAACCTGTGTTTGTATCCACACTTCTGGCTGAACAACATGAGAGAGAGAGAGAGAGAGAGAGAGAGCATCACCTTGGTATGTTTTTTGTGACTTTGACAAGAGCCAAATAGTGAAGGCTAGACAAGTGGGTCAAAGCATCTCCACAACAGGTATTCTTGTGGGGTGATTCCAGTAGGCAGTGGTTAGTACCAACCAAAAGCGGTACAAGGATGGAAAACTGTTAAACTGGTGTCAGGGTCATGGGCATTCAAGGCTTATTGATGTATGTGGTGAGCGAAGCCTAGTCTGTCTGGTGCAATCACACAAGAGGTACTCTAGCCCAAATTGCTGAAAAACATAATGATAGGTGTCAGAACACACACAATGCATTGCCGTTTTATTGCATGTAGGGCTGTGTAACCGCAGACCGGTCAGAGTGCCCATAATGACCCGTGTTTATCGCCGAAAGTTGCTTGGTCTGTAGAATCATGTGGTGGTTTTTTGATCAGGTGGATTGACGAGTGCGTGTGTTTAGTTTACCTTGGTATAGATGGCAGAATGATGGATTATGGGAAGAAGGCATAGCTGCTGAGGCAGTGTTATGCTCTGGGCAATGTTATGCTGGAAAACCTTGTGTTCTGGCATTCATTTGGGTATTCCATTGAGACGTACCACACCGACTGTTTCAGACACGTACACTCCTTCATTGCAATGGTGTTCTCTGATGGCAGCGGCCTCTTTTAGCAGGATAATGCTCACTGCCAAAATGTCTTCAGGAATGGTTAGAGGAACATATTAAAGAGTTCGGGGTGTGTTGCCTTGGATTCCAAATTCCTCAGATCTGAATCCGATTGAGCATCTGTGGGATGTGTTGGAACAACAAATTTGATCCATGCAAGCCTCACCTAGCAACTTGCAGGATTTAAATGATCTTCTGGTAATGTCGGCTACCACAGGAAACGTTCTAGACGTCTTGTGGAGTCCATGTCTTGATGCATCAGAGCTATTTTGGCAGCACGAGGGGGACCTACATGATATTAGGCAGGTGGTTTTAATGTTGTGGCAGATCTTTGTTTGCAGGAATGTGGAATTTATATTGTTTGACGCCCAGGACAATTCTGGGTGCCGGGCAAAAAGACTTTAAATAAAAAAATAAAAAATATATATATTTTATTTAAAGTCTATATATAATTTATTTATAGCACTGCTGTGGGCAGGGAGTGCATGTCTGTTATGCGGAGGGCCAGACTGGTCTATCCTGTTAGGGGCACCAAGACACCATAACTTGGGCTGGCTGCAGCTCATATAACTGGGGCTACCAGGATTTAGCGTGACGTGGACAGGCAGAAATCATCAGCTGCTGGTAATCTGTGTGTGTCAGTGAATATGAATCCGTGTATCACAACTACATACAACCAGCACACTAACACGTGACCTACCGCTAGCATACACTTTTTTTTTTTTTTTTTTCATATAAATCCAAGTGGCAAAACTGGGACAAAACAGCCCTGTTGAGACTATAGGAAAGTTAGAGAATTTTTAGCATGATCTATTATTACATCCATTTCTTTCAGACTTATTTTGTGAAAATTCTGAATTTAGCAAATAGCCCTGTCAAAGTCCAGGGCTCTTGTCAGGGACCCCAATTTTTTTAATTTAATTTTTTTTTTTGTGTCCGGACAAGTAGATTGTCATGATGCCGAAATAGATTTGGCTACCATTTTAGTCTCTTGGGTGTGCGTGCGTGCGTGTCAGGATGATATTGCATTTAAAATTTGTAACTTTGAGTTCATATCGCAAGTGCATGTGTGACACTGGGTATTCACAGGATTGGTGCCACGTGGTATAACGGAGGAAAAGGAAACCACATCTTGTTCAGAGAACAAGTGTAGGAGGGACATGAGGTGCCAGGCAGCTTTCCCTTCACAAAATATCACATCAAGAATTCTACACAGGGCTGAAAACAGCAAAAGAAGGTGAGGGGCAGTCTTTTCTTTCTCTCTCTTCTTCTAAAGAGACCATCTTCTGTTGCCCCTTTGTCTGTGCATTGTTTTGCACTTGTGAGAGCTGTGTCTTTTAACTTCTGTATGTACACAGCAAAGGGTCAAATCTGTCCCTATTTAAATTATCCTCTCTGTGTCACTCTGTCACAGTGAACTATTCACGGTCGGTGAAACAACTGTAACTTAATTATAATATTTTTCAGTTCATTTTTTTTTGGTGGGGCAAGTGTAACCATGTTCTCATCTGTTTTTCTGTCCATTGCTTATTATTTTCACTACTTTGGTAGCATGACATGACTCATTTTTACGGCAGGGATGCACGTAAGTAATACGTGCTCTAGAGTGTGCATTAAGCTACAACGTTGCCAACAATCATTCACTGTAATCATATGTTAACCATAATCCCAATAATGACTGTGGATTACTGATTTGCAGAATCCATACCAAAGTAGTGACATTGTAAAAATGGAGTTTTGTTTATTTATTGCATTTTGCTTCAGCAATACTTTAGGCTACATTTTGCAGGTTTGTTATCTCTCTATTTACTGGGCAAATTCTTAAATGAAAAGTAATGGGGCATCTTCCAGCAATACTTAAGTTGTGTTGACCCAGACTAGACTGTCATTCAAATGAGATTCATTCAGTGCTTGGCAATGATGTCAGCTGTACAATGTACTCTGGGAAAATACATATTTTTCTGGTATATCCTGTAGGCTGCAACATGACAAGTCTCTACTATTATCTGTCCACTTCCTACTGCAGCAGTAGACTTCTTTTTCTGTAAGTGTACATAAATCAAATCTGCTGATTTTAAATACTGGCATAAAGTGTGTGCGTGTGTATTATTATGATTTATATTGCGCCAACAAATTCTGTAGCGCTGTACGGTGGTTGGACTAACGGACACATAATTGAGATCAGACCACTGGACGTACAGGAACAGAGGGGGTTGAGGGCCCTGCTCGGTGAGCTTAAATTATATTTTATATATATATATTTATTAATTAATATTACAAACTCTATGTCAAATAAAATTTGGATATGGAAGATGGACTGTATGCTTGTCCTAGCATCTTTTATGTTTTCTCTAGTTTTAATTTATAGACAAAATATGGTTATAAACCATGAAGGACTACTAAAGTCATCTGAATAAAGTGATAATTTGAACCGCCGTACTGATGAAGTAAAACTCGTTCTGGGAATCAAATGCTACTGATAGCGGCATATGGATGCTGACATCACCAGAGGTGGATCTGGAGGCTGCAGAGGAAGAGTTAGGGCTCTGAGTAGGAAAAGAGTAATTGTCATTTAACTCACTTCACGTAGGGTGAGGACAAAGGAGAGTGGACAGGGAGGGATCCTATAGTCCCAAATGTTACTTTTGGGACTACAGGTTCCCTTTAAAAATAACTTGGTATGGCAAACATTTCTCCTGATATTATAGCATTAAGCAAACTTTTTAGGTCACCAGCCCCCCTTAGATCACATGGGAAAGTTGAGTTTACTTTTTTCCCTATGCTGTAGCAATCTCGCCACAGCTGTCCCTGCCTTCAAGGCTGAGATTATCATTCTTGATGATCTCCGCAAATCCAATGCTTTCCTAGCGGAAAGGCTGTTGCGCATTGGCAGCAAAAAGTCACGCTGCGCCAATCAGTATCTCTGCAAAGAAACACATTGAATCTATGCATCGCTGTGGAGAACATTCAGTGCCTCTATGTAGATCATGGAGATGCTGAACAGCTCTGCAGCACTAAGATAGGAAGCGCTTTAGTGGCCACCTGAGTGACTGCCACTTGAGATGTAACTAGCCGGCAATGTAAACACTGCCTTTTATGTGGAAAGGACGTGTTTACAGTGCTAAGGGTGCAAGACGAGGCTATAGACACAGAACCACTACATGAAGCTGCAGTGGTTCTGGTGACGAGTGTCTCTTTAACCAGCAGCCATCTACTTTACTTGCCTGTTATATCGCAAGTGCAATCTAATCTTTGGAGACTGGAGACCACATTGTTTAAGTGGTTCAGTGATTTGTTTCCCTTAACCCTCTTATGGTTTTTGACACACAGTAGAAAGTGACACACGTTTTCCTCTGAGTGTGAAGAAACTTGTCCCATCTTACATTTGCCGGTCACTGTGGGATTAAATTGAAAGGACATTGCCATTGTTTTATTTCTTATTTCTTAAAGCTGGGTTTTTTTTAAATTCTTTATTTTTGGTTGTGCAAGGATACAGAACATCGTATGATACCATAACAGCATACATGTGCACTATTTAAATACATTGAATCACAAACAAAGCATTGAAAGAGCTGCACCCCTTGGAGGCGCGAGCAGTATCGGCCAACATTTGTGACACACACAGGGCTGTGAAGGGGTAGGTATGATGTATGTAGCAGGTCAGGTTGGTCATTGTAATGATTGGAAACCTTTCCATTTTTTTTTTTTTTTATTCCATTATTGAATATGTAAAAATATTTTTTTGTGCTGCTCATAATCCAATATGTAACCGTATCATGAGAAGTAAAGGAAACTTAACATTTTGGGCTCCTGTCTTGAGCCTTGCACACCACTGTAGACATAGCCAACCTTGCTTGACCTTCTTACCAGTTAGTAGGTCAAATTCACCCTGGTATGACATGCCCATTTTACAACTTGCATCAGCGATGATGCGCTTGTATTTATGGGATCATAGTCTATACTTGACATTTCCCTGTTTCTGATTTTTAACTTGCCAAAGTTGGCACGTTTGTATTAATGGTGTTCAGCAATTCAGAAATACTGTTGCATCGCCCCATACTTCCTATGTTCAAAATTTTTTTTTTCTTCTCTCACGGAAATAGCTGGAAGTATTAGCAGTGGCGGAGACCTTTTTGACGTGCGACTTCATGATGGTATTAAATGTAATGAAACACATTATTGAAGGGGCAAACATCCTCCCTCAAAATGGGAAATTCACTTACATGGTGGTGCCCAGGGGGAGAAGGGAAGTGCTTCCACCTCACAGCCATATTCAGCTGTTCAGAGAAGTAATCGTTGGCAATGTCACCATAAAACAGACATATATGGAAAACAAAGATTTGGCAGTCAGAAACATTTGACACATTTTGTCCAAAATTAGCCTGTCAATGCCACAAAGTAGTTTTAATTTTTTTTTATTTGAAATTTTAATCACATTGGAGTTCCAATGAAGATAATCTTATAACCACGTTAAGTGTAACGAAAAATATATAATATTTAGAATTCTATTCCATCTAAATTTGGTCAAGATTACCAAATGTTTAATGTGATGTCATGTTATAAAAGAGGGATGTTTTGAGAGGTAAACTGGTGCTAGCGAGAATACCCAGACTACAACAAAGTGTCTGGGTCAGGTTTAAGGGGTAGTCCTCTACTGCCATTTCACATTAAATAGCCAAAATATTATTTTTTTGTCAATGGTTCAGCCTTTTGCTGGATCCCTGAGCGTGTTCTAGTGGTCATGGTACCTAGAATGACCCTTTTTATTTAAAAAAAAATAAGTTTTATTGATATCTATTAAGTTCTGTTGCAAATACCAGTTTTGCAGCAGAAAATGTATTATTAAATTTAGTTATTCACTAAAGAGAGACTTGTCAAGAATTTGACACCAAATTTGTTAAATTGGAATTATAGTAGTATTGGAGAATTTTACTAATTTAGTTATTGTGGCCTTTAAATTTGAAATACACTTTGAATTCCTGACAAATCTCGCGTTAATGGATAACCAAGATAAACTTCTTAATAATTTACATTAGAAAAATCACTATAAATGTGTTTTTGGTTACATGCTCTGCTTGCATGCACTACAATGTTCAAATCTTGCCAAGTTTTAGTTTAAACTAGAACTCCCATCATTAATAACTCCCGGGCCACTACTATAAAGAGGGTTTGTGTGCTGCTGTAACAGCAGAATAATAAATATATTATGTAGCTATATTATTAAACTATTAATGTAATCATCTTGCAGTCTTAGTAAATGACTTTTAAGAACGGAAGTGGATTGTGAATGGGGCTGCATTTTTTAAAATTTATTTATTTATTTATTTATTTTTCTGTTTGTTTTTCTCATAGTTGCCCCAAAGTCAAATGTAGGCTGTTATCTTTTGATTACCACTTTATCTTTATCTGGGGCTGATCCATATGTTATACAATGGATGAACTATTCAATTACTTAACATTATTAACATTAATAACATTAGAGCACACGGTTTATGGAAATGCTAAATAGTTTATATAACGCTTAACCTGTTTTAATTTATTACCTAGACCTTTGTCAAGCTAGTAAAACATGCCATTATTTTCTAAGCAAAGTGCTCTTTTATTCATGTCTTGTATTAGATTTCTACGTTTTATGTCTGTCTGAGTATGTGGCCACACAAACACGCGTATACTGTGCAATGTGAGCTGTTTAATAAGAAACAAAATCCTAAACAAAGTTAGATTGATAAACCAAACTACTCAATAAATGTAAAAAGCTTATTTTTGGGTATTATTAAAAATGCTTAATGATTAATTCAGCAGTGGGTGGAAGGTCCACTGAATCTTTCATGTTAAATATTACTTGTGCCAATGCATGGGTTAAAGGTTTACTCCAAGCACCATGACCACTTAAATGTTTTCTAATTTGTCATGGTGCCTGGAGTCCTTTTGTGCAACATTTTTGCCTATAAAACACTGCACAGAGTGAGTTTAATCCCTTTGCTGATGTAAGTGTAACTCCACCTCAAGCGGCATCATTATGCAGTCCGGAACAAAAGTTGCCGTCTTGTTCATGTCAATTCAGTGCATATTTCTATGCACAGAATTGTCATTCATTGTCTGAGAGCTATCAACTGACTCTCTCAGCCTATGGATGGCAAAAGCGCCGGCCTCTGCAGCTCTACAAAAGCCAGATCCATACCACAGGAACTGAAAGAAGCCTTGGCATCTGGTGGGAACCTTGGTAAGAGGGCAAACTATTACCAGGAAATTCATCCAGGGTGCTCCTCGCATCATGACCAGTGGGCTTTAGTGATGATGATGATGATGATCCTTAAAGTAACCCTTTTAAACACTGAACACTTTCCCATTGTGCAATACAATGTGACCTTGGTGAACTATTAATGTAAACAATTGGGAATCCCTTCCTAGTCTCTGTGAATTTCTATACTCAGAAATTGTTCATTGTCAGATACTACACAGCAGGCAGACACGGTATGTTTGCCTGGTATGTGTGTAATGTTGTTACAATTCAGGAGGCAAATGGAACACAGTGCAGCATGACATCACTGTAAGTGTGTCAGATGTCCATGTCAGTCACATGGATATGACTGTCTGTGATGTCATGTGGATATGACACAGCCCTCGCTAATATAGGGAGTTATTTCTAAAGAGCAGTTCAGGGACAGTCGCCATGGAAACCAATGACCTTTGCAAACTGTGTTGCTTACGTCTTAAAACTTTGCCAAGTACTGCTTTTTTAACGTAACCTCTGTTTGTGTCACACTGTATAGCTTGTGGTGTGTGTACAATTAACCCCTTAACGACGAGTGACGGACAAGGTCTGTCACTCAGGGGATTGCCATAACGACGAGTGACAGACCTCGTCCGTCACCCGTTAAAATTAACCCCGGATCACAGTCCAAATAAAAATTAACTCCTCTGCCAGTCGATCACTGCCTACAGTGATCAAAATAAAGATCAGTATAAAGACAGTATTATACTGTTATCTAATTTTTATTAACCCCTGAGGATTAACTTTTTATTTTTTAATCCTCAGGGGTTCAATTTATTTAATTTAAATATTTTATAATTATATATTTTGCTAGCTGGGGTGGGTGGGAGTTATGGGAAAATGGGAAATTTACTGTTAGTGCTGCTTACTGCTAGTTAGGGTTAACAGTAAAAAAAAAAAGCTTAGAAAAATGTTAAATCTGTAAAAAAAAAGTTTTAAGAAAGTTTAGGAAAGTTTTAAAAAATTAATAAGCAAAACAAAAGTTTAAAAACTAGTTTTAAAAAGTAAAAAAAGTTGTAAAAAGTAAAAAAACACATCTAAAAACGCTCATTACCACTACACTTGGAACAAACTAGAGAAGAAATGACCACACGCTAAGGTTCAAAATATGCCTTTTGAATTACCCCAGGGTGTATGCTTTAATAAATAGTATGTGTTTGTGGGGAAGTTTCAATAACCAACCATCTAAACTACTCCAAATTGGAACATGGACACAGCGTAAAACTTCAAAGTTAGAAAAAAACTGAATGGCTGCGTCTCAAATGCGCCCCTTCAGCATCCACATATACCTGGCAAAGGTACATACGGTGGTATTGCTGTACTCAGACGACATAGCTGAGCAACATATGAAGTATTATACAGTCGTAGCACACATAAGGTTTGCAAAATATACTGTACAAACTCACTTTGTGTGTCAAAAAGGCAGAAAAAACACTTATTACCACTACACTTGGTACAAGCTAGTGGAAAAATGATCCCACGCTAAGGTTCAAAATATGCCTTTTGAAATACCCTGGGATGTTTTCTTTAAGAAATGGTATGGCTTTATGGGGTATTTGGATTATATAGCCTGGTAAAATACTCTATAATGGGACATGGGCACAGCATAAAAATGTAAAGTTTGAAAAAACTGGAATGGCTGTGTCCCAAATGTGCCCCTCCGATGTCCACATATACCTGGCAAAGGTACATACGGGGGTATTGCTGTACTCAGCCGACATAGCTGAGCAACATATGAAGTATTATACACTGGTAGCACACATAAGGTTTGCAAAATATACTGTGCAAACTCACTTTGTACTACACTTGGTACAAGCTAGCGAAAAAATGATCCCACGCTAAGGTTCAAAATATACCTTTTGAAATACCCTGGGGTGTTTAAGAAATGGTAGGCCTTTGTGGGGTAGTTTGAATATAAACCCTGCTAAGATGCTTGGAAATTACCATAGGCCCAGTGTCAAAATTCAAAGTTCGGTAAAAACTGATATGGCTTGGTCTCCTATATGGCACTGTAGCTTCACGAAATAGTGCCAAAGACATACAATGGGGGTGTCATTTTACTCAGAAGACTTAGCTGAGCATAATTTGGGGGGTTTGAACTTAGTGGCACATGTGAAATATACAAAATGCCCATCAAAAATGCAATCCTTATGTAAAAAAAAAATGCTTTTTTGAACAGTCAAACTGTTATAATACCCCAAATGGAAGCATAGGCTCATTAAATCTGTCTCTCAAAATTCTACTGTGAATACTGAAAAGAACAGGCCTCCTATATGGCACTGTAACTTCACGAAATAGTGCCAAAGACATACAATGGGGGTGTCATTTTACTCAGCAGATGTAACTGAACACAAAATAAAACTTTGTACAGGGATAGCACACACCAACTTTACCAAATACACATGAGAATTTCTTTGTTATAAGTTTGTGTGCCAAAAACCAAAAAAACCCACACAATTTTACTCCAATATTTAGCAGAGGTTGGCGGTGAAATGGCTACGTAGAAAGTGTCAAAACAACCTTAGGTAAATAGCCTGTGATGTCTACTTTATATAAATATATACTTTTGTGTGGCAATTTAGTTTTCTTTTATGGCTATTAAGCTTACAAGACAAACATACCAAATTCTAAAATCGTTCCACATTAAAAGTTTATTTTACTCCTTGTGCTTTGTGACCTGTAACTACCAAAAAAAAGCCTCCCAGACACATTATATATTCTGTAAATCAGAACAACTAAATGAAATTATTTTTAATTACTTTCCTTAACCTGCACTAATTATGCACACATTATTATTGCAAAAACTGTAAAAAAAACACAAATTTTCATTTTGTTTGCATTTTTCTGTATTTTTTTTTTAATAAAAAAATAAAATAAAATAAATATATATATATATATATATATATATATATATATATATAGTGTGTGTTACATCAAATTAAAGCCCTTTCTGTCCTTTAAAAAATGGTATATAATATGTGTCGGTGCAATAAATTAGTAAAATGCAAATTGCAGTTGAACGCAAACAGCAAAAATTGAAAAAAATGCTGTTGTCATTAAGTGAAAGACAAGCTTCTGAAGCTCTGTCCTTAAGGGGTTAAAGCATTCACTTAACACAAGGGGCATGTGTAAATTTAGGGAGGATCTGTTTGCATTTGTGCAATGAAACTCCACTGTAAAATGGAAAGGGCACACTATGGAGATGCGTCTGTTCTAGTTTGGAGCTAAGTGGTGTTGGTGGGAGTCTTTCAGCCTGCTTGAATGAGGGCAGTGTTTAATATGATGAGGGGGCACAGGGAAAGGTGTGTGTGTGTGTGCGCGCGCGCAGTTCATTTGGTTGCTGTATATTGTTCGTTCAGACATAGCTTGGGTTGAATTTAGGAGGCTTAAAGGCTGCTGAGCTTTCCACAGCAAATACTTTCTCCCATTGGAGGGAGGGAGGGGGGGGGGAGGAGGAGGAGGAGTTCATGCATTTATTTGTGTTTTAGTTGAACAGATAGATCCTGGAGTGAGAGAACAAGACAGAACCCGATGTTCCAGAGACGTGATGGGAGGGGAGGGAAAAAGGGAGGGGGTAGCATCATGAGGAGGATTTGTGTAGTAATGCCAGGTTCTGCAAACTGTACTGCATTAACCCCTTCACTAGTGAGCTCTTTTCTGAAAATAAATAACCGTGTAGTTTGATATGCAGATTTATGGTTGGGTTTTTTTGAGTGGTGATGAGAGATGCCAAAAATATAAATTTGTACACATTAAGATGGTGTGTTTTTTTTCCTGTAATTTATCCCTTGCATTTTAGTTACAAGTACAAAAATGTGTTGTCCGCCGACACATTGCCTACTTTGCGTGACATTTTTTATTTTTTAAAGTCATGCCCATGCTGGTAAATCTAAAACGCCATGATGGCGAACATTGGGCAATTGCTTTGAGGTTCTAATGGGTTTTACCTTACCTTGCCTCCCTCACCCCACTGCAATACCGTAAGATCAGCACCTCCGTATTCATACGGTTTGTATCTTATTCCGTTGCTGCCTGGCATTGAATACACTGAATTATAGGATGAAGACTAATATGCATTGGGTGCCAAGATGTGCCTTGAATTCAAAATGGAAAAAGCTGAAATAATAGCCAGCTTTTAGTTGGCAATTAGCATGTGCCATTACTTCTAAAGTGACAGTTCCACTTTGTTTCCTAAATTGCTCTGACATGCTAATATACAAAGACATGCCATATTCACTATGCTTTTCCAGGACACACATCACTTATACAAATTGATGGACCGTATATGAAGGTGCTGCCCTGTAGTATGTACAAATTAAAGGTGCAGGTAGTAAATCAGGTGATCAATCATTCAGGAATCCTACTGTGTATACATTGTATATACTGCCAATACATGTGCTGCTAATGAATATGATGAAATTGTGCATCCAGTAAAATATGGTGTATATGGCAATCCTGAATGAATAGGATTCAGATTTTTAGTCATTTATCATCTCTGTGTTCCTGATATATGTTTCCACTACTGCTATAGATGTGGTTAAAAGCATGCCACATTGCCCCTTGCAACAGTATTCATCATACTCTATTTGAACACCATTGCTACCCTCTTGTATCCATCTTCCCCTTTTGATGTCTGTGAATTACTCCCCCCACCTTGTAATGTGGAAGTTGTGTGATTAATGTTTCCATAAAACCTATAAATAAATGTACGTTTTTTTTGGGGGGGGGGTTGGGGGCTTTGCATATGGCCTTAAAATAAATTTTGTCTTTCTGCTTTGTGTGCTGGCTAGTACATTGATTACTGGGAACATAATGTGCGTTACAGGGAAGTTCAGTCAGTTTCCCCCTCATATACTCAGATTTTTGCAACCATTTTTAGTTTATCCGAGGACATCATGGCACCTGTCGCTTTAATATCTCAATTCTGACGTCTTTTAAACTAACTGCCCTCTCTTTCTCCCACTCAGCATGATCTGCCTTTTCCGTCCCCTCCCCTGTTCATTTCCTTCCTTCCTTCCTGCCCCCTATGTGCTCTTTCTCTTCTGTGTCCCCCCTCTGACTGTATAAAAATTTAATTCCTTAGTGTTGGCACCCCACTCTCATCACCTCAATTCAATCATGTGCTCTAATCCCCCCGCTCCTCTTGATAAATTATGTGCATTGGTCATTTGGTGATGGTACATGCACTTCTTACACTCAATTTCTCTCTACAACAGCGATGTCTAACCATGATACACAATGTGCCATGACGCTCAGGCAGTTTAAGGCTTAATTCATTCTCTGTTACTGATGTTGTATCTTAATAATTAATGTTGGCTTTCGCTTTACACTCTGAATTTCTTACCACTTGACATTTTGAATGAGCACTATGCGTTATAATTCCCTTTTCTAGGGAAAACACTGGAGACATTTTTATATGTGAAGGGCTATTTGCCCCTGAAGTAAGTGTGACCTTGGCTGTTCCCAATGACTACTGTGAAAGCCTGCCCTCTACAGTCCTGCCTTTCTTCTCCTAAGTGTGCACTTTCAGCTTTGCTCATCTTGCATAACCATCACATTATATGATTATATACTGGTCTGGTTATATACCTGGAATACAGCAGTAACTTTTAACTTGGTGGTTCTTGGAGAATCAAGGCAAATGTTTGTTTTCCTTCAACCACCATTTCAGGATCTTGTTTGATCCTGCTATATGTACTGCACGTGCCTAGCTCACTAGTAGTGGAAATTATTTTACAGCTGGGTAACTAGAGCCCAATCATATTCAGTTGCATGATAACGATGGAAAAAGTAAAGCAGTGTGTGTGGGTGCATGGTTGTCTTTTAATGTCTCGTCTGTTTGGCAGTAGGTTAATCAAGGGGTGTCTGTAACCAGCATGAGATGTGGGCAGAGTGCCAACTTCCACGTCCTGTGTACAGAATGCATCAATCATGTGACATGGGGCAGGGCTAGGGGTAGATAAGGCCAGTGTTAACCCTTACAGTGGAATAAATACATCAATGCAAATTGTATTCTGCACAACACCCAGGCCTGGTTAGTCATCACTCGCAGGAGTAGCAACATGGGCTGTAGGACCGGATGGAGGTGCTGTGACAAAGCTGTGTTACTAGCGTGGGTGATCAGTACTGGACTAGCAGGGTGCAATTACTGAGATGTGAAACCAGGTTACATTCTGTATCTTTTGTCTTCGCAGCCACTTATACAAACAGTCACCTGCAAATGAATTCCATGAACCCTCTGAAACCATCACACCCGGGCACAGGGCACAGGTGAGAGAATTTGACACTGCCTATCCATCATTTTACCTGCTGTATACATATACTAAATTGTGCACATACGCATGCATTCCTCAGTCTCAAATCTTGTTGCTTAGATTAGTTGTATGGGATTCCCATACACACCCCTACCCTTTTCCTGTACACTGCTGCTTATGTACATCACTTTCTGCTTAATCTATAGGCATACACACCAACATCCCTCTCTACATAAACTGGTTCTTCTGCTATTTCTTCATTCATACTCTATGGCTAGTGTTTGCTCTGTCCTGTGTCTGCTATTTGTACACATGCTTAATGCTATCTCTGCACATGTAGCTAACTCCTGCTTCTGTCTTTTAACAGTGATGGTTCATTTGCATACGAGTCTGTTCCTTGGCAACAAAGCACCAATCAAGCAGGAGGATCGCTCTCCGTGGTAACAACTGTCTGGGGTCTGAGCAACACATCGCAGAGCCAGGTAACTTGATGTAATTGGAGGTGGGATCTGTAGAGCAGCACCGTCCCCTCCTCCCCCGGCAGAGACCTGTACTAGCATCACATTGTTTAACCCTCTCATCACCTGTAGAGCTTCATGCATTATTTTACCTGTCAGCCTGCAATATTCGATTAACAGCCAGCTGCAAGAAAGCTTCATGTGAGAAGATGTAAACCATTTTTCTACCTTGACATTTTTCCTAGCAGGTCTTTGGGAATCCCATGATGCCCAGCGGTGGCCCCACTGGGGGGGGAGTCATGCCAGGATTGGCAGGCAATGCTGGAGGAATGGGGAGCCCTCAGTTTATCGGCCAGCAGGGGTACCCAGAAGGAGGAGCCGGAAAAGGCTATATGCAGCAAAATGTTTATGGACGAGGTGGATACCCAGGAGGCAATGCATATGCTAACAGGTAAATAAACAGTGTTTTCGATGTAGCATATTTAGTTTTTGTGTACAAAAATGGGGAGGGCATATTTTAAAATCTTACAAGAGTGTATATATGAAATGCTGCCATTAATGTGAAACTCCACTGCTGAAACAGTTATGATTTATTATGCAGAAAAAAAAAATCTAAATAAAAGTACTATTTATTATTTGAATAGATGTGTTAGTGTGTAAATGTTTACAATCAATCTTGATTTTACTTATGGAATTTTTGGTCAGGGTTGACATTTGCTGTAGCAAGTCACAGGCTTGATGCTTGCTTCACACAACATATACTTAAGTCATTACACCTTTATTATTGAAGGTGACATTTCTGTAGACTATTATAACATCCATCCTCTACACCGCTATTTTAACTTGTATTTCTGGTTACCACACACAACCTCTCTTTCTCTCTCTCTCGCCTGATCAAAGTTTTGCAAGATTACAGTTCCTAACTTGCTGCTACTATTATACATTCACTCTCTCTTCTGCTTCCTCCCAGCACCTTGCAACCTTATTCAACATTTTGGCACTATTCTTTGCTACATACTGAATGGAACGAGCATATTTGCTTGATGCATTTTTGCAATATACTTTTTAATACATGCTCAGCTTTTCATTGTTGGTTTTTATATTCCCCATTAACATACAGGATGATTTTGGTACCACATAAAGTACAGTACACTGGTACCTTTTTGTTTAACTTCTTTCTATTTGAAGAGTTAAACGTTACACATTTTAAGAAGTTAACTGTTTTGCATAATATATATATTTTTTAAGTGTGAATTAATACACATTTTGGCACCATTCATTCCTCTAAAATTCCTTCTCTACTATGATTCTAAACTAAATTGCAAAGATCTGCTAGAATATCACGTCTTTTAAAGGGACACCTAAAGCACCATAACCACTTTAGCTTATTGTTGCGATTATGATTCTGGGAGGTTATGGATAGTATATTACCTGTGGTTTTTGTCAAAATGTTTTCAAACACTTGGATAAAAATACTGATTTCCCTTGTACACTAAGCCCACCTCTATGGTGGAGATGTCATAATGAAGAAACTCAGATTTGTGTCCATGCAAATATAGTATACTTTGAAGGTTAGCATTGAGACGATCTGAGCTTCTGGACGCTTTTGGCACTGCAAGATGTGAGGTGTGTCAGTTTGGTGCCAATTATAGGTTTTTCAGTGATCCGCTCAGAGACCAGACAGACAATGCTTGCAATCTCTCACTGCACAGCAGGCTCACTCTGTAGATTTGACCAATAGTAAACGTCCATAGTGTTTGGCAGGGGAGCATGGCCACTATTAATACCACCATTGTTGGGCAGCATTTTTCAATAGATAGTGACCATCCTTATTATGATGTTGCCATAATAATATCCATATAATTACTGTGCTATTTATTCATGTTTACAGAAATGCTAAGTATTGTAGGTGGATATCAAAGGTAAAACGATTGCAGTGAGGAAAAGTATTCTGCAGCTAGTGTCTTCTTTTACAATTGTCAAGTTGTGTTCGTGTTGCTCAGGCTTGGTACAATTTTTCTTTTTTTCTTTCTTTTTCCTTTCCAGTTATCCTGGGGGACCAACCGCTTCTGGTGGGATGGGAATGGCACAAAATCCTGGCCGCGGGCCAGCAGATTTTACACAAGCAGCAGCGGCAGCAGCTGTAGCGGCGGCTACAGCAACAGCAACCGCTACTGCAACTGTGGCCGCCCTGCAGGAGAAGCAAAGCCAGGAGCTCAACCAATATGGAGCGGTAAAGACTTGCTCTACAAACTACACCCTGTTCATGGCTGAAAAGCGTTTTTTTTTTGTTTTTTTTTTTTACCCTCCCCTCCTCTTTTTTTATTTTTAACTACTAATCCTACAATTCTGTCCATTAACTCTAGCAGTATGCTTATACTTTTGCATTACACATTAATGGATTTATTTCCACTCCTGTCTTAATTTCTTGGAGCCCATTCGTATCTCTGGTATTATCCTGATAGTTATTTTCTGTTTTTCATTACAGGTTGGGCCTTCTCATGGTTATGCAGGCCAGTTCCTGCCCCATGCAGGTCCAAGAGGGCCCTCTATTCAGAGTGGAATGACTTCTGGTGGGCTAGGGTCTGTGATGGGCAACTCTGGCATGTCCCAGATGGGAATGAGCTCCGCAAGGGCTCCTGGAATGAGCCCTGTGTATACTGGGCAACGTATACCACCCCATGGCTACCCTGGGCAACTGCAGGGTCAGCAGATGCCCCGGCAGGGAGTAAAAAGGACATACTCCAATGAGGTGAGAATGTAAACTTGGTGAAATGTATAGCAAACTGTGACTGTCAGGTTGACTTGTAATGGTTAGTAAAATAATTTATTGTTCAATTTTAGTGCCTCAGATTGTAATTTTACATGTAAAGTGTGTGTATGTATGTACGTACATGTACATACATGCATTTGGTTATGTCTGGGTGCAATATCACATTGCAGGGGGCGGGGCCGGGCTGCCGGGCCGACCAGACGCATTATGCAGGGGCTCCAGCATTACCGGAGCAAAAAGGCACAAAAAGCCGCCCCAGACCGCTAAGAAGTCGGATAACCCGACAATAATTAACAGGGAGCAACCTCAGCGCATCGTAGACGCTGGCACAAGGCACAACACAAGCCAGACGGGCAATGGAGGGCGAGCCCGGCCTACACGCGGCAGAGCACCTGACCGCGGTCACAACACGCGGCTTGAAACCACAGAGAGCCGCGGACCCGAAACACATAAGCGGGAGAGAAGCCGCACAGATGGTCCCTTCTGCACCCCCGGCCCGGGGCACGGCCCTGCCCCCCCCCCCCGGCCGGTGGGGGTTATCCCGGCCACATGGCGGTGACCCATGCCACGGCAGGAGTTCCTGCGTGGGGTGTGCGATGCCCGCCTACACTGGCAAAAGCTGTATGTGAAGCAGCAAGCCAGCAGCAATTGTCAATTACACGGAGGGAGAGCCCGAGGAGGGAAGCACACAGACCCCGGCATGGAGAGGTCTGCCTACCTTTATGTGGAGACCCTTGTATGCGGGGCCCTGACGGCAGGCGGCCCACGGACGGACACCCCGGATGGCCGGCCCCCTGGTAACGATACTGGACCATGCATCTGGGTTTATGGGGGGCCCAGAGAAGGATGTCCCTAGCGCAGTGAGCCCTGTGGGGCTAGAGGGCACTAAACCCCTCCGGTAAACCGGTGGCCGTGAGGGGGGAGGTGCACTGGCTCTAAGTGTGTGGCCTGTGCTGGGTGAGACTCGTGGGTCCAGGTGTTACCTGGCAGCGCGAGCGATGCTGGGGAGGTGCAGGGGACAGCGGGTGCTGGGATCTTTGGTGGGGGGGTCTCATGGACTGGCCTAGACCCCGAGTGCCCACGGCATCGCGGAGCGCTCCGCGGGGGAACGAGTCATGGGGGAGGACAGATGGAGGACCAGCGCCCTAAAGGACCTCGACCCGGTATGCTGATAGCTTGTTATAGTTCAGCTCAACAAGCACCGCTGACAATTTCGGGACTATTCTTATAAACAAGCCCACGTGCAATTTCGGACTTTTGAGAAGTGCCTCAACTAAGCTTCGATTTGCATAAAGTTTACCATATTCATGTTCTCAGTTAATGCCATTTTAATGCGAGTTTTTATGGATAGCCCGCATTTGTGTTTTCACAGCTGCACGCAAAATCTATATGTTTTGGGTTTTTTTTTTGTTTTTTTTCTCTTCCCTTTCAGTTTGTATCTATTTCGTTTATAGGATGCTGTATTATTGCTTAATACCTGGCTCTAATTAGCAAGCTGATTAATTTGCCTCTGCACAGGAGACAATTTGCTTTTACCAATTGGCAAACACGCAGTATTAGCACACGCCAGTTAACATAAAACACTCACTTAACGCTATAATAGAACTAAAAATGACAACACAATACATAAGAATATAAAACACAAAGCAATCATCAGTGAACAAAAAACACAGGTTAGGACAAACCTGCTTCTACGCAGGCAACCAAACATGTATGCAGTGTTAAACCAATGCTTCAGCCCCTGCGTGGGCAATCACTTGCTTAATTGCTAGCCAATTTGACGTATGACTTTAGAATGTGCACACAAGGAAGAAAGGGGAAGAGAGGGAAAAAGGAAAGAAATATATATATATATATATATATATATATATATCCAAAACAAAAACCGACTAACACACAGCAACCACACAAACCAGCTACCACGAGGCAATCTCACAAACCACCTAACAAAAAGCATCTACACAAACCAGCTAACACAGGGCAATTACCCAAACCAGCTAACACAAAGCAACTATACAACCCAGCTAACACGAGGCAACTACACAAACCAGCGGACAAAAGACAACTACACAAACCCAAACCACACTAGGTTCTACCCGCCCAGACAACATGTCATTAAGTTCGCAGAGTACACACCTATATAATTAAAATGCCTGCACCTGATCAGTTTACCTGTTTCAATAGATACGCCTCTGCGTAGGCGACCATACGCTTTTACGGCAATTTGTTTGATATACGTGTCTACATTGTGCGGTCAATAAAAAACTATTTAAAACAATATCACATTGCATATGTAATATAGGATAAATAGGTTGCACTTTGTCTTTATTGAGTCAATCTGTGTACAATACACCTACAAGTGCTACCTATTGTATCCTATTGATGTGTATGTATGTCTCAAATTTCCACTAGCCATTGGTGGGCTGCTAACTTTTACAACTTGAAAAATAAATCTGTTTTAATTTCAATTATGTCATGTTTGTACAGAGATGAGATTTGAGCATGCTTTAGTAATCTATGAAGTCTAACATGCATGCGCACGATTTTCCCCCACACATGGTATGACTAGTGCCCTCGTGTGAACTCCCGGAATTAAGATTAATGAACAAGTGTAAAGTAGTATTGGTTCATGCTGTGTGCTGGCCCCTAAAATACATAGAATAATTTTTGTTTTGAACATTTTTCCCTTTTGCTGTTACAATGACTAATCTTGTAAAAGTAACCATTCACATTCCTAAATAACTAGTGTAACAATAGTGCTCATGTTTGTAGTGTAATAAAAAAATGGGAAATATACCCCTGTATTTGCAAATGGCGTAAAAATATGTGCACTTATGATATTATATGCAGTGCCTCACTTATTGCAATGTCTGCTATATTGAAGCTGATATCATATCTTTCTGGCTAATGTATCAAAGTGAACCTCAAAATAGCTGAATTAGAAGAATTCTGAGTCGGTTCTTTCTTAAGTTTAACTATTTTTACCTTGCTTTTGAAATTCACTTTGAATTCCCAGCAGGTTCTCTCTTTAGTAAATAATCTAGAATGACAGTGCAAAGGGTGACAAATTAATTACAGGAGGACAGAGCGCATTACAGGATAGTTGGTGAAGGCAAATAAAGTTTCTGTAGCTTCATTCGATTTCAGGTTGACAAAAAGCTGGTAGCGAATAGCTGGTTTATTCAGTATGGAAGAAGTTAATGTAAGGTCTATAGATACCCAAGTTTGGCAGCCTTTCTTTTATCATTGTTCCTTTCTAAATTCCATATGTACCATCTTGCTTATTTTCCTTTAGGGATATACAGCCCAACAGTACATCCAGAGTGGGCAGTACCCACCTCACGCAGGACAATATGCTCCAAGTACACCTCAGCAATCTGCCCCATCACCTTCCTACCCTGGGCATCGTGTACAACAAAGCATGTCGCAGTACCTGCCTCAGTCTGGTTCAGGGGGACATTTTTACAAAGTAAGAGCTGTAGGCCTGTCTTAATTTTTTCATTTTGTTGCGTCTCATGATGCTTTAGTTTACCTAATCTGTTTTAAAAATAGAAACTGCAGATTATTTTCACTTTCTCTTTTCAACTGTTTTTGCTTTTTATACTGTTTTAACTTTTGTTTGTTTTGTTCAATGTTCATAATGCTGTTTTGATGTGAGGTCACAACAGTCTCATGCACCTTTTGTATGCTTTTCAATGCGATCATGCAATACGTTGCATGATCTCTACTTTCCTGGATATTTCCTCTTGAGAAAACTTAATGTCACTGGTTATTTTCACTTTGCTTTATATATTGACTATTATTATTATTATTATTTGGTATTTATATAGTGCCAGCATATTCCGTCGCGCTTTACAATATTATGAAAGGGGGAGATTTAACAATAAATAAGACTATTACAAAAACTTACAGGAACAATAGGTTTAAGAGGGCACATAAGCTTTCCTAAAGATTGGTTTTGGGACACTTTTTTTAAATGATTGAAGACTAGGGGAGAGCTTGATGGTCATAGGCAGGCTATTTCAAAGGAAAGGAGTCGCCCGCGAGAAGTCCTGCAAGCTTGAGTTGGCTGTACGGGTGCGAGCAGCAGACAGGAGAAGGTCATGGAAGAGCGGAGAGACTGAGAAGGGGCATACCTGCAGATTGGTGACAAAATATAGGAGGGGCTACAATTGTTCAGTGCCTTATAGGTGTGGATTAATACCTTGTGACTCCTGTAGGATACAGGAAGCCAATGTAAAAACAAAGAGAGCCCCCCGAGGCTCTCCCTTGCCGGCTAATGCAGGGCTGGCACTGTCCAGGCGCCGGCCCTGCAGTGTGCCTTCACGGACCGGGGGGGAGATCAGAGATCTCACTCCCCGGTCCGCAGGCACGATGCGGGCAGTCACCAGGGGAGGGAGGCAATGAGGACTCGGGAGCTCAGCCTGCAGCTCCTCTGCGTCCTTCTCTCACGAGCACAGAGCACGGCAACACTCCGGATCTCGCGAGCGTGAACTCTAGTCCTGGATCTACGGGCTAAGTTCACTGTGACCACCAGGGATCGAGAAGTGTCCCTGAAATGGACATAAATTTTTTTTAAATTTTTTTTTAAATATAAAAAAGCCTTCCTAGCTTCCTCACCACAAATTCTCCCTCCCCTCCCTCCCCCCCCCACCATAAACTCACACATGGGCCCCCCCCATACACTCACACAAACTCACACACTCACATATCCCAGCAGACCCCCAGGTAATTTGTCAAACTGTTCTTAAACAGTCCCGGCACTCCAGGCATCATAACCACTACGCAGAACTGTAGTGGTTATTGTGAATGGATTATTTCTTTAACAATCTACAAATGCCCCTCCCGAGATCAGGCTCTGTTTCTGCCACTGGTCTAGCTGCAGCATTCGTTACAGACTGGAGCGGGGCAATACGACTTGTGGGAAGACCTATTAGGAGAGCGTTACAATAATCCATGCGAGAGATTACTAGAGCATCTACAAGCTTCTTAGTAGCATCCTGTGTAAGAAAGTGGTGTATGCGGGCTATGTTTTTAAGGTGGGATCTACATACTTGATTCTGGCCTCACATCCAGTCTAACGCCAAGACAGCATGCTTGCAAGGATGGACTTATGTGGGTACCACTCACTTGAAGGGAGAGCGAAAAAGGAGGATCTGTATTAGGAGCAGGAAAGACCAGGAGTTCAGTTTTAGAGAGACTGAGTTTCAAAAAGCAGGAGGACACCCAATTAGAGCTGGAAGAAAGGCAAGCTGTGACACGTTGCAGGACGGCAGGGGAGAGGTTCGGGGAGGAGAGATATATCTGAGTGTCATCATCGTACAGATGGTATTAGAATCCAAATGAGGTAATAAGTTTGCCAAGAGAGTCTGTATAAAAAGAAAATAGAAGGGGACCAAGTACAGTGTCTTGGGGGACTCCAACAGAGACAGGACGAAGGGAGGAAGTATCCTTAGAAAAGGAGACTGAATGAGTGTTGAGAGAGAGAGAGAGAGAGAGAAGGAAAACCAAGAGAGGACTGTGTCACAGAGACAGTGATTGAAGAGTTTGAAGAAGGAGAGCATGATCAACGGTGTCAAAGGCAGCAGAGAGGTCAGAAGGAATTAGTATAGAGTAGTGCCCTTTGGATGTAGCTGTGATTAGGTTGTTAGTAACTTTAATAAGAGCAGTCTTAGTAGAGTGGAGGGGGCTGAAAACGTACTTAAGAGTGTCAAGAAGAGAGTTGAAATTAAGGAAACAAGTCAGACGGGTAAAGACTAGATCTGTGCCACATTATGTTAATCGGGCCATGCAGTGGGTGGTTTATGCCATGTCCTGTTAATACGGTCTGTTACAGAAGTAAGCAGCCTGACTTCACTAACTGTGCATAATTTGCTCAGTTTTTAGCTGTGAACAATTAAGGTTTTTCAGGACTTAGCAGCTTGAAAACATCTCATGAGGTATTTGAATTTAAACTGGTTAATTCGGATTGAAACCACAAAGCCACCTGGTCATCTAAGGGAGTATTGAACAGCGAGGGACAGAATGTTCTGTTACGTTTCCTGATTTGAATGTAAGATTACATAACTGTTATTTTACATCTATTTTTAGCTTTTGCATAGTAAGACAGGGGACCAAGTTGTAGTGTTTTTAGGTCTAGCAAAGTAAACACTGGCATAAGAAATACTAAATGCTTCACCTCTAAGGGAACATTGCCATTCTGTGCTGCTGTCTGGCTATGCTGGCATGTTACATCTTGCCATTCTGTGCAGTGCACATATTGATATAAACCTGACTTCTACAGTGAATTAGCGTAAACACATTTCCTTTAAAAAGATCTTGCTTCTTTTGGGGACAGACTCTTGTCTGTATGCACTGCCAGTGATGGCAAATAAACCATCTTGACTTGGTGTAAGAATGCCAAAGATCACTTAAAAGTCTCTGTGCCCACCATTGGTATTTTGAATACCAGCATGGCTCAGGGCAAGTTGTATTAGAGGTGAGAAAGCAGGATTACTGGATACAGTGGGTTCAGGTACCCCAATTCTTCTGTAATTGTTGACATCCACTTTACAAAAGGAAGAAAAGATCTAGGTTAAACTATTATTACATTAATAATAACTATTCTCTAGCTATTCTCCTATTCACCAAGACTTATCTGGGTGTCTAGACTGGGAGTCCTTTTGTGCAGGAGTATGCAGCATGCAGCCATTCTCTGTGCAATATCCATACACTTTCTTTCTGATGCCCTTTTTGTACATAAAGGCCACACTAACCAGTAGTTACATTTAGGTGAGGTTGAATGTGGAAATCTAATTATGGCATTGGAATAGTAAGTTTTTTTTTTTAAATTATTTTTATGCCCTCTTTCAAATTTTTAAAGGTACACATAGTAAACCCATTGTTTGTATTAACTACCTAATGAATAGGCTTTAAGATAATAGGGCATTTTTACATATTTTAAAAACATCCAGTTCACAAATCTGACATCGACGTAGCTGAAAGCATTCCCAGTGATGTGGATATGGTCCAGATATTCTCAGACCAATGTGACATGAATGTCTAGACTTAGATATTATTTGAGTGAGGGGTTTTGGAAACCAGAGTCTGAGCCTTTAACAAAACAAAAAAATATGCTTACAGGTGAAAGAACGCTTTGTGCCCAAGATCCCCAGGGAACTGCTCTTTAAAATATTCACAGCGGTACTTCAAGAAATTGATTCTAGTAAATGTATCTTTAGGGAAGAGAAAGGTCAAGGCAAGTTTCCAAGTATTTTTCTGGTTCCCGAGTAACATGGACAATTCTCTGCCCTTGAATATGCAACAGTTACGTTTGCATTAAGAGTACATAACGATATACCCTGTCACTTTGATCTTGGGGCAAGGAGAACACATTTCAAGACCTCATTTGTAAAAAGTCCTGAATGTGTTACAGTAGGAGACATACCTTGTACACACGATGAGATCACAGCACCTCAGTATTGGGCTCTGTGAGAAATGTCAAAGCAACATCACACAGGTAGGAACACCGGTGGGAGATCTACAAAATTGTCAGTAATAGAAAATTTGGATGAAGTTCAAAGTGTAGAGCAATTGCTGGATTTACATGGTGATTGCTTCTATTTAAAATGTTTGTCCTGGTTTAGCTTAGTTTCTATAATAATAATTCTTACCTGGTTAGAATTGGAGCAATGCTCTGTTAAAGAAAGTAATGGCAACTAGATACTTATTAAAAACTGGTATTACTATTTTTTTTTTTTTTTTTTTAAATAAATCAAATGTGACATTGTAATTTAATGAATTAAGTTGCATCTACAAAATGTACTGGCCATCAGCTGCTTTGACACATTATCATATCTATATTCCTTGCACTACAGTCTTCATGTCACTATTTAGGCCATGCATATGCGTGCGTGAAGTCAGGGTATAAGAGCCGAGAAGTAACCATTCTGGCTCTCATTCCCAGAGGTCAGTCAGGACTGAAGGCACTATAACAACTTTAATAACATAAAGTTGATATAGTACCTACAGCAAGCACGTCAAACTCAAAGGCTAGCAAGGGCCAAATAAACAAGGTTTAAGTTTGTGGGCCGCAAAAAAAATGTAAATTTTCAACCCCTCTACTAAACTCCAGCCGCCAAACACATATATACGTGTGTGTGTGTGTATGTGTATATATATGTATGTGTGTGTGTATGTATATGTATATATATATATATATATATATATATATATATATATATATATATATAATTTTTTTATTTTTTTTAATTTTTTTTGCTTCAAGAATTAATTTGTCGTAAAATCATTCCTATTACAAGCAGTTTAAAGATTCTTGAATATGGAACACTAGTAAAGAGCTAATAGAGTACTAGCTTTGAGTTTGTTGGGCTGAGGGGCTGCACTATTATCAACCAGTGCTCACTTTTGATACATGTATCTTGTTTAATATGATTTAAAGACAACCTGTTATAACATTTTTATCTTTATCAGACTACAGCTCCTGAAGCAATAAATATATAATTTATCACAAAGATAAATTCTATATTATTTTTCTTTAGACGTTTTAGTACTCTTTCCCTCAAGTGTGCCAGCTCCACCATAACAGAGGGGTTTCAGTTCCTATTGTATCCTGCCCCATCCAGCCCTCCTCCAGTACACTAACATGTTGGCTTCACTGCCGGCGCATTTGTGTCCGAACAGAGTGACACCTGTAAGTCCATTCTTTTATATCTCTAGCTAGCGAAAGATGTGCTTGTAAGGAAAAATCATGGCAACTACCATCCATGAGCTGCAGTTTCTCTGACAGTGTGGTTATAGTTTCTGGAGTTCACTGGCACTGTCCTTCCTTTTCAGCATTAAACCAGTTTTAATGTTTAATGCATAAGAGTCCTGAGCAGCCCATTCCCTCTGTGCTGCTTGGGCTTACGAGGAAGCATTCACCTGAGTAGCAATAGGTGGCTGTGATTGGCTGAGAGTGTCAGCTGACATCATTAAGCCTATCACAGTGCTAGTGGTATGAATCGGTATGGCTAAAAGGAAGTGTGTATCTCCTGCCTTAGCTACACCCTCATTCATGGTTAAATTGCTTAATCGTTTTAATGGTAAGAAAATAAATTCAGCACAGAGGGAAGAGCTTTGAATGCCATAAGGTGGTGGTAGGACCCTCATATTTTATTCTTCAAAGTAGATTAATATTGCAGTACTGCATGTAATATAGCCTCTGTGTATTTTCTAATACATACTTAACATTATAACATCTTCCGACTCAACCTTGCCTCGTGGAAGGAACCATTTTTAATGGGAACAATAATTTCTCTGAACATTACACCGTGAACAAAACAAAAATAGTCCAGGGATAGCCAGGGCATAAATTGCAAGTGAGGAGGAGAGATAGGATGCAGAGACTAGGAGAAATCGGTAAATCTTTCTATCTCTGTTCTGATTGCAACATAAAACAGAGGCTCCCAGTTGCAGGATAAATAGGTGTGCATTTGTACATTTAAACTTGTCTTCCACAGCTCAAAAATATGTTTGTTAGATATAGAAGGTGAATAAAAATGCTGGGAATTGCAATCCCCTTTAAATTCTTCTTTAAAGATAGACCACCAAGTTTGGTAGTCGAACCATGTAATTTGAACTACAAACATCTCATACAGTATAAGAGCACATAACACAATAAGGTAGGGCTTTGGTGCTCTGATAGGATCTCCTCCACTGTCACTTTGCCAACAAGGTTCAAAGTGTGTGGTGGGGAGTGGAAGGTAGTATATTATCAACGTACAATGAATGCATAGTGGATCATCATGGAGATGCATCCTGGATGGAGGCCTCTGGAACTGGGTGATTAGATCACCTTTGTATCAAATGTTCTCTCCCTGCAGAACGTATACTGATTTTGTTGTTGTTCTTTTGCCGATTGTGTTATGTATTAAAGAGCTGATGGAATTCTGGTAGTAACTCCTACCTGTGGCCCTCCGAGGGCAGCAAACCTCAGAGGGATTCGTCGGGCTTAGAATGAAGAAACTTAATAGCGGTAGGAATTCTGTTTTCAAATGACCATTTATCTGTGCTGCAAATGTGGTAGCCTCATTAAACAGGTAGTGAAGTTATTTATTGTTTGGAAAGGTCATATTGTTGTGTTTCTGGATAGGGAGAGCCTAAATGTTAGGCCACAATCTGCAAAATTAGTTGGAGACCCAAAACTGAAGTGTGTGTTTGTTTTGTTTTTTTTTTTTGTTTTTTTGTTTTTTGGATGGATGTGTTCTGAACAGTAATTAAGTGAGTGGACTCTACCAGACCATATGAACAGCCAGATTTCAGGAGAGAACTCGGGAACTCTGTCCGTTGCAACGGCCACATTATATTGATGCCATCACTGGAATAAAATATGGTGTGCATGGGTCACTGACCATCCACTTTCTAATGTATATCAGGCTGTTGCCAGTGTCCCAAACAGATAAACCAACTGCTGTCTGTAGAAACCTCAGGAAATACAGCCACTCACACAAATCTCTTCACAAGTACTAAATGACTGTGGCAATGTTACACCGTCTAATACAGTAACATATTATTATTTTTATGTACTGTAGTTCCCCTTTGACAGCTAGCCAAGCTGAAAAAGGGCTGAACTGACACGGGATTTATTTTTTAAATAGTATTTATTTATTTTTAAATATTGGCTTATAATGTGATCTTTCCTTTGGATTGCACCTTGATTCCCTATTGAGTGAATAAACAATTATAGTTTTTGAGTTCACAAATATCCCAATTTTATGAAACATTGTCTTTATCTCTTTGAGTCTTGCTTGAAACCGATACACAAAGATAGGGTTACTTCATACTGTAGGGTTTGTTTACAAACCACTAAATGGTAATGGATTGAAATTCTTTATGTGGAGAAATATATAGCATTTAACTCTTAATCCAAAAAATATATAACTTGCATTTATATTTTGTGAACCTGTCATACACATATGGTTGGATAGGTGGGTCTATATTCAGTGTATGCAGTGTTTATTGAAATCCCCTGCAGGTGTATAGATGAACAGATGTACTTTTCCAATTTCCTCTTCCTCCTCACACATCATAGATTCCTGGAACTCACAGGATGAATATCCCACAATGCCTCGCTTGCGTTTCTTGCTAGGAATTGTAGGATGCTGCATGTAGGTTGGAACCATGGTGACTGTACAGCAAGGCCCAAGAAGGTCAAAATGTGTAGCAATTTGGATGACACACTGTATAGAAGTAATGTCCTTTTCACTTTAAGTCCTACAGCTATATGTGAGCTGGCAGAGGCTAGGCTATTAAGATGGCTTTTTTGATGGTGCATTTTTTTGTTTAATATTTTATTTTACTTACAGCAGTTGTAAAAGCTAAAATGTAACTGACTCATTGTTCAAAATTTGTCAGAATCATGCTTTTAACAATCTCCTGTAGGAAGAATTTCAAAGAGAATTCCCCAAGAGGTGCAAATTGATTGCAGGAAGACTGTGTCTTCATTGTTAATAAGCTGGTCATGTTTCTCCACAAACCGGGTAGGGATAACCTAAATGACTATCTTATAGTTAAGGTAGATGTTCTCCGTTTTATTGTTTCAATAAATAAATCTTGTCCAGTTTGCTTGTAATGTTATTGAACTGGAAATTCAAGCTTATGGATGGGGTCAAGTAACAAACTTCATTCAAAATGATTCTCCTACTGGCAGTCTGATTTATTTTCTTTCCTCAGCTCAATGACCAGTACAGTGGACAAAGCAATAACTACAATGGAGGAAACTTTGCCTACAATCAACCTATGAGCGGGGTAAGAAGGACTCTGAAAGCAGCAGCTGAATTAGGTCAGGAGAGGTAGTTAGGGGTTGGTAGTGCAAAAAGAAAACTAAAGCATTGCCCTAGAATTTTGGTTAGGGATGAATAGGGCTGTGTCAGAATGGGCATTGCTTTGCTGTGTAAACTATAAAAACCCCGCTCTCTTATCTATTCCTGTCTCCAATAGCCTGGCCGCTCAATGCCTGGGTATCCTAGCTCTCCGCTGCCTGGAAATCCCACTCCTCCAATGACACCCGGAAGCAGTGCTCCTCCTTACATGTCTCCAAATCAGGATGTGAAGTCACCTTTTCTGCCAGATGTCAAACCAGCACACAACACCTTGCACCCGTCCCCTACAGGTGAGTCTCACATCAAGTTCTGGTGGCTGCCACATTTTTTAATGGTATGATTTGCCCATATCTTATGTGTATGTGTTATACAGGGCTATGAAAACATAGACTTTAACTAGTATTCCTGTGGCTTTTCCCACCAGGTGCCTCCAATGATGAGCTGCGTCTGACCTTTCCTGTTCGTGATGGGATTGTGCTGGAACCTTTCAGACTGCAGCATAACCTGGCTGTTAGCAACCATGTGTACCATTTACGGGAGTCTGTGTACAAGACGCTTATGATGAGGTGTGTATTGATATTGTCTATATCTTAAACTTGAAAATGTGTGACTATTGCTCTTTTGTGCCTTTATTTTATTCTTTATTCTCCTGGTTTCAGGCCTGACCTGGAGCTTCAGTTCAAGTGTTATCATCATGAAGATCGGCAGATGAACACTAACTGGCCTTGCTCTGTACAAGTGAGCGTGAACTCCACTCCACTGAGCATAGAACGCGGGGACAACAAGACTTCTCACAAACCCCTATACCTGAAAAACGTTTGCCAGCCAGGCAGGAACAGCATTCAGATTACTGTCAGTGCCTGCTGCTGTGTGAGTACCTTGCTCTTGAGAGTTTACACACAGGGAGAAGAGAAGGAAAGCGTTTATAGTAGAGAAACTCAGTTGTCACATAGATCTGGAAATTCAGGAAGCATTCTTTTTGGCAGAATATGTGGATGTCTATTTTCTAAGATAATGCATAGTTGGTCATGTTTAGGGGATGCCTGACCTAATGTAAAGGCAAGGCTTGAGATTTATCCTTAAGAATAAGTTACTGAGTTGCTTTAAGAGTGCTATTTATAGTACAAAAGCAATGACTAATGCTAAGTATTCGTTATATTCATCATCGTGTTCCTTTTTTTCTGTTTTAGTCTCACCTGTTTGTGCTGCAGCTAGTACACCGACCATCTGTCAGATCTGTTCTCCAGGGACTGATAAAGAAGAGACTACTCCCAGCGGAGCATTGTATCACTAAGAGTAAGATACACATTCTCTCCTCCTAACAAATGCAAATAAATGGTAGTGTTTGGCACGTTTTCGCTTGCATGTTTCAATCATACCTCCTTATAGTCTGATCATTGTGGCTCTTGTCTCTCTTGCAGTTAAAAGGAATTTTAGCAGTGGCAGCATCCCAGGGACCCCCGGACCCAACGGTGAAGATGGAGTAGAACAGACAGCTATCAAAGTGTCCCTTAAATGTCCGATTACCTTCCGAAGGATCCAGCTTCCTGCTCGGGGACATGATTGTCGGCATATCCAGGTAACAAATGGGCAAAAAAAATGAACATGTCAAGGGTGTAAAAACCATAGCATATCTGGGTGTTTTTATATGTTTAATTGTAATAAGGGTGCTAAAAATAACAGTTCAGTTTTGCCACTCACTTGTTCTCTATATTTTTGCTTTTAATTACCTCATTTAACTGTGCGATTCCTACATTTCTACCTATACACATATTTAGTCTAGCTATCGAAGTCTCTCAATTTGTATATGAAAGGTGTCATATTTTTTAAAATTCTCTGCAGCAAATCGCTGTTCATTTGTTGTTTTACAGTCTTATTACTATTTAGTAAGGCATGAGTTCTTTTAATTTCCTAAATATCATAAAAAATATCCAGTTGTCTTTTGGGTTTGAAAAGTGGTCATATGCCCTCTAAGAGACTAAATTAGGAAGCATTTTTATGCTTTCTGAGCTAAAAATATATATTGGCACTTCTGAAAGGTCATTTTTGATAGACTGTATATTTTATTCCGAATTGATTTTAAAATATGGGTTTCCTTACATATTTCACATTGTATCTGGTATTCCAGTCTGATTCTCACAGATTTGAGTCAATCTGTAACCTTCCACAGAAAGTTTCTGAGCAGACATCCTTATTGTCTCACTCATGCTCACTAACTTCTCATAGGGAATAACTACCACATACACACTGCCATGAGCAGTATTTTCATTTTAAAAGGATGTGATGTAAAATTGAATGGAAGCTCTGAGATCACTGTAACGTGTAAATTATTTCATCACATGCTTTAAAGGGACATCATAGTCTCCAGAACAACTACAGCTTATTGTATTTACTCTGGTTGATAGAATCATTCCCTGTAGGCTTTTTGTGGTAAACACTGTCTTTTCAGAGAAAATGCAGTGTTTACCTTACAGCCTAGTGATGATAACATTGGGCACTCCTTTGATGGCTGTTAGAGGTGCTTCCGATGGAGGTGCTGCACTGTGTGACTGCCATTCAGTGTCTCCAACCCCTGCATGGAGACACTGAACGTTCCTCATAGAGATGCATTGATTCAATGCATCTCTATGAGAAGATGCTGACTGACCAGGTCTGTGTTTGACTTGTGCTGGATCTGCCTCCTTGACAGTCTCAGCCAAATCTATGGGGAAGCATTGTGTGTGGCTCAGACCACCACTTCTGATGATGATGACAGCAGGCAGATGCAGCAGCTGCAGACTTGAATACAAGTAAATTTTACTATATTTAGACAGGAAAGGGGGGACAGGTGGATTTAATACTACAGGGTCAGGAATACATGTTTGTCTTACTGACCGTATAGTGTTCCTTTTAATATGCATCAAAGTTGTATGGATGCCTTGAAAGTTCCTCTTAAATTGTTACTCCCTTTTGAACATGACCTGGACATCAGATGATTTACTACACGACAAAATGCCTCACTTGATGATAACCATAAGTTGACCAGTTCAGAAAACACCCAGCCAATAAGACATAGAATCATATTCAAATATTTTTATTGAAGATTTTTCAAACAACAATGTAAACATTTACACAATAAGATATAATAATATTTTTTACAGAAAATATATAAAACAGGATAAACTCTATAAGTACAATCATCCAGTGGGATACGAGTAATAACGTATCATTTTATATACATTATTATATACAACATATTAGCAATCATCCGGTCAGGAACGAACTATGAAATAGGATCATAATGTTTTCTTCCCATAAAAGCCACTCTTGTTTCAAAATTTTAGTTTTATGTATTTTATGACCTCATTTATGTGTGGTGATTTAATAGTTTTCCAGTGTCAGGTGATAATTGTCGTTGCAGAAATTAGAATATGGATGGCATAGTATCATTTTATTTTATATATATATATATATATATTTTTTTTTTTAAAATATGTTTATTCAGTTAATTGGAGAGTCAGCAGATAGAACAGTTTGAAGACTCGCAGGTCTAGGTATGCATACATTGTAAGTGTAACAGGGGTAGGCAAAACAAACAAACAAACAAACAAAAAATTTAAATAATTAAATAGATCCACCACCTACCAAGCTTGCAGGCCTATGAGTCAGCTTGTTTTACGAAATGAGTGGACACGCAGGTCCGCAATGACTATCCAAGGTGTATATCTAGTTACTCTTACCCCATAGTGAGAGACAAGCATATCCAATTCTTGTATGACAGTACAGTTCTATGTGTAACAATTACGGACGGGAGCTTTGTTTCATTTATAACAGGTACTCACTACTCAGAGCACTGGTATTCCCTTGATTGTTACCTATGGCTGAGCTCGTGTAGCGTTCGGGAGTCCCTTCACCCAGTTGTGGTAGCCAGATACTCGTGCATTTTATAATACTTTGGTAAATTTATGGGGATTTGCTTGAAGAGACAAAGCTCTGGTGTCAAATTATCAATTGAATTGTCAACAGTTTAAATTCATTTATGTATCGAATTCCAATAAGGTCTAATTTTAGGGCACAACACAACATGTGACTCAAATATCCCCTTTCTCCACACCCCAGCATGTATTTGTATGTGATGAATTCAATTTGTGTAATTTGGAGGAGGTGAGGTACCAACGGTATAACATTTTATAATGGGAATCTAAATGTGCCACACACTGTGTAATACCCCTCAGTGCATTTACAAAGTTAATCCATTCTGTGATGTTAAATGTTTTACCCAGTTATCCCTCCCATTTTTTTAATTGAATTACATTTTTTATTTTGTTCCTCAGCCAAATGAGTGTAGCATATAGAAATGGCTCTTTTCCGAACAGGATCCGAATAGTATATATATTTTTATATCATTTTACTTTACCTTGGTTCGGTTCCTGTCCTGAAAGGCCACAATTAACAATAATAAGATGAATTATTTTGTTGTATATTATTTTATCAGAAATATTCAAATTAAATTTGTTTTTCATTTGGTCAAATTTGCTAATTTTGTTTATTTTATGTATGTGATGTCCAGTAATCTAAATCTAAGTCGGGGATGTCATAAATTTAAAACTGATAATGGAGTTGCCCTAGACCAAATTGCAAAGGGTTTAAACATTTTTATATAATATGTTGCATGATTTTATAGTATATTTGGTGGATGGGAACATATTTATGTAACGTAGTCGTCAAGATGGAGGAAGCCATACTATTTCTTTAATAAGATGTGGGAACATTTTTGTTGTCTCCATCTCTAACCATTGGGGCTGTCCAGTATCTAAATTAAATTTTAACGCAGCAGTTTTGTTGGTAGCATGATAGTAATGAGCAAAGTCTGGCAAACCCATACCCCCGCATACCCTAGGTTTTTGCAATACAAATAACTTGGTTCTTGCCGGTTTCCTATTCCAAATAAATGTCAAAAGGGTAGAGTGAACTTTTCTAAAAAATGATAGAGGAATATTAAGGGGTATGGCTCTAATATAATATTTTTGGAAAGCTAGACTTTTCTTAAGCTATTTTCATGCATCCTAGCCAGGTTTTTGCACAAATTAACACCTAAATAGGAAATGTAAGAGTCTCTCCCATCAAAGTCAAACTGATAGAAATTAAGGGTGTAATTAGGGACATAGGTTTTTTTTATTTATTTTTTTTGATAACATGTCATCTGCAAATAGACCAATTTTATGAATTTTTTTCTCTAACCGCAATCGCCTCTATCTCTATACAGTTTCTAATCCTTTCAGCCAAGGGCTCAACTGGTAACAGAAATAATAGTGGTGAAAATGGACAGACCTTATAGATTCTATTACACAATTACAAGATTAGAATGTAGAACATTGAAGTAAAATAAAAAAGGGAAAAATATATGCTTTTGGAACATAGATTGGACATGAAATGTCTTGCCACTAAAGAAAGCTGCTTGCATGGTAAGAGATTGCTAGCTTTGGTTTCTTGCTGCTGAGAACAAAAGGGACCTTACGTTTTATATGAAACTGATTGGCATCTTATAGAGGGGAATCTACTAGTAGTAGTTCTGAATTCATCACAATTAAAAACTGTGATTCTAGAGCAGGCATAGGCAACCTTTGGCACTCCAGATGTTTTGGACTACACCTCCATTTTTGCTCTACCAGCATTATGCGTGTAAGAGCATTAAGGGGGATGTAGTCCACATCTAGAGTGCTGAAGGTTGCTGCTTAGCTTGTTCATTAAGCAAGGCAGTTGTTCTCTGCTGGGCAGGAGTAAGGGATGGCCTTTGTCATTATAGAGGACCTAAATCCCTTTGTTCTGTTTAACAGGTTAAAAAAAGTGTCAGGATCACACATGGCTGCCCTTTCCTATTTTGAATCTTTAAATCTTTTTTTGTTTTTAAGACTTTGCTATCTTCGTTCACGGTTTATGGAGGAAAGTAATTCTCCAAATTCACTTAATGGCCTTCACATGAGTTCCTTAACCCCTTAAGGACCAAACTTCTGGAATAAAAAAGGAATCATGACATGTCACACATGTCATGTGTCCTTAAGGGGTTAAAAGGACACTATAGTCACCTGGACAACTACAGCTTATTGTATTTGCTCTGGTGAGTTATAATCATTCCCTTCAAGCTTTTTGCAGTAATCACTGTGTTTACAACATAGGGATATATGAGGAGATGCTGATTGGCCAGAGCTGTGTTTTGGCTTGTGCTGGCTCTGCCCCTGATCTTCCAACTTGACAGTCTCACCGAATCCAATGCTTTCCTATGTGAAAACATTGTGATTGGCTCAGAGAATCACTTCTGATGATGTCAGCCAAGCAGACAGATCATGGGCATAGCCAGCAGCAGACTGGAATAATTGCAATCTTTATTGTTTTGGTTGGTTATAACATATAAAGAAATATGGGACGGTCGGTACAAAGCATAATTACTAGTACAATAGTAAATAATAGGATCCAAATTTAGCATAATATATCATTTATATGCGTCTTTCCTCCTACTCAGACTCCACATGCTTCACAATTTTATGTCACAGTAGATGTTCATGTTGCAGTGAAGAGGTCCTTTGATGGGCAACATTCAAAAATGTGAAAATAGAGGAGCCAAGTCTTCAGTCTATTTTTAAATATTCCCCATAATAGATCTACTTTGACAGGTGGAGGAGAGATCAAGTTTCGTGAACTAGGAGCTGCATGGCAAATGAGCAAAGAGCACAAAATGTTGTCAGAGTGACTTGTTCTCCCTTAAATTTAATTAATTTACAAATGAGGGACTTAGTCAGCAAGCCAACTTTGTAATCATATTGCCATTCACCTGGTTCATAGAGAGGGGATAGATGTCATGTCAGAGACTGCCTCATTAGTGTGCAATAAGGTAGGAATTTGGCTCTCTCTGCAGTCACTCACTCATTTTTGGAAGGCCTGCATATAGTGCATTGCAGGAGTCAATTAACATTGGGAGATGTGCTAGACGAGTCAGGCACTTAATTCTGGCTGTTTTACTGAAGTGGGAGGAGGAAGATTAGAGCATAGCTGACATTTGATGTTTGAGAGCGCATTTAATCTCCCAATAATGTAATTGTAATAGTAGTATTTCAAGCTTCCTTGTTGCAGTATTGTTATACTGTGTTCTTCCATATTTAATGTATCTGTGTTCTTGAGTCTGTTGCTACCTGTCCATCTTAACAGATCAGCTGGACAGTTATCAAGGCTACTTGTAATTGGTGTAAACAAAGAGAAAAGTGAGATACCAGTCAATTAATATGATAGTCAATTCTTCCTTTGTCCACTTACTGAAATTAAAAAGATGGATTGGTACAGTTTTAAATTAAGATGGTATGGATTAAATTAAAATGGTTAAAGGAACAGCGTGCGCGCACACACACAAACAAAAATACAATTTTAAGTGTTACAGGGCTACTTAAAATCACATATCTTTACAAACAAATAGGAGGATTCAGTTACACTATAGGTCATGTTGTGTTAAATCCTCCACTACTTCACTGTACCGCAATATTTGTGTGTCCTACACTAATTTTAACATGTCCGTTACATGCTAAATCAGAAAAGAATCATTCAGTCTACTTCAATATCCAGAAAGAATGAGCAAGTATTATTGAGAGATGAATCATTTCATTTTTTACACACCAGCATATAAGACACACCAATTCATTTATTACTTATCCAGAGCGGCATTATGTGGGTATGGAGTACTTTCATGTTCAACTCATAGAACCACAAGTATCTCTAGAAACCTACTTCTTTTACTATAACAACAACCATCATTTCCTTATGTATCTTTTGTGACAATCCACTGCTAGAATGGCCAGCCTTAATGCCTTCTTTTTCACTAGTGTCACTAATATCGAAGTGTCTTTTTATTTGTTACATGTGAGTTTCAGATTTATTCATGTTTATCTATTTGAGTTTAAGCAGCATACCAAGCAATCACGACCGGTCCACCTCCCACTAACCCTGCCGTTGTTACCTCTTCTGTTCTCATGATGCATCAAAATCAAACATTTTGTATTTTTCTCACGTACTTGTCCAACTCTTTTGGCAGCTAGTTTTTAATATATGAGCAAACAGCAATTTAGTACCCGGAAAAACAACCATGTGTTGTGTATTTATATATAAAGTTATACATAATATAGACCTTCCAATGTGCATAGGAAAAATATCTGCCAGGATTCATGTCTATTTCTCTCCTGCATGACTTTTTCTTTTGTATAGATATTGCATTCCATTATTTTCACGTTTATGTTCATGTTCTATTTTTTATGTTCTATCTCAGTTGCTTGTCCTCAATCTGTATCTTTCTTTGTCCTATATGTATATGTATATATGTGTGTGTATGTATGTATGTGTGTGTGTATGTATATGTATGTATATGTGTGTATATATATATATATATATATATATATATATCTATATATATATATATATCTATATATCTATATATCTATATATATATATCTATATCTATATCTCTATCTCTATCTCTATCTCTATCTATATATATCTATCTCTTTCTCTCTCATGGTACCTTTCTCTTCCTCAGTGTTTTGATCTGGAGTCTTACCTGCAACTGAATTGTGAGCGAGGAACTTGGAGATGCCCTGTGTGCAAGTAAGTTATGGGTTCAAGTTCCCTCTTTAATCTTTTCCATACCATAAAGACCGTACCATACTGTCACCGAGTATTTAACAATAAAGTGGTAAAACCCACTAAGAAGACGGAATACTTTGCTCCAGGCCAAGACCATGTATATTAGAAAGGAGTAAAGTATCAATTAAATAAATTTTATTTTATGTGTATTTTTATAATAGCACTGCCTATTGCCACTTTATAAATGGTAAATACAACTTTTGTTTTTACAAACATCTTAAGGTTCAATGTATAAGTCTGTCGTAACAATCTGTTTTACAGTCCTGTTTTTCAACAGAATGCTCCAGTAATTTACTGACTGTGGCTTGTAAAAGAGCTGCCTCTGCTAAATAAACAAGACATACCATGCCAACGCACAATGCCTTTAGGGACTAGATTATGAGAGTCAACTAAGTATGCCTTCCCTTTTCACACTCCTCTTACCATCAGAGTTTACGTTGGTCTGCATCAGTTGTATTAGCTCATATTTTTTTCATGGCCACATATTTTATTTAGAAAGTTTGTCTGATTCTTCTATTAAAATTTTTTATTTTTTTTTATTAATAGAATCATAGAAAGTAAAATGGTGTCCAAATTACCAGTGGTAATTTCTCAGCAGTTGAATAATGGAGAGCCACACCACTGCATTTAGATAATGTGAAAGTCCAAATTACATGTCTCACCTGGCAATACTTTGTGGGTTATGCATTTTTGTTTCCTACTTAATGCAGTGTATGTATGACCTTTAAAGTTGTATCTTGGCATTTAATAAGTGTTTTTCCTCTGCAGTAAAACTGCCCTATTGGAAGGCTTAGAGGTGGACCAGTACATGCTGGGAACCTTGCTCTATATCCAGAGGTAAGCACAAAGTGTTGGGGGAGAATGTGTGAAGATGGGGGAGAGTTACCCTGAGTGGTGGCGTGTGTGCGCGTGCACACATGCACGTAATCAAACTTGTTCAACCACCATTGACAATCAGGTTAACTGTCAAAATGTATACACTTGCAGCTGTTTATAATGAGTAAGTCAAACAAAAGTAATTGAAATAACACGAATGTGTCAAGTGGTTTCCTTGGATTAAACTGAAAATGCAACTAATTTATATCTCAAAATTATAATTCAAGAATTCCTCACAACAGTTCAAATATACAAAATAAGTGATGTCTCAAGCACTCTTGATGCAACTAATCAGGGGCTTCATTAATTTCACCAGGTGTGCTTTACCTGGAACACTTGAACTGGCTAGGTGTTTGAGTGTCACGTTTGACTGCATGTTGGAAATATGGCTGTCAAAAGGATGATCCACAAAATTAAGAGAAGAGACCTTCGCCCATCACAAACAAGGAACAGGATACAGAAAGATATCAAAGGCACTGAATGTTCCTGGAAAAACTGTTGGAAGCATTGTACGCAAGCTCAAAATTGAAGGAACAGTGGTTACACTACCTGGACGGGGAAGAAAAGGCAAGCTATCAATGGCTGTAACCAGAATTCTGAGAAAAATTGAGTGACTGCAAAAGAACTGCAGCAAGACTTGTTGGCAACAGACACTGAGGTTTCTGTGATCACAGTAAGGAGCGTACTAAATGCAGAAAGTTTCCATGACAGAACTCCAACATGTACACCACTACTGACCCAAAAGCACAACAGTTGGCTCCAATATGCTCAAAATCATATAACTAAGCCACAGAAGTTTGGGTTTTTTGTTCTGTGGAGCAATGAAACAAAACTGGAACTTTTTGGCCCAATTGATCAGCGTTCTGTCTGGAGGAAGACTAATGAAGCATACACTGAAAAGAACGCTCTGCCTACAGTTAAGCATGGTGGTGTCTTGGTAATGCTCTGGGGCTGCTTTGCATCTTCTGGCACTGGAAACCTGCAGCATGTGGCAAGATGGATTCATCAAAGTATCAGGAAATCCTAGAAGAAAACTTCATGCCTTTTTTGAGGAAGCTGAAGCTTGGGCGTCATTGGACCTTCCAACAAGACAATGATCCCAAGTGTACCTCAAATTCCACCATGGTTAGGTTGCAGAAGTAGTCCTGGAAAATTTTGCTGTGGCCATTAACCACCTGACTTGAACCCCATAGAAAATCTCTGGTGGGATTTCAGGAAGGTGGTTGCAGCACATAAATCCAAGAATATCACTGAACTCTAGGCCATTGGTCATGAGTAATCGGCTAAGATAGCTGCCAGAAGCTGGTGTCTGGATATGCATCTCATTTGCAGCAGCTCATAACTGCAACATGGTGCTCTACTAAGTACTATTTAAATTGCTTTTGTTTGATTTGTTCATTGCAAACAGCTAAAAGTCTGTAAATGTTGACAATAAACCTGATTTTCAATGGGGGTTGAATAATTTTGATTACAAGTGTGTGTACATATATATATATGTATATATTATTATTTATATAGCGCCAACAAATTCCGTAGCACTGTACGATATATATGTATAATTTTGATCAGCAGGACCTGCTCACTAGTTTAAATTGGGCCCCAGCTAATATATTTACCAGTGTCCAGTCAAATAAATTGTTTATGATCATTGCATGCATTCTCCATGTGGTGTTAAACAGAGGTTATTATCATACTCTTTTAAAACCCGCTGTTAATTTTCTTTTATTGATTCATTACTTGATTTATTGTACTTTGTTTATCAGCTCTGACTATGAAGAGATCACAATTGATCCGACGTGCAGCTGGAAGCCAGTACCAATCAAACCAGATACTCATATAAAGGAAGAGTCTGATGGGCCTGTTCTGAAGCGATGCCGGAGTCTCAGCCCAACTCACATGGTAATGCCAAATGTCATGGAGATGATAGCGGCACTTGGACCAAGTTCCTCCCCCTTCAACAATATTCAATCAGCTGGAAGCGTGGGTGCCGACTACAACAGCCCCGGTTGGTAACGAATACAAACACTGTAAACATTGCAATAGCATTATAAGTACAATGGTTGATAAAATACCTGTTCAAACTGACAGATGAATTTATTGAATTTATTTAGTAATGCTTTTTAAGTTTAATTTGCATTCTCCTGCTTCTCATTAGTGTTTATTTTGTCCCATTTTTGTCTCTTTATCTTATTTTTGTCTTTTCATCCTCTGCCTAGGATCCAGTTTTCAGAATCCTGGAGGTTACCCTGAGAGTGGATTCCCTTCTTCAAACCCAGGCACCCCTACAATGAGTGATTTCACCCCCAATGCCCCCCCTTCCATCCCCTATCAATCTGACATTCCTAACTCCTTGCTCGGCCCTGAAAAGCCAGGAGGACCCTCAATGGCTGGGCAGGTGAGTAACACTGCCAAAAACAGGGTAGAATATAATCTAACACAGGGAATGTGTTCTGTACTTCTTCCTATCAAGTCCAACTGGTTACAAGAAATTAGAGGAATACAGCAAAGATTTGGCAAGTGTATTAACCACGCACATAACATACCACACGTACAGCCTTTTGATGGAAAAGCTAGCATGTGTGAATTGTTGTACACATGTCAAGTAAAGTTACCACAATAGCCATAATGATCTGTCTCCCAGTTACCACCATACATGTCTATATTCATGGCTCCTAATCTCCTTCTGCAAGAGTACATTATACTTCCACTAAGTCACTTTTTGAATAGAATAGATATAATCATATATTTTTTATTAATTGTTTAATGCAGTTAGTCAAACTGCCCAAATAAGAATTAAGTTGAGCTTTCATATACACCAGCCACCTAGTTATCAGAGAATGAGATATGGTTATGTTGGCTGTATAGTAAACTTTTGAAGGTATCCTGCATGGTAGTAGCTATTTTAAAAGGACTATAATAAGCAGATATGATGGATTCCAAAATTCTGTTTAGGATGCTCAATCTGTATGTCAAGCTGATGATCGTATACATAGGCCAAAACAGTGAGCAATGTTAAGAGCCTGTGCTTCTGCTGAATCTCAACACATGCCCCTAAAATCTAGTAGTGTTAAAAAACAAACAAAAACAAAAAAAACATAATTCCCCTACTTTTGTCTTTGCTCATTTTGATTTCTTGGCATTTTAAGGAGTATCCTTTTCTTCTTTACTTCTCTATAGGTCCCCTCCTCTGGAAGGATAGACCCTTCCCACAATCCCAATCAGTCACTTCACTCCTCCAACCTCAGCAGCCAGTCACCACAACAGCTTCACCATCGGAATCCTCCACGGCAACAAATGGCACAGCCTGGCAGTGATATGGCTTTTAACCCAATGCAAGGTGCTGGCGATGTGACAGAGCCAACCCTGGATGTAAGCACTCTCCAGTTGTCTTTTTCTCTCACTAGGACCAACTCTTCTCCTTCTTTCTAGGTTTCATTTTTTACCAAAACCATTAGTTTGCCTTTCTTTGTACTGTAATTCTTTGCATGTTTCATTGGTTATCCACCTTCTTGTTCATTTTGCATTATTTATTTAATTTGTTTCTCTTCCTCATTTTATTGTTTCTCTTCCTCATTAATGCTCCTAATGTAGTTCTTATTCTTTGTTTGTTTGTTTGTTTGTTTGTTTTTACCCTCCTCTGTTTTAGCTTCTCCCAGAACTGACAAATCCTGAGGAGCTTCTCTCATACCTTGGGCCCCCTGACCTTCCAAGCAGTGGCAATGATGATCTGCTGTCCCTCTTTGAAAATAACTAAGGCATCTTCCACTTCAGAGCACAACTGGTCCACCAACCATCTTTTTTGTGCTCAACCTTCCAGAAACTTGCACGAGAAGCAACATCAGAGGCATTGTGGAGCACAAAAGACCTGCATATAATTGCATCAGGACATGGCTTGATGGACTGCACAGCTTGCCCTGCTAAATATATATAAAGGGACTTGCAGATCATTGCACTATTTAACCTTACCTGTTGCAAAAATCCTGCAGGGATGCTCTGTAGGGCCTGATGGACCTTTATTCAATGCACTGTCCTATTTACTTATTCTTTCAAAGAAGTAATCTCACAGAGTCTCACTAGACTGTTCAAGAGATGGGCCCTGTAGAGTGTTGCTTCATTAACCATTTAGTTGCTAAGGAAACCAGCTGTTTCTCACAATCATGTCACCAATGTGTGGCAGGGATGTGCTGTGCAGTGTTCTGCAGGCCTCTGAGATTGTTGACCCTTTGCTATAATCATACTCTACCAACAATCAGCCTGTGAACTGAGAGGAGGCTGGGTTTGTAGCATTGATTTTATGATCCTGGAACTCCAGCCAGGAAATGTTAAGAGCACAAGGCAGGTGTGTGTATGTGCATACAGACACTTTGTAATTTAGTCCAATCCAGTTTATGTGAGTGCGTGCAGGTATGTGGATGAATGTCATTATGTGAGATTGTAATAAACTGTGTGTTTGTATCACTTTTGTCTCTCGTTCCATTGTTGAGAGAGGAAAACTGGGACCATAAATCACCACAAGACACCAACCTTCAATGTCAGCCCTCTCTTAACCTTTAATTACCATACATCTTGCCACAGTTTGGACAAACATTGTAGAAGATAGAGAGGAACCTCCTGCTGAGCAGTTACACGCCCAGTTTTTTAATCACACAGATTTTGAAAAGTGAGGTTTCCTTTTAATGCCACATACTAAACATGCAATAATACCAAGGTCTTTTAGAAGTCCAACATTAGTATACCAAGGACTGTGAGTTAAATTTCACTTTGTGTGTGTGTCTCTGTGTAATGATGTATGGATGTGTGTTGTAGGCCTGTTGATACAGACTTGTTTTGTTTTTAATTTATTTTTTATTTTACTTCTGGATATTTACCTAATTTTGGGAAAACTTTTTTTTTTCCCCTCATAGTTGTCCACCATAAATGAAACATGGATTGCAATTTTAAGAGGGACCAGTGATACAAACTATTTCCGTCTCCGCGTCCACCAATCACTACATTGACTTTTTGAGAGTATATCTGCATTACAAAAAAAAAAAATTTAAATTGCCCCCATCTCTCCCAAGTAACCTGTTAACCCTTTGAAAATGTTGGTAAATGGGTTATCAAGGTATAGTTGGTTCAATGTTGGGTTTGTATATAAATATCTAGAGGTTGTGCTCTGTGCTGGAAAATGTGCATTTTACAGAAATTAAAAAAAAAAAAAAAAAGGTTTGGGGTTTTATTCTGATTTTTGTATTGCCTTCTGGAAATTGGATCAACTGAAGATTTTGAAAACTAAGCTATTTTTAATGGACAACGGGCATCTTATGTCAAACATTAAACATACAATCATTCTGTTCCAAATCTTAATTACCCTGTAACTTTAAAGAAACCTTTCATAGGTTTTTTTTTTTTTTTTTTTTAAACAATTTAAGAGCTATACCTCCAAAGAAAAGATGCATGTTTGTTTTCTCTGCAGGTTTTCTTTGGGGCTATGTGAAAACACAGCTTACAAATGCTGCAGAACTGCTGCCTGCAGCCTTTGCAATCCCTCCCCTCTTTCCCTGGCACAGACTTGATCTGGAAATACATCAAACAGAGGCTTCTCATAGATGGAGCCATGTGAGCACTATCATGCGATCGCAGCTTTCCTGTGGTGACAGCCAGGGAAGTGTTCCTGCCCCTTATTATAAAAGTGCTGATTTCTATTAATCTCCACTTTAGTTAAACGGTCACAAATATAACAGATTTCAGACACACACAAAGCTTTTTCAGCAAGTATAGTGTTCCTTTAAAATGTACATGTCATCCCGAAATATCAGGAGCATAAAACTTGGTCTCTGCATTGAGAAATCCAAATTCACTAAAAATGAACAGGTGTTTTGCTTTGTGACTGTGCAAGTATGTCTTAGCCTATGGAAAGGAGCCAACAATGTTCCTTTTTGAAAGACTGACCAGATTTGTATCAGCTGTGCCCTACTTAGAGTTAATTTGCGAAAGACTGTGGCCTCCAAGATGGAAGAATTATTTAAAGATTTTTGTTTTTTTTCCCCCTCATGCCAGGCTTCTTGGTATAGTGAAATATGGATCATGAAATGCTTTCTGGAAATGCCAGTGATATTTTAATTCCTTGTAATTCCATATACGGTCAGGAAAGAGAGAGGAGTTATTTCTAATTGTTTATACAGCTCTCTGTGTGATAAAGTACAATACAGTGTGATCCAAACTCTCAGTGTACAGTGTAATCCCATAAATGTAGCTTCTGTTTCCAAGACTGATAAACTGGTTTTTCAATAAAATATGAAGTGTCAGGAACTCAAAGTGAATTTTATTCGCCAAACTAAAGCATTAAAAAAAAATACTGAGAATGAGCAAAAACTTTAATAAATCCACACTCTGGTACCCTAGTAGTGTTTGCTTGTATTTGCCATAACTGGTAGAATCTGTATTAAACATAGTCAATATGAGTCAAATCCCACACAAAAGGACAATTTGATCTAAAATGCCAGCTAGCTATTTCTGCATTAGAGATAATTAAACCCCAGACTAACCTTTCGTCAGGTGTCATGAGCAAGATGTAAGGGATACTCCTCTAGGCACAGTGAACAAGTAGTCTACATCTGTGCATCTGGATTACCATTGTTATTTAAGGAGACTGTAAGCAAATGCATTCAAGCAAAAAAATAATAAAATATAAAGATCTTAGAACATTTTAGTGAATGACTTTGAAAGTATATCTAAAGGAACACTAAGAACCACAACAACTTTAGCTTACTGAACCAGTTTTGGTGTATAGAGCATGTCCTTGCTATCTTAACTGCTCAATTCCCTGCCATTTTGGAAATAAATATTTTTTTTTCCTGTCTATGCAGTCCTAGGCACACATCCCCTGGCAGTGACTCACACAGCCGACATGGCTCTTCAATCAAATGTGACAGCACAGTGTGTTTACTTTAGAAACTCTTCGTGCTTTGTTTATTAAACTTTAATCACTCATAGGAGGCTCCAATATTCTTTTAACAGATAAGAAATATAAAATCATAATTATGGTGTGGAACCAGGATAAGCAACCTTCAGCACTTAAGATGTTGTGGACTACATCCCCCTGAATGCTCTTACACCCATACTGCTGGCAAAGCATCATGGGAGGTGAAGTCCAAAACATCTGGAGTGCCAAAGGTTGCCTATGCCTGGTGTAGAATGATCGATCTCTGATTAGTTTTAGGACTCGGTCTATCCAGTGATAAATGTATAGAAACAGAAAATATTTTCTGGCTGGTAAACAATGCTATTAATGCAATATAGAAGCAGATGTATGGTTTGTATAAGTTCATGTATATATGTAGTTTCTAGGAATTAGTCCTTTTCAAACCATTTCTCAAGGCTCACTATAAATTTAACGGGTAAATCCTTCCTGAGAAGCAGTTTGAAAAGCAAATCCCTCAACTAAATCACCACTACAATTGTCCCATGTTTGTGTTCCACCCTGCCACAGTGCTTTGAAGGTGTTTCTGACTAGAGATGTCGCGAACTTCCCGCGAACGGTTCGTGGCGAACTCCGGTCAGCTGACACATCCCGGCCAATCTCCAGCAGACCTCCCTCCCAGACCCTCCTACTTCCTGGACAGCATCCATGTTGAAGGCAGCTTCAACATTGATGCTGTCCAGGAGGTGGGAGGATCTGGGAGGGAGGGTCTGCCGGAGATTGGCAGGGATGTGTCAGCTGACTGGAGTTCGCCACGAACCGTTCGCGGAAAGTTCACGGACGGTTCGCGACATCTCTATTTCTGACAGGCTTTGTGGTTTATGATCTACTAGTCACTTCTAGTGTGCCATATAGGAAGTATAATTCCTTAAACTGAATTTATAATCCTGAAAATAATTATTTAGAGACCATAGACTCCCTTCTTGAATGTGCATGCTGTCTTACCCTCCTTTGCACTGTAAAATACCTTGTTTCTAGCTCCAGTGATGATGGCAAGCGTGCTGATGTCGCACTCCATCTCATCCAATCCAATGCTTCTCATTGAGAAGCATTGGATTGGCGAATGTATTCACTGGAAAATGAGGATCTTGCAGAAGAATACAATAAGTAAAAACTACTTTCCATTGACCACCGCAATACAAGTGGAGCAGTCACCATCTGGTGTCTGCACACTGTCCTTGTTAGACTTAAACTAAAAAAATTGAAGTACCACCAGTGATTCTGGTGTCTATTGCATCTCCCTACAGGCTTTTCATTGAAAAGGCAGTGTTTATATTGCTGCCTAGTAACACCTCTAGTGGCAGTCACTCATTTTGCCGCACATGTGCATATAGACTGTAAGTTCGTTTGAGCAGGGTCCTCATCTACCTGTTGTTCCTGTAACGTTTCATTATTGTCTCAGTTTTTTAAATTTCCATTTTAATGTAAAGTGCTGCGGAATTAGCTGGCGCTTTATAAATACCAATAATAATAGCAGCCCGCCAATGATTTCCTATGGGAAAGCACGTATTGGCTGAGATCATCAAGATTGATGATCTCAGCCGAGGAGGCAGGGCCAGCCGCTGCGAGTGGGTCTCAGGATCCCACTCCTGTGGCGCTGAAGGGGAAGGAGGGGGTTAATCCCTTACCTTTTTTTCAGCGCCGGTCTCCCTCTGCGCTGGGACTCTCCTCCCTCTTCTGACGTCCCGGGCTGAATGCGCATGCGCGCATTCAGTTAGTCCATAGGAAAGCATTCGCAATACTTTCCTATGGACGCTGGCGTCTTCTCACTGCGCTTTTCACAGTGAGAAGCGCCTCTAGCGGCTGTCAATGAGACAGCCACAAGAGGCTGGATTAACCCATAGTTAAACATAGCGGTTTCTCTGAAACTGCTATGTTTACAGCAAAAAAGGTTAAAGCTATCTGGACCTGGCACCCAGACCACTTCATTAAGCTGAAGTGATCTGGGTGCCTATAGTGGTCCTTTTAAGGACACAAGCAATTTTTGCATGTTTGTGTTCAACTGTAATTTGTATATCTCTCTTTTTTTTGTATCAATCCATATTATATACCGTTTTTTTTTATTTATAGGAGAAAAAAGGCTTTAATTTGAGATATATATATATATATCTTTTTTCTTTTTTTTTTTATATTAAAAAAATAGCAAAATCATGGGGGGAAAACCACATGTTTTTGGCAATAACGTGTACATAATATGTCCAGCTTAGAAAAAGTAATTCAAAATAAATTAATTTGTGTTTTGATTTATAGACTACATAATATGTGTAGGATTGCAGTTTATTTTGAAGGTTACAAGTCACAAAATATGTGGATGAATATAAAATTTCAATGTGAAACTGTTTTAGAAGTTATGTTTGTCTTGTAATTTTAATAGCAATCACAGAAAGCAAAATTGCCTCACAAAAGTATATATTTACATAAAGTCGACATCACAGGCTATTTACCTAAGGTGTTTTAGTTTTTTTGTAAATTGTGTTTTATTAAGGAATTTTTGTTTTCACAAGTCAAAGGACGAGGAGGGGGGTACAGCAAAAAGAAAAGGAGGGGTTGGGGGGAAACAGTGGTATTGTTACATCCATTCAGTACACATTCAAAGGCAGATGTTCCAGGTTGCCCCTTCCAGAGCCAGCTTCTCGAGTATATAGTAAGTTAAAAAGCCAGTTGTCAGAAAGCATTGTTACCGATACCTGACAGGTGCACAGTCGGATTTGCCGGCATTTGCGCTCACCTTACCCAACCCCCATAAAGACACGGAGACAGGTTATATTGTTGGAAGTTTTAGTCCACAGCTTTATTAAATTATAAATAAAATAAATAAGGAATAACAAATGGGGTCATTGCCAACAGACCTTATTAAAGTTAACATCCCCCATGTACATAATGTTCCCCTAGCAATGACCCCCCCCAATAATAATAATAGATAACAATCCAAATAACATGTTAATACAGAAACTGGCCGCCCAATATGGCCATGTTTCCACCTGGTTAAATTGTAGGGGTGTACCGAGACACCGCTACCCACCATATCAATTGTAGGGGTGTACCAAGACACCGCTACCCACCATATCAATTGTTGGGGTGTAACAAGACACCGCCACCCACCAGTTCCCATGTAGGGTGTACCAAGACACCACCACACCCCCATGTTCGGAGCCACCAACGAGCTCGAACCTACCAACCAGGTGCAACACTGTCCAATCCACACTAAAACCACAGGATGCCCACTTTCTCCTCCATCTGCCCTCCGATTTAACCAGGCCATTCCCCGCCACAGCTCAGTACTTGACACCTAAAGCTCCTGATCGACCCCCACCACCAGAAGAAGGCCCAATCTAAACAGATCATCCCTTACAACCGAAACGTACCCCATCCACCTTGGAGTACCCAGGGAGCTTGCTTCCCAATCCAATGCGTCTCCCCGTTACACCGCCCCCCACTTCCAATAAATACCGCCATCAATTGTTATGGACAACGAGCCACCACGACTGGGACCCTAGTTTGTTTCCAATGTAACCGAAGAACCATCTCAGGCCATACTACCACCACACCTGTGGCCAGCTTCCGTAGCCGGTCCACCACCCCCTGCCTCCACCTTACCATTTCCTTGTCGGGACCATGCCCTTATCCGTCCCACCCTCGCGGAATACCCGATTGCCATGAACCGTACCCTACATCACCTTCCCTAAATGTTTTTCAACTAAAGTCTTGCCACCAACAAACCCCCAATAAAAACCAACCACTCCAGCTCCACTACTTCCAGAGGACAGCCCCGTCGCACTGCTTTCTTCAGCGCCCTTCAGATGAGCGAGTGGTACATCTACCATGCCACTAGAACTAAAGTAATTAGCTATCAAGCTTAGCACGCAACCTTTAACCACATAGACCGGCCGTAAACAGGACTTAACCGCACTGACTCCAACCTGCCTGCTCTGCCAAGCCGGACGCAGCCGCTCGCTGTGCCTTCCCGCCCGCAGCCATGTGGCGGGGCGCATTCTTTGTGTTGGGCCTCCACGCCCGGCCGCGCTCCCAACTCCAAGGCCCGTCCGTCTGCCTGGGCTTTCATTCTTTTGCCGCGAGATGACAGACTTGCTTGCCACCTTCCCGCCGGCGCCGCTTCCGGGCTAATAAGTTGGGGTGGTCGTGCCCTCCTTCTCCGCCTTCACTCTATCACCGTGGGGGGAGTGCAGACGTGCTTGAACCCCCAGCTGATTCTGAATCCATGCCGTCCTCTGCTCCTTCCCAAAGCTCACCAGCCTGCCTGGATCACTTCACCTGACGCCACCTGCAAGAAAACACCTGTCTGTCATCGTTTTTCAACAATATAGTAAGAACAACATTTAGATAACTTACAATTTATTACATAAGAAGGTACTCTTAACAGGGCCTTTGAGTTGCCGTCGCGGTGCAGCAGCATTGGCGTGTTGAGCTTCTAGGTCGTGTTACCGGAAGGCCCGACCTTGTATTGGGGATGGGGTAGATTAACCTAAAAAGAGGGGGGGGGGTGGTCTTGGACGTTTCTAGTGGTTTGCTAGTCATCTGTGTGGTTATCCCACGGTTCCCACACCTTTGTGAAAGCTTTCATGGTGCCTCGTATTTGGGCCGTCAGTTTGTCCATGAGGTGACACTCTTTGATCTTGTTGAGTACTGCGGTCATTGGGGGGGAAATGCATTTTCAATGCTTTCCTATGGAGAGCTCTAATGAGCATGCACATTAGGTTTCCTCAGCCAGCAGGCGGGATTAGTCTCGCCCACCAGCTGACGGAATCACTGGGAGGAGCGGCGGCAAGAGGAAACCACTGCCAAGGGACATCAGCGGGGTCTCAGGTAAGTGACTGAAGGGGTTTTCACCCCTTCAGCTACCGGGGGATGGGTGGTGGGAGGGAGAGGGGACCTGCAGTGCCAAGAAAACGGATTGTTTTCCTGGCACTGGATATTCCCTTTAAGAACCCTTTACCCTGTTCTGTTACATAGTTTTCACTAGACCCGTGGGGATAGCCAAAGTCAGTTTATCCTTCTCCACTCAGTCTCGGAGAGTTTCCCGATCTCCATGTGTTCCACTCTGTCCAAGCATCAACCACTTGTTTAGAAGTGGGAGAATTGACGTACAATAGGGTTTTATATATATATATATATAATTTTATTTTTTTTCGTTGTCAAGTTCTCTCACTTAAGTTTAATAATATGGACCCCTATATTTATACCCCCCTTCTATCCCACACTCTAAATGTGTACCCGAAGCATATATTCACAGTACTGTGGTAATTGGTCACTCTTTCATTAGGTGTTTTCACTCGTGGGACCTAGCTTGTGCATCACCACCACTCATTGATACTCTCTGTAAAGGAGCAGTGGATATGACACTTATGGGAGCCGGTGGAACGGGCTACTGGGTCTAACACATGTTCATAACTGTTTTTGTTATTTTTATTTTAAAGTCACGCAATATGCAATACATTTATTTATTTTTCATCTTAAATTATTCTGAGGTCATGCCTGACTTGGAAACGGTATAGCACCATAGTGTTTCCAGTACCAGAGGTAATAATCTCACTGTCCCATACAGCCTCAGGTCCCGCATCCATAAACACCCAGTAGGCACTGGGTCTACAGCCCAACTTCTTTTTGGTTAATGTGCGCGCTGCACGTACAGTGCAAACTGCTACGCATGCTCAGCCAGATACTTAGCACAGCATACCGCTGTTTAGGAATATCCATGCCTGAGAGTACTGCTTTTTCGTGTGGACCCACGTAACCCAATGTGCTTACCTTGTTTCCTTCCTGTCACGATTCTCATGATTATGTTCTAAAGCCTGTGCAAATTATTATTTCCTGTCATGCCATATTTGTCGATGCTATACTTGCCCTGGCTGTCGGTGTCCGGCAAGCGTGTCTGTTTAATCTCTGCACGGTTGAAAAAATAAAGTTTTTTTTATTGATTTTGGACCCAATCAAATACAATACACATCTCTGTATCAGTGGATATATACCCTGTGGATTACCAAGCCTGGCCCAAAGGTGGAGATAAGGCATACCTATAAAGACAATAAGTGACCACCCCCTTGTGTTCCAGACCAACAGCAATCCAAATGGAAACATTTGGTTCTATCTCCTTTTATGTACTTGCCACAGAAATAATAATTGCATCTATAAATGTGTTACCATTTTTCAATTCCACAGATATGTCATACTTCTTACTTGTGACCCAATATAGCAGACATCACAATCCCGCCCAACGGCGTTAGTTACGCAACTCATGTTTAGGCTTGATTAGAAGACTGTGCTTGTCCCATTCTAAATATAAATGTGTGTGTGTGTGTGTGTATGTGTGTATATATATATATATATATATATATATATATATATATATATATATATTTATTTATTATTCCTCTTTGTCCTTGCACACACACACTTTTCAAACTTTTCCAAATGCCGGGTGCATTCTAACCACAGCCATAGGTTATAATAAAGATAGTGAAAAGGGCTTGCACTCACGGTCTTTTTCCTTTGTAAAAGATTCCATGATCAGTTCAGCTGAACTGATCCTGATGAAAGCCACCAACGATGGCTGAAACGTTGATTATATTTTAACAAAGAATGGAATAAAGGAATCTTTTACAAAGGAAAAAGACTGTGAGTGCAAGCCTTTTTCACTATCTTTATATATATATATAATATATATATTTAATAAGGCTTAATTATTAATCTATGGGTAAGTATTAATGTTTCTTTTGGATATGATACTGAACACAAGGCTAATGGCCATTAACATATCAAAGGACCCCCTATCTAAGAGGGAATCAAGACATGTGGCAAATGATAGTTTATACTGAAACCAGACTTCCAGGCCACTTATGTGTGACTTCAAAGAGTAATTTAGGTTGTAAACCTTCTGCCCTCCCATACAATCTAATTAACCCCTTTTGGAATTGATAATACCACCTCTACCAAGCAGCCAGTTCATCTATGCACCACACAAATTACATTAAATGAAAATATTCCATAGTGCAACAATGAATTAGGCACCCTTGGTGTGACACTGTTTATCTATCTCCAATAACAAATTGGAAAGAGAAGGGGCGGTTTGTGACTTCTAAGCTTTGGCTGTTAAGCGCTGAGCCGTTAAGAGGGTGTGTAGTGCTAGTTTCCACTTATGACTCGGTAGAGCCTTAGGTAAGTCTGGTAGGAGTAAGATGTGTGGTTGGAACGGGAGAGATACATTTGCAATTTCTAAGAGGAATTTATGGATCGAAGTCCACAGTGGTAATATGTGTTCGCTCTCCCACCACACATGCATCACTGTACTTCTCTGTAATTGACATCTCCAGCACATCGGAGAGGAGGTTGGGAATATTGTGTGTATTGTGAAGCTGCAGGAAGGTTATATTTAGTTCTTATTGTATTTAAGTGGTGTAGGAACTTTATTCCACTATCTAACCATGGTTTGGAAGGAAACGTGGGGATGCACAGATGGAGAGCTATCAATGGAGTTGCTAGAGACATGCCACCAAGTGTTTTCCTATACATATCCCATGTACGTACCGCCAGTTCTATTTGTGCTGAGGTTATTCTGGTTCCAGGCCTGAGCTGCTCTGGGAGCCACAGGAGGCTGGGGAGTTTGTATGGTTCTAGTATGCTTCTTTCTAGGGTTACCCATTGTGGTAGAGTTTTGTTTAAAAATTGTGGAAGGGTCAAGGCCAGAATTGATGAATAATAGTATTTTTTTAATGTCAAGCCTCTGTCGTGTATCAGTGCCAGTAGGACCTTCAATGCTACTCTAGGCTTCCCTTTTGCCCAAATAAATTTTAATAGGTCTTTTTGTACTGTTTAAAAAATTACATGGGGGGGAGGGGACCTGACTCATGGTGGAAGGATGCATTCTCAGTGAGCTCCTCTACTATCCTACCGAAACTCACCTGGAGCGGCTCCAATTGTCTAGACCACAGCAACCTAACTGCAGCATTTGCTCCCCTGACCCACCTGGCACACAGTGCTGCCACCGCTTTTGTACCTGAAGCTTGTACACCCCACCATGACAGATGCGTCCTACGACAGGCCGGGACATACTTGAAAACGAGAAATCTCAATGTATCTTTCCTGGTAAAATATTTTATAAATAAAATGAGGCTGATCTACAATACCGGACATGCTCAGAAGCGACAAGTTCAAAACTAGGAGCCCTGTCACCCCCCCCCCCACCCCCACCCCTTTGGACCGGCAGGGGAGATCCCGGTCCACACACAAGAGGCCACTGGGACTCGGTGCACCATCGGAGAGAATTTGCAGAAGCAAGGAATATGCACCTCAAGTCACCCAATATGGCGGAAACTACATGTCTTACTCCACCATGTCCTGCACAACTCACGCTAGAAGCCAGGCTAAATGAAATATTTACTAACTTCTGGAAGCAGCTGCAACATAGAGCCAGCGAGCACCAGCAGCTGCACACCAACCCAGCCATCTCAGAAACTCCTGCAGCATCCTTGGCGCCAAAACTCAATTGGTGTCGGAGATGCCTGCACCACAGCAAAACAACCAAATCAATGCTTAATACAAGACGCAACTCACCACCATCACAGCTCAAACAGCTGGCTTCCTGGAGAGGTTCTGGAGACCGAGGGCAGGACCACCCCCAACGTTCCTCCACAAAGCTACACCGGCCTATGTCTGGATATCTGTGCCCGATGCTAGTTCCGCAGAACCAGCGCTCTGTTGAGCCCCTGAGTGGCATGACTCATGACCGGGACTTTCACTGGTGGGTTTTCTCCAGATTTCTCCACAGCCTGACTCAGAGTGTACTACCGTTTAATCTCTTGTTTTTCCCCTTTGAATAATTTAACGTTAATTGAGCCTTTCATACTTGTGAGACTTCCCAACTTCGTTATCACCAGGGGGCCTCTTGGATGTTCCAACCTTCTCATTTACTATGTCCTTTTTGGCAGCTGATTGCATAACTATATAGAATGTTTAGTTAAGATATGTGTACCTCAGCTAGCTTACTAGAAAATCATAAATATAAAATCTGTGCAATTGCTCTGCATGCCATGTTGTAATCTTGTAATGCCTGTTTTTCCTTCGCTTGTCCTGCTGTCGTGGCGACACAAGCGTGTATGTTATTATATGCACAGCAAAAATAAAGATTTATTTTTTTATAAATTACATGGAATGGGTGAGGGACAACATGCGAAACAAATATTGGACCGTAGGGAGTATAGACATTTTAAACGCTATTATCCTTTCTGTTTACGTAAGAAACCAAGGACTTGGTTTGTGTAATAGGTGGTTGCAATCATTCCAGGTTTTGATGTAGTTTGCGGGAAAAAAAGGTCTTTAGGATGTTTTGTTAAAGTAACACCTAGATATTTGAGGTTGTCTGTTCTCCATTCAAATGGATATGTGTTGCTTAAAGTGGTTAGAACTGATTTTTCTATCCCTAAGTACCTGTGTTTTGGAGGTGTTAAGTAAGTAGTAAGATTGCAGACAGTACTCTCGTATTGTCTCTATGAGTGGTGGTAGGGAAGTGAGGGGATCAGTAATGTATAGTATTATGTTGACGACAAATGCACTAACTTTAATTTCTCTGTTGCACATTTCGATTCCCTTAATGTCAGGGTGTGTTCTAATTGTAATCAGCAGAAGTTCCAAGGCCAGAACATAAAGTAACGGGGACAGTGGGCATCCCTGGCAAGTTGGAGTAACTGATGTTCAGGAGCGGGCGTTATTTTCGGTAAGGAGATGTTCGATAAGTAATCTTTTAGTTTGGCTTTCTCTGGGGTGTGAGTGTTGGGATCTGTCTCTAAGTTATAAAGCTTCTAGTAGAAGCTCGCAAACTCCTGACTAACATCAAGCAGGCAGATTTTCTTACTACCTCCTTCCCCCATAATGTATGCTATTTTTGCAGATTAGTATCTGTTTCGTAACTGAGCGGCTAACACCTTAGTAGCTTTCCCACTAGGGTGGTATACTTTGGCTCTCAACTTATGCAAAAGCTGGGTAGTTTTAGCCTTGTTTAATTTTGTTAATCGAAGGTGTAGGGAATCAAATTTAGAGGCCAGCTCCGGAGACGGGTTGGCTTTGTTCAGGGATGAAATTAATGATATTTGCTTCTGGCATTCTAATACATTTAATTGGCTATGCTTTAATAAGAAGAGTGCTAGAGAAAAAGCCCTCTGTGAAGAAACTACTCTTTGTATGCAGTAATTTTGTATTTGTCTTTGTTTTGTAGAAAACAATACCGAACACCGACCACCTCCTGGCTAATTAACTACAAAGAAAACCGCAAGTTAAGGGCTCTCTCTGTGTGGCCGTTTGTATAGCCAAACGCCACATGCAGGAGAAAACGGTGGCCATCTTGTTCGCACAAAAGGAGGCAGCAAGACTTGGTCATCGAGTGTCTGGAACTAAAATCGGACACTCAACGTCCTGAATGCCGGTCAACTTCGCGAACACCTGCTTCCTTTCACTGACCAGGAAGCACGTATATTTATCATTTAATATAAAGTTTGGTTAAGTTGGTTATGCTGGTCAGTTTCATATTACACTACTCACTTCAGTACTGTATTAAGGCTAGTATTTTCAGAGATTCCACTACCTATTACTCTATGCTTACTTTTCAGGTTCAGGTTGGTTTATATCACCTATGTTTTGTTCAATCAAACCTCTAAATATCACTTTCCAGTGAGTAAGGTGTAGGGTAAAGGGTTTACTCTCAGCAATTAAAGGGGGAGTCCTTTGTTACTCTGTATAACATATACTCCGCTTTTGCTATCATTAGGTTAAAACCTCTCTTCCACTATAGTAGTGGTGGAAGTCTCTGGTTCTGTATTGGGTTGTGACCAATTTCTGACCTAACCAACACTCAAGTGGGTGTCAGGTACGTTTTGCCAAATCCCTCCCTCAAGGTTATGAGTTAAGTGTTACTGGCTCATCAAATCTAGGCTGCCACTAGTATAAAAAATGGCTTCTTTGCCTCAGTCATAGTGTACCCGCGAGGCCAACACCTTTCCTCCACGCTTGATATTCACCCCTCGGGCCAAATCATAGTAAGCCGCCTTGCACGGTTGCATAGAGAGGGCCTCCCTTGTCACTCCCTTTCTATCTTATGCTTTTAGTTGTCATCAAGAGGCCAACACCCCGCCACAACGTTTGGTGGCAGCATTTTCCCTCGCGCCAATCAATAGAGCCTCTCAAGCCACTTGGCATCTAGTAGGGCCTCACCTGTCACCACATTTAGGAAATTGTTTGGCATTAGTTAGCCAGCCAGTAACCAATATGGTACAGATGCTGATTATGTTTTGACTATTTTTCTTTTAGTATGTCTCAGCTACCTGAAGATACAGACAATTTGTCTCTCCCCAGTACTCCGGTCAGGTCCTCCTTGTCACCTTCACGAAAAGGTGACATCGGTAGCCCAACTTCTATAAGATCATGGACCATTCCTCGTATTACTGCGGAGCTTTGTAGACGTAGTATCCCTTTTCCTGCTATGGCCAGGAAAGCAGAACTGTTCAAGTTAATTGCGGACTAACACCAATAACTCAGGGGCGGGAAAGGGGACAAGTGGTCCAGGCAACTCAGACCTTCATGCCATGGTTGCCTCACTAGTAGCATCTATGGATCTAAGGTTAACGATAGACTTGATAGGATCAAGGCTCGGAGCCTTACTGTTATGTCATCTATGCCCTCAGCTACTGTACTCCCCGATGCTCCACTATTACAAACGGGTAATTACTTACCTTCACCTGGTAATCCGGTGCATATGGTTCCCGCAAACATTAAGAAAGACATCTTGGAAGGGAAGGATGTTAATCTTGTTGCACTTCTTATTGCTTCACATGATGTTATTGAGAACCGCAGTTATGCTTATGGTGATATTTCGGTGGTGTTAAAGGCCAGAGACCCTAGACTTAATAAGAAACTGTCTATACCCGATTTTGTAATTGCATTTGGTATATATCGGGATGTAATTTGTTCGGTATACCCACATAGACTAGAGGAACTTGACCGCTATTTGCACAAGCTGGTGGACTTGGGAAATAAATATGGTGGGTCCTCTTTTTATGATTACCACCGGTCCTTTTCGGCAAGGGCGTCTGCAATTTTGTCTCAGTGCAACGTTAAAACTGACTGGAGCCGGGGTCAGACCGCTAAGCAGTGCAGACGCATGGCACTATAGCTCCTGCTATTCTCAGGCAATTTGGTTGCAAAAATGCAACTTCTGGAGCTGAGTCACGACAGGCAACTGCACTGAGAAGTGCCAGTCCTGGAGAACAATCAGCGACCTGATTCTGGGCCCCTTTTGGGGGGAACACAGAACCCTAAGACCAAAGCCTAGTCAAGCCTATCCAGGTGGTGGGTAGGGTGGACGGCCGCCGCCCTACTATCCTGCCTGGTTGCAACATGGGGGTCCCCTAACCCAGTGGGGTAATGGCCCTGCTTCCCCCCCTTTGGGCCGGTGGGGGGTCATCCCGGCCTACCCTGGGGCTCTTACCCGAGCCGAGACATCACCTAAGATGGCGGCTGGGCCTGACCGGCATGCTATGGAGGAAGAGGCCCCTCCTCGGGGCTCTTGGCGCTCACTTGAGCAACCTACCTAACCTGAGACCCGACCTGGAGTGCTCCAATCGACACCGAGCGGAGACCAGCTGACTGACAAAGCGGCTCCAAGGGTAATCAGGCTGCAAGCTGGCACGATCCAGTGAAGCCGAGCCACACACAACAGCCGCAGTTCACTATGAAGACCTCACATATACCCAGCTCCCAACCACAACCGGCTCATACCACCCGACAAGCTACACCACAGCTTCATTATTCACAGATGGAGCTGAGGAACACATAACTGTGACCTGCCAGTGATGGGAGTTGGCTGCTCTCTGCGCAAGGACTGGGGCTGCCTACTCTCTGTCTCCTGAACAACAACAATCAGGATCATGTCCACCTCTCCTCAGGGAGGAGAGTCTCTGTCCGGGGACCCAGGGTTCTTTAACCACGGTGGCATAAATTTTCCTTTTTTTTTTTTAAAGCAACACTAACCATGCCATCTTGCCTAGCAAACCTGTCTCTCTCACTCAATCTATATTAACTATGATTTCAGTTTTAGCCTGCAATTTCATCTCTCCAGCCTGTTAATTTAGCTAATATGTCTAAACAGATTTACAATTAACCTACTCAGGCAAATATAACTGTACTGCATGTATACAATCTGTTAGCTCTTGACGCAAAATACTAATAATATGCTCAGATAGTGCAGTGATGTGACCTTATGTACCAAGCAAGTCTCAGCTATGTTCAGCTAGCATGTCAATCCCCATAGGCTGCATGATTGACCAGTTTACTGTATTACTAAATATCGAGACAGGCAGATCTTTTGTGCAACCATGATTCAATGTTTAACCTCTAACATGTTTCCCATCCTGAATATAAAAAAAAACCAGTGCTATGTATTTTAATGCCATACCTATGTTAATGTATGTTTCCATACCTGATTGCACCTGCTATCGTGGCAGTGCAAACATGATTATTTTATTTGTGCTTAGCGTGAACAAAGAATTAAAAAAATAACTGACTGGAGCTATTTTGCAGACACTTTGCTAGTCTAAAGACACCGACTTGTACAATTTGTGCATCCACCTCACATGCCTCGGACTATTTCCCATCATGCCCGGGTCCACACCTGGGACTTTCCAGGAGACACAGACAGGGACGGACAGATCAGGCAAGGACAAACTCGGTCGTCCTATTGTTTTCCTTGTAAGTCGCCGTTGTGCAACAATTTTAACATAGGTACGTGCGGATATAGTGCCTGCAGATTGTTGCATGTGTGTTCACATTGTTTTAGGGCTCATGCCAAGTCCGTGTGTCCTAATAAAAATTCATGCTAAACCGTATCTGACATCTGTAAACATTGGTTCTTTGGCTCACGCCTTAGCTTCTTACCCATCCACACATCTAGTGGATTTTTTGATTGATGATTTTACGGAGGGATTTCATACAGGTCTGGTACATATCCCTGCTGGCATTTACTAATGCAACAATTTGCAATCAGCATTTTCTGACGTGGAAATGGTTGATGCTCTGTTACAAAGAGAATTGGAAGATGGGTTTTTATTGGGACCTTTTCATGTGCCCCCATTTTCCAATTGGAGAACCAACCGATTAGTCACGGGGAAATCCTCAGGGAAACCCAGACTCATTTTAGATCTGTCCGCACCTCACTCCTTGGCCATACCAAGCCTTAACTCACTAATTCCATCTGAGGAATTTTTTCCTTAGTACGCCACCACAGACAACGCTATACACACCATTATTATAGCAGGTGTAGGAGCTTGGCAGACATCACCAATTCATTTAAATTACTGCCCATAAGTCCGTCTCTATGGCATCTGCATGGTCTGAAATGGAAAGGTTTATATTATTTTTTTTTTTTTTACAAGGCTCACCTTTGGGTCAAAAAGAAGCCCAGAAATATTCAATACCTTTGCAGAGACCTTATGTTGGCTTCTGTTGAACAATTGCAAGTGCCTGTGATACATCATTTAGATGACTTTCTGTTTGTGGAGAATAATTCCTCTCCTCCCAGTGATCTAACCAAGGACATCTCATTTTTTCATTCCTTGGGGGTGCCAGATTCTCCCAAGAAAACAGAAGGCCCTGACATGTTGGTACATTTTTTGGGTATCCTTCTAGATTCAGTGAGCATGGAAGCTAGCCTCCCCTTAGGCAAAATTGATAGTATCCTGCAGACCATAAACTATTTTCTGCATAATAGGACATGCAATCGGAAGGAATTGCAATCTTTGTTGGGCTCACTAAATTTTGCAATAAGAATCATTCTGCAAGTTAGAGCCTTTATTTCGAGACTCCTTTGCCTTCTTCCACTATTGCCAAATCACTTTCGTCGTGTTTGCTTGGATACACAGGCTACTGCTAACTAATTAATGTGGCGCAAATTCTTGTTACAATGGAATGGCAAAAGTATGTTTTTACCACAATTGTCTATCCATTCTCCTGTCTTTTGGACGGATGCTGCAGCATCCACAGGTTTTGCTGCCATATTTGGCAATGAGTGGATCTGGGATGGTTGGCCAGAGGAGGTTCAGTACATCGAAGGGTTCTTACACACCTCAGCTTTATTCAAGGTTTTCCCCTATTGTTGCAGCGGCAGTGGTATGGGGTCAGTCTTGGGCAGGTAGCTCGGTACGCTGTTTCTCCGACAACCTAGCTACCTGCCACATTATTAATAAGGGACGTTCCTCATCTCTGACGATCATGAGATTCATGAGGAGACTGACCTGGTTGGCAGTCTGTAATCAGTTTTATTTGGTGTGTTGTCATGTACCAGTGATTTATAATTCTGCAGCTGACAAATTGTCTTGCTTTGAATTCCATGCCTTCAGAGACACGTTAACCACGGCCTCACCAACAGCCACTGCAGCACAGTGTTTTCAGGAACTTGTAATGGATTAAAAGAGTTAGCAAGGCATAGTCTCGCCTTGGCTAGTATGGCTCTCTCTGAAAACACTAACTTACAATAGAGCTTTCACACTGTATAAGAGATTCATGTTAGAACATAACCTGGGTCAGTTTTTCACTATTTCAACTCTGGTAGCTTTTGTGTCCTTTTGTCATCTCAAACTCCAGCTATCACATAACACCATTAGATTATATTTAACCGGCATCCAACACCATATGTATACGTTATACCCAGACAACCCTAGTTTTTTTATCATCTTACCCCATTAAAAAAACATACTAAAAGGCATACAGAAAACCAGTACCACTCCTCCACCCCTAAGGTTACCAATACATAAACAGTTATTTAAGGACATGTCTGACTTATTGGATACTGCCCCGTTTGAACACACAACGAATTTGGTAATCAAAATGGCCATGTACTTGGCTTATTTCGGTTTTCTTAGACCATGCGAATTCACTATACATGGTAGTAAATATGCACAAGACTGCCTTAAAGGACCACTATAGGCACCCAGACCACTTCAGCTTAATGAAGTGGTCTGGGTGCCTGGTCCAGCTAGGTTTAACTCTTTTTTTCTATAAACATAGCAGTTTCAGAGAAACTGCTATCTTTATATTAGGGTTAATCCAGCCTCTAGTGGCTGTCTCGTTGACAGCCGCTAGAGACGCTTGCGTGCTTCTCACTGTGAAAATCACAGTGAGAAGATGCCAGCGTCCATAGGAAAGCATTGTGAATGCTTTCCTATGAGACTGGCTGAATGCGTGCGAGGCTCTTACCGCGCATGTGCATTCAGCTGAGGAGGCAGGGAGGAGGAGGAGAGTCCCACACTTCAACCGACTTGTTCATATCTATAATTTACATCAAACAATACATACGCTAACGTTACAAGAATAGCACCGAACACAAATGTTAAGGCTTGCCTGGAGTTGTGAGAGGGGCTTGTTAATCCTACTTAAGGCACTCCCCCTTACCTGTATCACTGTTGAATCAGATGTTCGGCAGGCCCCACCCACCACTCCCTCAACTCAATTTTAATTAAATTTTATTTTCAATGTGGGCCCTCTTTATTACAGGCCTGCCACATATGTCGGTTTCGGCACACTTCAACCGACTTCAGATCTATAACTTACATTAAACAATACATACGCTAACGTTACAAGAATAGCACCGAACAAAAAAAAAATATATATATATATATATATATATATATATATATATATAGTTGGGCCCATATACAGGCAGTGTCAGAATTCCGCTCTGTCCCCTGCCGGGAGGCCAGAGAGTACACCTAACCACAGTCAGACCACTGATCATAACATATAACATTGAACTATATAAAGGAACCAGAACAAGAAGATATTAGTAGTACAGTATGCAACAGTTACATACGGTACTATAGAAAGTCACTACGACCCTTTAATGTGGCAGACCATTCTGGAGACATTCGTGGCAATGCTGCTGGCTTGTGCTGCTTAGCAGTGGAAGTAGGGATGTTCCAGTCGCAAAGTTTGCGTAGCACTTCATCCATAGTCAAGATGGAGTGGAGGGAGTCCCAGTGATGAACCAACAGTTTTACTGGGTATCACTACCTTTAGTTTACTTGATGTTCATGTAGAGTAGATGTTAAAGGTTGCAGGGATTTTCTGAACTGTAGGGTTGCAGCAGAGATATCCTTGAATACCTTTATGTTGGTGTATGGTTCGGGTAGACCTACATTCCTGCATGCTTTCATTATCTTTTCCTTGGCATTGAAAGAGCATGTCAGGTTGCAATTCAGGTATAAGCGCCTGGAATAGATCCAGGTAGGATTCCAATTCCGCAGCCGTCACTGATTCCGGTATGCCTCATATGTGGAGGTTATTTCGCTGAGATCTGTCCTCCATGTCGGCTAGTTTGAGTTGAACTGAGCCCAGGAGAGCCTCATTTTCCTGCAGCTTGTCAGCTACTGAATTGCGAGCCCTAGCGTATTCGTCCCTCTCTTTTGCTATGTGCTCTGTGCGTTGGCTTATTTCATGGATTTCTTCCCTCAATTCTGTGGCCACAGCCTGCATCTGACCTCTGATTGTGGCTTGTATGGTATCTGACAGCTCAGCCATAAGTGTCCTCATCGTGCCCATTGTAAGAGGCCAGTCGTCAGGAGTCAAGCTGGGAGACGCCAGAGGTGAGGGTGAGCTGTCTCGGGATCCTGCATCGCCGCCACCTTGGGAGGCATTCAGACCTTCGCGGGCTTTTAGTGCTGAGGCTCTCGTCAGGAAAAAGGAAGCTTTATCGGCTTTTGCCGTTTTGCTTTTATGTCTTTGGGACATCTCGGTCTTTCCTACCTTTGTTTTATGCAGTTTGCTCACTATTTAGGTCGGTTATTTGTGCTCCGTATTGCTTACATCTCGGGAGCTTCACAGCCCCGTGTCCATTCAGCTTGAGCTCCGACCTAAGATTATTCTGACACTTTTTACACAGCGATTTCATCGTCAATCTCTGCTAAATATTGTAGTAAAATTGTGTGGGTTTTTTCTGTTTTGACATTCAAACATATAACAAGCTTTTTATTAATATGTATTTCATAAACCTGTTGTGTGGTATTCCTGTACAAAACCCCATAGTGTGTTCAGCGGAGTACAACAATAACCTCATTGAATGTCTTTGCCACTATTCTGTGAAGCTACAATGCCATTTAAGAGACCAGGTTAGTTTTCATAGACTGATTTGATGGTCCTATGTCTGATTCTGTGGTATTATAACAGTTTGACTGTTCAAATAACCCCACAAAGGCCTTCCTTTTGAGAAAGCAGACACTCCATCTTATATGGCGTATATTTTACCTTAACTTGACGCCACTTTTTAAACAATTTATATCAAATCTTGTGGTGAGAAAAAATTTTTTTACATACATGTTGCATTTTTGCTGGGTATGTCGTACATTTTATAAGTGCTACTGTCATAAAAAAAAAAAAAAAAAAATTATGCTCAGTTACCTCTTCTGAATAAACCTATATGTCCAATGTATGACATAGACACTATTTTGTTAACTTATAGTGCTGTAAAAGAGACGTGTCAATTTTCATAAATGGTTTTGATGGATCTCTATAGTAATTCATATGTTGTTCAGCTATAGCATTTGAGAAGGGACACCTTTGAGACACAGCCATTCCAGGTTTTTTTTGTTTTCAAACTTTGAATTTCTACACTGGGTTCATGTCCCACTTTGGGGTTTCTTAGCAGGTTGCTTATTCCAACTACCACATAAAGGCATACCATTTCTTAAATAAGACACCCAAGGGTGTTTCAAAAGGCATATTTTGAACTTTAGCATGGCATAATTTTTTCCTAGCCTGTACGAAGTGTAGAGGTAATAAGCATTTTCACCCCCCCCTTTTAATTTTTTAAATCCTGTACCAGGACCTCTCTACGCTAATGCTGGAGGCCCGGAGAGCCCTAAGACCGCTAACAAGCCTGCTGCGGGACATGAGGATCCCATACCGTTGGGGGTTCCCATTTAGTCTGCAGGCCAGAGCTGGGAATATGTGGTACTCAATCTGATAGCCAAACGATGTGCCTCGCTTCTTAAGAGCCCTGGGTTTACTGTCTCTTTAAGAATATACATTTGTGATCCTAAAGTTACAGGGTTTCTTTAATTGCTAATATTTAAAGAACAACTTAAAGGGACACTATAGTCACTGAGACAACTTTAGCTTAATGAATCAGTTTTTGAGTATACATCATGATGCATCTACAGACATATTGCTCACATATCTGCCATTTAGGAGTTAAATAACTTTTGCATCTCTTTATGCAGCCCTAGCCACTCCTCCCCTGGCTGTTACTCACACAGCCTGCATAAAATCAAGATGGTGTTATTTTCAATCGGATGTAACTTACTTTTAAAGTTTTTATCTCCTGCTCTGTATGTTGACCATAAGGAAGTAGTGCTGTGCAGTGCAGTGCGCTAACCTCCTGCTGGTCAGCCAGATCCTGCTCCCCTGGACCGGTGACCTAAGGCAGCCGCCTGTGCTGCCTTATGGTAGCACCATCCCTCAAAAGGTTTGCAAGCCGCATTGGACAAAATGCAATAAAGAGCCGCGGTTTGGCTATGTCTGTTTTTTACATAAATTGCAAAATGAGTTCCTGTCATGTTCCTGAACAGGTCAGAGAGGAGACGATTGCCAGGGTTATTGGTTGAAACTTTGTCTTTTTACACATAACAATTTACTTGAAATAAAGAATTAAGGCAATATGCCACAAACAGGATACTTTGAGAGAAAAACAGAATAAAGGCAATATGCCACAAACAGGATATCTTGAAAATAAATGAATAAAGTCTTTTATATACAAGTAGGTTTGACATTATTCCCAAATAGATTAGTAGTCTTTGGAATGTCACACTGCAGCCAGGTTCAGAATGATACAGGGTTGAAATAGTTAAAGATGGCAAGTACTTTCAGTATAATATAGTACAGGTTGCTTACAGGATTATGCAGAGTTTCAGTAGTTGAGACAGGTAAGTAGATTCCAGTATAACATAATACAGGTTGCTTACAGGATCATGCAGAGTTGCAATAAGTGAAGCAGATAAGTCTCTTCAATATGGTAGATCAAGCAGGTAAGTCTTTTCATATTGAAATAAGGCAGATAAATATAGGCGGTTTTCAGGAGCCAGGATCAGAAGTTCTATGTCAGAACACTGACTTCAATGTCAAGGCACCATTGTCTGCTGGGTGTAGACTTATGAAGCCTCCTCATTAGTTAATACAGGTGAGGATGTTAAAGTGAGTGAAGAGATTAGTGGCTAGGGAGGCCACTAGAGGGGAGAAACAGGTATTGCAGCAATAAAATAAAACAATATCTTGGTTGTCAGGATAGGATCCTGATAGTTCCTCAAAAATCTCTAATACTCTTCCATGGGCACTTCACATGTCCCCAAACAACACCTACAAACCATACACACCCTATTTTCCTCAAACTGTCAGGTTGATTGTTGGAGCGAATACACCCGGGAGAGCAGAATTACACGTTCTCACAAATGCATCGCCAGTTAAAAAATTTTTTATTAAAGAGTTCAAAGCAGAAAAAACTGAACGATGCACAAATCTCATCCATATCAGCAGCCTCAGACGTAGGAGGCAAAACAGCTCCTCACAAGTAAAATAAAAAATGATCTAACCTCAAATGTGAAGTGTACTCTGTCCACAGAGACTGCGGACTTACTAGACAGCCCTTAATCTCAGGAGGAACTGGCAGCAGCGGTCAAGGAGATGAAGTATGGCAAACGTGATTGCCTGCACACATCACCATTATTTTGATGGAGGGCAAGGATGTTGAGCAGTGTGGGAAATACAGACTAATCTCTATGCTTAAGTGTGACCTGAAGTTATTTACCAAAATACTGGCCACAAGATTACAGCTCTTTATACTGTCCCTCATACATTTAGATTAGGTACTGAATTGGAAGGCATGGGACAACACCATTCGGGCACTAACAATAATGCACGGGGGGGGCAGTGGAGCTAGTGGCCTTCTCATACTGTCTACACACAAGGAGAAGACCGTTGACAGGGTCCGCTGGGACTTTTTATTCCAAGTACTGGGCCATATGGAATTGGGCCCCATTTAATAGGATGGATTAGGGGGTCTCTACCGAGACCCGACGGCTGAGGTTTTTATGAATGTAGCCCTAATGAAAATCTTTACAATACAGAACAGCACATGTCAGGGCTGTCTTTTATCACTGCTGCTCCTCGTCCTTGCCCTTGAACCCTTTTTGGAATTCATCAGAGTAAACCCTAATATAACTAGGATAGAGACAGGTGATATTTACCAAAAGACCACAGCTTATGCTGATGATCTATTTTTTGTAACTAACCCTGAGCTCTCAATTCCAAACATCATAGTAGCATGACTAAAGCATCAGATCTGCTTGCCACAATTTTCCACCCATTCTTAACAACCTTTTGGAGGGACCTTAGAGAGTGGTCTTTTCCACATAAATGCTGGTTTGGAAGGGTCCGGGTAGTAAAGATGAATCTTCTCCATCAGCTTTTGTACTTCTTTCAGACTATCTATATTTGATACTGAGAGCATAACTAGCTTCTCTGAGGACAGCTATGCTGGGCTATGACTGGTAGGGTGGGAGGGGCTCACCAACTGTGAAGTCAACTTGCCAAGTAAAAAGTAAAAAGGGGAATGGCCTTGCTGGATTTCAAACAGTACTACGCGACTTGCCATCTCTTGAGAGTGCTGGAGTGGAGGGGATGAGATATCTATAAATTGTGGCAATCTGCTTAACCCCTTAAGCACACATGATGGAAATATTCTGTCATGATTTCCTTTTATTTCAGAAGCTGTGTCATTAAGGGGTTAATAGGTGTTGGCAGGAGTCCCACTCTCTGCCCTCCAGTGAGGGAATCCCTCCTTCTTGCTGTCCTTTAGATACAGGCGGTTTAAAAGTTACATGAATACTATCCCACAGAGGCTTTACCTATACAGCTTCTGCCCCAGTCGCCATGGCTTGACTGTGGTCCTTCTGGAGCTTTTCCACCTGACCAGGCTTCAGCTCTCCTTCCAGGCAGGTATCGTCCCCTCTGCCTATTCCACTCCCTCACTTCTTCCAGGCAGGTATCGTCCCCTCTACCTATTGCTCTGCATTCCTTCTTCCAGGCAGGTATCGTGCCCTCTGCCTATTCCGCTGCAGCCCTTCTTCCAGGCAGGTATCCACCTCTACCTGCAATGTGATTTCTATTGCCTTTACAAAGCTATCTTGATTTATCCCAGAGCTAGAGGGGAAGTCAATAACCACCACAACATATCTCTCCTGCCTGCAGAATTAGCAATATGCAGATCTATCTGAATATGCAAATTAACAAGCCTTGCTATTCAGGTAGTGAATATAGCTGTTGCTACCAACAGAGGGCACTATATAGGCTCCATAGCCAAATCAACTAAGTTGGTAACATGCATCAGCAGAACATGAGAGCACACAAAACAATTAACAATATACAAACACATTATAAACACCCTGCACATATAATGGGTACAGGGTGACTTAGACATAGGAACAACTTAGGAGCCTTTGCAAAGTGTCCTTTGCTCCTAGTTATGGTGGCTACCGTGACATAACACTATTTGAAATACCTTGCAAGGAATCTGGCCTCCTGGCTCATTGGGTATCATATATATACCCATTACTCCAATACCAAACTGGAGATGGAGAAGGCAACGAGGGACGGTGGCAAATGGAGAGAAGGCGCTATTCTTGGCGGAGGACCCATCATGAGTAAACATTCATTGCTAGTCTCCAGCTGGAAAACATTGG